TAACTTGATATGGAAGTAATCAGAAAAGTTTGCAGTTTAAGCTAAACAAATTAAATTAGCCAGACCTGTAAAAGCTAATAGCCAAAAGCTCCGCAGAATTCCTATTTTGAGACACTGAAAGGATTTGCGCTGGTGGTAAAATGAATAATTCTGTTTTGAATTAAATTTATTTATGATTATGATTCTTAAAAGTGCTCAACATTTCTGAAAGTTTGCTTGTTATTTATTTTGGAGTACACAAGGCCAATTGTCAACATTTTTCTCCAATCTTTTGCAGTTTCACTAATAGTAACATAAGTTGCAGATATATTTCAGGAGTGGCGATGATAAACTATAGTTTTTCCAGAGCAGAGCATGAAACAAGACAAAAAAATAACGTTATAGAAGATTAACTTTTTCTATTTGAAAAACAATAAACATATGCTTTGAAAGGATCTGTTGTAAATAAGTGATGAACTAATCAACCCCAAGAAAAAAGAATATAATCTTTTATTAACTATGAAGCCAATGAAAGATCCATTTAAAGTAAAGAGTTTGATTGATTTCTGTTGGGATAAGATCCCTTTTACTCAAAGAATAATTTTCCTTTACACTTTTAGCTTTACTCTTAACTTGAGATGGAACTAGCTTATGTTGGAAATTTTGCTGATAGAAGTTGACAAATTAAATTATGTGTATCTTTAAAGCAAAAGATCTGATAAATCCCATATTTTTCCTCTGTTCTGACACTGAAAAGATAATTATGGATTAAAATTATTAACCATGATTTACAAAAACAATGAAGGAACACTATGATTTACCCATTTGGGCTACATCCACGGCAATAGTATGACTGAAATTTTTCACTGTGGATCAAAAGAGTACAATGATACAATCTCTTCGATAATGGTATGAGAAAGGCATGTATTTATGGAGTTAAAATGTCTCTAAACTACTACTAGATGAATTGGATGATAACATGGGGTTTTCAGGTCATTCCTAATCTCTCACAGTCACAGCAACTTCTGCGCATTCCAGAAAGTAATGCTAATATGGAGAAAAAGAGATGATAAAATTGGCTCATTACCTGAGTTAATTTTCAGCATTATCCAAAGGCAGCCAGAAGTTGGTGACAAGAGATTCCGGGAAAGTCCTCTCAAAGGCAACCAATTGTTCAAAGAGACTGAGTTTGATGAACACTGAAAATGAATCACAGTTCATAGAACGAGTCCATTCAACCAAGTTTCGCATCATCAGATTTAAAAAAACTGTCAGATTATATACATAAACTTATGTCCTTCCCTGGGCTTAAGTTTTTTGGGCCTTTATGGAGCAGCTCTTTGATTTGGGTCAGCCTTGGACTCTCAGCTGGACCAAGTTGTGGGACTGGGCTTTGAATGACCGTGCTTTCCCTTCTCCTTGACCAAGGGGTACATGAAACTTCCTTTTTTTTTTTTTTTTTTTTCTTTTTTAGTTACCAGGGTGTTCAGGTTAGCTTACGTACACCTCGAGTAGTCTCCCAACCCTGAACAAAGCTTTCAAAACAGGACAAGTCCTACGATCCATAGCCAACAATATTAACAACAGTTCTTATGATTCGAACCTGAAACCACAGGAGAACAAACACCTTGGCTAGTTTGAAAGAATAACTTTTGTCCATCGGTTCATACAACAAGTGCAAGAAATTCCTTTTGGAATCAAAGTTTGAAAGAATGGATATATCAGAAATGTTACCTTCTTCATATGGCAAGTTGAGCTCATTGAAGGAAAAGAATCAAGAAAAATGTGATGAAAATTTATGGATCAAAGTTAAAGTTCAGCAGAGTGGCTTCTACAGAATTAAATGAAATATGATGATGAACTTACCGCTCGAATGATGAAAGCAATAGAGAATAACTGCTTGTCAGCAACTGACAAACTCGATATGTACTACCTTCTGTGCCTCCTTTCTGTGATGGATAAAAGCAATTTGCGCAATGGGCATGACTGCAATATCTTCATCTCCTATCTTTGTAATCTCGTAATTCTACTCTTCCAATTCGTTCATCCCCCAGAAGTAAAGAAATTTCAGTTTCGGAAATGCAATAATTGATGTAGATGATGGTGTGGCATCACTCTCTATTCCCAAAAACTCCCATTATTTCAAGAATTTCAAGGGATAATAACTTACTCAAAGGAGACAGATGCTTACAGTTCATACATTCCCAAAGACATAATTTTGTCAAATTGGTTAATGACATCATCCAACCAGGGAAAATAGTGTTGCCAGTGTAATTTTCTAGCATTATATAATATCTCTAAATTTGGATGTGGTCGCAATTCCTCAAGAAGTTGTTGATTTTGCTCCACATTCATCCTCCCCTTAAAGTCTACAACCAAATCATGCAAGTTTTCCTTATTGTTTAATTCTATTCTCTTAACCTCATCCACATCTCTCAAATTTCCCAATCCTTCTATAAAAATTTCTCGAAGGTGTTTGAAGTTTTTTAGACATTCAACGAAACATGCTTCGCTACCATAATGGCCTTCACTTGTAACAAATCTTTGTGATGTTAACAGACCAATTAATCTCTCCAAACTTTTTGGCATGTAACTTATACTATCAGTTGGCCGATTTAACAAATGTCTCAAGTTGATTAAGTTTCCAATCTCTTGTGGTAGTTCCTTGATATTTTCACACCAAGTGAATTCCAAGGTTTATAGATTATATAATCTACACAATGTCTTAGAAAATTCTTTTATTTTTCCATTGAAGGACAAACTAAGGTACCTCAAATGTATTAATTTTTTTAATATCTACAAGAATTTCTTTAATTGAGCAGTGAGTCAAAGATAATGACCTTAGACATGTAAATTGATCAACTAATTTGGACAAAACTATCTAAGGTCACCATAATTACAATCAATCACAAGGTTACGAAAAAAAGTACTTCTAGTGTACCTAGAGCTAGGAAATGAGGCCCCTCCTACAATGTTTATCTTTTAATGTCTAACTTTATCATAAGAAGATTCTAATTCGATTTCTCCTGTACCATCAACCTTTATTGTATAACATTCATTTCGGGTAAGAAATTGAGCAAAATCATGCACTATATCATGCATCTTGCAATAATGTGTATCATATTTTTTAAAATCTTTGAAGAAAGATTGCATTGCCAAAGTTTCAAAATACTCTTGACCAACTAACTCCATGTCCTTAACACTAAATAATCCACAAGTTCAATTCGGAGTTGGAAAATGTGAGGTTTTTATTTTTCTCGCAATCTATGCCACGATGTGATTTTTTGGAGCCGCGACGCAGAATTCTTCTACAACCCTAAAGTTTTATCATGCCACGGCGCAAAAAAACCATGTCGCGGCACCATCCAGAAATTTCACATTATTTCTTTTGCTTGACGATCCGATTTCTCTCTTTAGCACTTCCAAAGCCTTCAACCATTGTACGAGTATAAAGTCACCATTTTTCCACCTAAAAACTTGAAACTCACACACATACCCGTGATTCTTGAATATAAATAAATATATATATATATTTCGCCACTCATCAATGAGAGCTGATGTGATAGTGCCAACTCAACTGACACATTAGGGTTGTAAAAAAAGTTTGTGAGATTTGATTATAAGTATAGTATTACTCAATGACATCTTTTCATAAACACGTTATTAAATATATATTCTGCTATCATTTTTAAATAAAGAGTTCTCAATGTCATTAAAAAACATGGAATCAAGATTATTTATTTTTTATTTTTTTATTTTTTTATTTTTGTGTTTTTTTCTAAATTAAAGAAATTTGTACATATATCTTTTCAAACCTTAGGGGAATTTTTATTTAAAAAAAAAAAAAAAAAAAAAACTCCCGTTAAAGAACGGAAATAGTTGAGTGATTCTCATTAAGAAATAGTTGTCCTTAACAAAATAATCCACAAGTTACTGTATAGCTGTAGTTAACCAAATCAACTTGGTTGCAGGTTGCTTACTCCAACTGGAAACAGCCTTCTGATTACTTGAAAGGCAATTAGGATAATGATATTAATTAATTAATTAATTAATTAAAAAAACTTTTACTTCTGGAGGGCATCTTCCTCTTTCATGCCACTTACTTAGACAAGTGGGATTCTTTCTTTATGCCATTTTTTTATTATTAAACTGATCATTATTGGCTCTAAACATCCTTAGATTACTCTAAAATTGCATCCTAAAACAACAAGACATTGCTTTAATGACATTATTCCCTTGTTTTGAACCATAAAGTTTGATTCATTATGCAGTTCTGCTGCAATCAAAAGGCTGATGAGATTGAAACATTCTTTCAAGTCATGTGAATCCTGGAGGAGTTGACAAGATCTTGAAGCAAAGCATCAAACAAATCCGAATCAAGGCGAGATGGATCGAAAGCATCAAGCAAGAACAATTACAATTACAATCTCTTCCTCACTTGATCAAGCAATTAGTTCACTAGAAAAACTAGTTTATATTTGTTATGTCTAAAAAATCAGGCTGATGTCAGCTTGACAAGTGCTTAAAAGACAAAGTGTACTAGCTGTCAAACTCATATTGCCTCAAAGATATTTATATCAACCCTATCTCATTTTAAGAGATGGACGGATGAGAGCTCTCCATGTGTCAAGAAAACTTACAAAACACTTATTACATTGACCTTAAAGGTATATAAATAGGCACCACTCTTTATGAAAAATGGGAGGTTGGACATATGAGAGCTAGACATAAATTTGAGTTTTATTATCTTTCTCTATAAACAAAGTTTTCCTCCATATTTGTATGTCTTACGGGCAATATCATAGAAATAATCAGAAAATAGAAAAATAACAGTAGATGTATGATTCGCTTTAAGTATCCGAACTACTTTAAAAACCTCTCTTACCAATCTTTTATTTATATTTTCTTCAAACATATATAATCTCAACACCATATTCAAATCTCATGAATCTATTACGTGTAATTTCTAAGATTCTCTTAGTATTTTCCAGGTGCTTAGTCATTGGTACCAAAATCAAACATCAACAATATTACGGTTGGAGTAAACGTTATGTGATTCGGTATTGTAATAAAAGTCATAATGCTAGAAGACTATGAACAGGAGACAACCTGGAGTCTTTGTGTTAAAGACAAAATAGTTGGGTAGGCCAACAAATCAAACCCAACAAAGATTCTTGCAATGAAATATCTATCATCTGTCAATGGTCTGCCCTTTGTAAGACAGCTAATTTATGTTACTGAAAATGATAGAATTGGCACTAACTTTGCAGCCAAGATCAACAATGTGGGCAGTCACTAACTCATTATCTGTGAAGCAACATTCCTCCCACATTCATTTTAATAATCTTCTGTCACATGGCGTATGTATAAAATCTCTCATCTTATTTGGAAATACATACAATATAATATCCATCAAATCTCTCATCTTACTCTGTGAAATAAATAATGAAAAGCATATACTTAGATAGAACTTCCCTGTAATGTTTCTATTTACCATTAGACTTTGAAAAATAAATAAATGAATTACAAAATTCAACTCTGACTTGGGCCAAGATTTGACTTGCCTCTCTCCTTGATAGAATTCATCTTCTCAAGATGCAAACCAGCTCTGAATCTGGCAATGAAGTTATCAGCTTTAGTATCAACATCAGGACTTGGGCAAAACAATGGTGATGAGGTGGCAAAATCTGCAGCCTCTGGTGGACTAGAGGATTCCTCAGCATTAGCCTCATCAAAATCACTGTCATTGATGCTCTTTAGTCTCACAAAGTCCCCTTCCACCTCCTCAAACTTCCACACTGGCATGTTGAAGGGCGGAAGTGGTGGTGGTGGAGGAATTGAGCTCATCAACGGTGATTCAGTGCCACTGCTCACAGTCTCCTCCACATTGTTTTGACTCCTTATCTTGACTGGCAATGGAGGCTGGTGGGTTGTTAAAGGTGCATTTGTGGACACGTTTTGGGACAAAAGTTTTGGTTTTGAAGCTGAAGAAGAGTAAAGTTGAGTTTTTTGTGGGGGGGGAGGTGGTGGGGGAGGTGGGACTGAGTGGATTTTCTTGGTTTTTCTTTTCTTTGGAGAGAAAAGATTTTGGAAGAAATGTGGCGGCGGAGGCGGCGGCGGAGGAGGTGGAGGTGGCTGTGACGGTGGTGGTGGTAAAGGGTAGGATGATTCATAGTTGAAGAAAAAATCAAGATTCTCAACACTCTTTTGCCTTTGTTTCTTCTTCTTCTTGTTTCTTGTCAACGAAGTCAAGAACTCTTTAGTTGCACTTGTTGTACCTCTCTTTTTCTCATTCCTGCTCTCAATCTCCTCCACCTGCGGCGGCGGAGGCGGCGGCAGCCGTGGAGGTGGTGGCGGTGAAGAAGTACTACTTTTGATCCTACCCAAATCCTCATCAACCTTTCTTTTCCCTTTACCACTCCTTGCAACATCTTGATAAGTTGTTGCTCTTCTCCTCACCACTTTCCTCCCCACCACCATAGGCAATGGCGGAGCAGAAGGAGACGGCGGTGGAAGCGGCGGCGACTCCACCGGAGGCGGCTGCGTATACACAACTTCCTTTTGTGTTTCAACAACAAAAGGAGCAGTAGTAGTATCATCATCATCAACTCTCTTCACAACTTCTTCAACAACTTGCTCTTCTTTTTCTTCCTCTTCATCCTGAAACTTTTGTCGAGGCTTAAACTGATAAAAAGGCTGATCCTCCAAACTCGAAGAACGATAATTATACAAATGGGTATCATCATAAAACCGCCATGGATAATCACTTTCACTTCTCATCCATGAAGCCTCTTCAGCTCTGAGATCCGGGTAAGAACTAAAGCTCCTCAGCCTATTCAAACTGCCATTGTTATTACTATTACTGAACCATCCTCTACGTGGGGTGGTGCTTTCAAAGCTTGGTTTTTCAACATAAGAAGGAGAAGCACTTGGGGAAGAAGCGCTTCTGGGAGTTTCATTAGTCATGGTGTTTCGGCTGAGGAAGCCACAAACGATGGCGAAAAGCACCAGGACGAGATTGAGAGTATCCCAGCTTTTCTTCACCGAATGAGGTCTGAAGATTTGGGAGGTAAAGGAGAGGAAGGAGGGGATGACAATGAAGAGGAGAGCAGCTGCAATGACCAGCAGGATGATGAGGAGGACGCCGGAGTTGAGAAGGAGGGAGGAGGATCGGCGGCGGAGTCGGCTGGAGGTGTTGGAATTGAGCCAAAAGGGTGTTATGTCTTCTTCTTCTTCCATTCTTGGGAGTGTTTTGTGTTTTTGCTTTTGAGAGAAAGTGCTTTTTGAAAAACAACTTTTATATTTTTGCGCTTTGGTCTTGCTTTTGCTTGTGGGATTCCTACCTTTGGTACTACTTTGCTTAATATATATATATATAATATGATATAATATGATGGGAAAATGATGAACATGGTGAGTGATGGTGATGAATGATGAAATTGTGATGTGGGGTCATGATTTACTTTAAAAATTAAAAATTGAAATTAAAGTTTGAGGATATGAATCACATGTTGGCTGTCACCATAAGAATGACAGCTAGCTTAACAAAAAAGACAATGAATTTGCATGAAACATTAGTCAATTAGCCACACCTTTAATCTAGCTTTTTATTTTTCTTTTAACCTAAAGTATTACACCTCAAAAATGTGTCGTCTATCTATATGTATAGGATCCCTTAATAAAGAACAATAGGCATGTGCTAGTCTATGGGCAGGAGTGGACATAATAATAATACCAATATTGGCTGATTTGATTAATAGATGCAAAGGAGAATTTGGATTGCTATAGTTCATCAGTACATACTTGTATTCTTATATTAATAACATTATTTCGTGTGAATTCCTCGAATTATAAGATAGTTTGGATGGTGTTTAGTATTGTTTTTGTGTTTCTGTTTTCGGAAATGAAGATAAGAAGTTTGACTCCTTTTGTTAATGAGTAATACTACACCAACAACCATTTCTCACAAATTTTCTCTCACAACTCTAACATGACAGCTCGCAATTAGTTAGCTTGCAATTAATTAGTGGGACTCATGAGGAACCCATGTGGGACCTTGTTGTGAACTGACCAATTACGAACTGTCACGTCAGGATTGTGAAAGAAAGTTTGTGAGAAGGGGTTGTTGATGTAGTATTATTCTTTGTTAATAGTACAATACATCATTATTCTGAAAGAAGTATCCAAAAATGCAAGAAAGATTGCATTCTTATCGTTTTTGTGTAGTTATTGACATGAAGGAGATAAAATGAAGAAAACAACAAACAATGAGATATCTAACCTCTGGGTGGCTGAATAGAGACTCTTGAGTGTATTACTCAAAAAGTTATGAGTTTGATTCTCCTTAGTTGCTAATAGGAATGATCACTAGAAGATTACCTGGTCGTTAACTTAGGATTAGTTGAGATCCGAGCAAGTTAGCCCGGACACCTCCGATCACCAAAAAGAAAAAACAAACAATGAGTTATTTTCCTTGTTTTTTATTTTTTGTCTTGTATACAGACTAAGAAATTTATCTATTTTAGAATCTCGAAAACGGAACGTAATATCTCATATTCGCTCCATTGAGTGGATTTTAGGGAATTACGATCATCATATATTGTTCTACCTTTCTCATTTAATGAAGCTCGAATTTACATCCACCTTAGGATAGTGAAGTTCTCATTTCTCTAACTTGAACTTGGAATTCATCTTTTTACTTCAGATAAAACATTTACACTATTTTATCAATAATACTATAATATTTATCCAATCAAAGTAGATCATTATGTCGATTTGAATTGGTATTTCTATATTTTATTAACAAAACAAGCCGCTAGAATTATTTTACTCTATAGTTGGAAGCAACTACATATGTTGAGTTATTTTAATATTTATATTATGGGTCAATTTTTTCTTATTTTATATAAAATACCCAGATGAAATCTTGATATTTTATATCAAATAATATTAATGTTAATTAATCTTTCTCCAATAAATGAAAATTAAAATTTTAACACGTTTTAATTTTAAAATAAGATTTATTAATTAAAAAAAAATTGGTCAAAGTCATCCAATGCGCGTATGACAACTAGATCTTACTAAACCCACAAGTGTATGAATATTTGAAGTGTCGTATTGGGTCAAGTTTGTCATAAAAACGACACCGAAACAGTGGTTAATTGTTGACTTGTCTTTATCAAGAGAAAAGGACTTTTTTTTTTGGCTTTTGCTTTTGGTACAAGAAATTCAAGCCTCAAAGAGACTTTGAAATTGGACACACTTTTGGCTTTTAAAATGAAGTAATTGAGTTAGTTTTGTATTACTTGAAATTCATGCCAAGTTTTAACTACAATTTGGATATTAGATTTTCGGATAAGTCATCTAGATATTTGTGTTCACAACTTGTTTTCGAATATCTTTTACGTGTTAGTTTTGGAGAATCGTTGAATGACGTTAAAACTATTATAAACATGACAATATGTTGTAATTGTTGAACGAAATAGAGACAACAACAGGAACAAAATATAATAGTAAAACAAATCAAACAGTAAACAAAGAAAATAACACACGCGATTTACCCTGGTTCATCCAAAGTGGGTTACGTCCAGCTGAGTCAATATTATTACAATATGCCTCAACTCTCTCGTCTACAATGAATGAATTACCCTATGATCTGCTATCACATACATAACAAGAGAAAAGTATGATTATATACTAGGTTTAAGAGACTAAACCTAGTTTTACAAAGATTTCTATTTCTAAGTCTAACCCAATAAGGAATTAGTAACTTAAAAGAAATCTTATAGCGGGACCCTCGAGTGCGTCTCTATTACCCAGCTGAAGTAGTCGACAACTCTAACAATTGTGAGGTTGTATTTTATGTTATTAAAACGATTTTATGATGACATTTTAGAATTTAGCTTCAAATCTCTTCATCTTTTACATGATTGGTAAATGCAAAAAGTCCATTTAAGTGGGAGGGTCGTGATGGTGTATTGTTCCATCTCCCTCGAAGATTAGTCAAGAATTGACTCAAAAAGTTTGATTAAAAAAAAAAAAATCTTTTTGAATTTATATTCATTTATGGGTTTTATCTCGTGTTCTAATAGAAAATTAATGTTATAGAAAGTTATAATTTTAATTATATCGATGTATTAAAAAATAATATATTTTTTAAGTAATATATTCTTTTCATTAGTAGTTGGCCCAAAATTCAGAAGCCATTGAAACCTTGGAGTAGCTTCAGTTCAGAGCTTTCTTGTCACATAGAAATATGTTATACCAGACAAGGATTCCATGTTCTGTTCCCCACATAAGAATTCAATTTCCCAAGAAACATATCCATAAATTTCGAGCATCTCAATTTAGATCTTGTTTGACTTAGCTTACGAAAATTAATTTATAAATACTCAATGCTTATAAGTTATAACGTTTAAATTTTTAAGTAATTACGTACGAAAATTAATTTATAAATAGTCAATGCTTATAAGCTATAATCATTTGAAATTTAAGTAATACGTATTTGGTTAAAGTATTTATAAGTAACTATAAAGTAGTTGAAGCGTTTGGTAAAATATGATTTTTAAGTTAATTTATATTAAAATAACTAAAAAAGTATATATTATTTATTAAATAAAAAATATACGATGAAATTTTAAAATTAAATAGGGATAATGTGATATATACTTGATCAAACAGCTTATAAACAGGAAAAAAAAAAAAAAAAAAAAAGTACCTAACCTCCAACTTATTTTTTTGAGCGTATAAGCTCAACTATAAATCCAAAAAAGTATAAACAAACGTATCAGTTTAATTTTAAAGCTTATAAGTTAGTTTGACCAGCTTATAAGCTTAGACAAACACCCTTTACTCAACTCAGAAAGATTCTCGATCAAATGAGAGAATCATGTCATTAACTTGAAACTATCACATTAACCTATCATAAAAATTGCAATCTGTGTGACTGTTTATTTTTACTACATTTGTGTGGATTGTTAAGTGGTAGTTGTGGTGGTGGTAAGGGTTGAAGCGTAGAATTGGAGAGGTTTGCAGCTCAATATTGCTGATAAATTTGGTTAGGGTACAAGTCTTTGTTTTAAAACCTGGATCGAACCGACAGTTGGACCGGTCCGACCGAGACTCAACAGTCTTCAGTCCAATTCAGGTTCTAGAGGGGATTTTTGTAATATACTAATATTTAAGGGATTACTTTGTAATTTTTAAAAATAAAATCATTGCTTATAATACCGATCCAACCGGTTTTTTTAGGGTATTTTTGAAATAAATAAAAATTTTAGGGACTAATGTAATTTTTTTAAGGATATTTTGTAATATACTAATATTTAAGGGATTACTTTGTAATTTTTAAAAATAAAATCATTGCTTATAATACCGATCCAACCAGTTGAATCGATTGACCCACCCAATCACCTTACTGGGTCTCATAACGGTCGGGTTTTAAAACATTGGTACAAGTACAACTTCATTACGAGCGAATTTTATAGAATACAGAATATTTCAAAGCAATATCGTCATCGTCTGAAACTTATTTAACAAGCTTTTACAAGTAACACGTTCTATGTTATGAAATTACGACGATTTGTATGCCAGTAACATAGCAGTTTCAAACAAGTCATAGAATGAGTATATGAGCCAAGAAAGTCATGGTGATAGACTTATATTTTTCATATGCATTGTCTACCATACAATCTTCCTACCAAGAGGTATCCCACAGTTGCAACATCGAAACTTTTTATAATACACAACATGTATATGTACAAGACTAAAAAGAGGAACCAAACACAACTTCTTCAGATTTTCACACAGCTGAAACCTACTAAAAGTAGAGCTCTTTCTTGAATCCATTATGGTTTTATAGGGAGTAAAGTTTTACCAGTTTCCAGCTTTGTTGCCAAGGAAGCAGCGAGGTGTGAGACGAGAGAGAGAGAGAGAGAGAGGGGTGTTGCCGGGAGGTTTATAATATAACTATTCCTATAATGATCACCACAACTATTGTACATATCAAAGCCTGCAACAATCAGGACAATTAGGATTGGAAGATATGGAGCTGTGTAATTGCAAAGAATATGTGCTATAGATTAAAGACATGAATTGAAGATCATCGAGTCACACTCTTATTTTAAAAGGAAGTTAAGGATTATATCTACATTCTGCTTTTGAAAGTACATCATTATGATATGTTAAAACCGAATATGACCGAAGAAATTATAGATCATAGTGGCCAGTTAGTGTAAGACTTACAGCTATTGCAGAAGCGGCAAGTCCTGATCGCTCCCTTGGGTCCTTATGATAATAGTTCCCAAAGTAAAGGATTGTCGCATAGTACCACATAAAAGGAAATACAAATCCAAGAAGAAGACTGCAAGAAGAACAAAAACGTATAAGAAAAAGTCAGAGAGATAAAAAAGTGGAGGAGGAAGAGGGGAAGGGGTAAGTAAACTTACGAAAACCATCCAATTCCACAACCAAAGCAAGGAAGGGGTTTGTCATAAATGTCCAACTGGCCGTCTTCTGCATCTCTGATAAGAAGATACTCACCTTTTTTCTGGTCCACTAAATCGGTTGAGGCCTCTGGATATAGTTCAAGACAATTTTTCAAAGTTCCCAATATAACAAATGAGTAATGCTACACTTACAAAGAAATTTTACAAAAATCTCCATACAAAGTGATGTGACAAAAAATGAATGGAATAGTGAATTTAATGAGTTTGACTTTTTATTTCTCTCTTCCATTTATTTTTTGCCAACTCACTTTGTATATAAATCTTTGTAAAATTTCTTTGTAAATATAGTATTATTGATAACAAATATAAGCAATAGGCATTCCCATTATCATCTACCAGTCACAACAAAGATCAATATTGAATCATTCTCAAGACAATAATCAGCCTTTGACCCATAAACCTTAAAAGCAGGATGCAAAATTCAGAGATCAGATACCAAAATCTTTCGAATTGTAGCATCTAAAACAAATTTGGGGCAAAATAAGTATAAGATGTAGTATCATCACTGGGCTAAAAGACCTTCAAGAGGTTATTTCACTCAATAAACCAATCCACGAAATCCACCACAACTTCCTAGTTATACTTATCCACTCAGCAACAGCTGATAAGGAGCCTGAGACCATGGACAAGTCAAACATCTCTAAATTCTACATGGCCACACAACAAATAAACATAACAGCTACTGACTCATGCAGCGTCAAGCTACTAAAAAGAACACTAGATATAAGATTTCCAAAAGCCTGAGGAAGAGTGAATTTTTTTTTTTTTTTTTTTAGCCTGAGGAAGAGTGAATTTTTTTTTTTTTTTTTGGGGTTTTTTTTTTTTTTTTTTTGGGGAAATCAGGGGCATAATTTAAAAACTAAAGAGAGCGTTTAAGACAAGATCCCAAACTGCAATAGAGAATTAAGGAGTAAAAAGAAGACAATTACTTTGATCCACTTCTCCCATTGCTAGTATGTCAATGTCCTCAGCTGTGCTCTCTGCTTTATGAGTGCCTGCACATCAAACACACATGCTGCTAAAAAATTTATAAATTTCGAGACAATGATGACGTTGCTGTAAAGATTACACACAAGAAATTACATGGGTAAATTTAAAGAAAATCTCAAGCCCAATCTGAACTCCATCTGGGGCAGTTTATAGCAAAATGCACGTAACATGGTACACTCAAAGTTTTCTCAATGGATGTGAATGAATACTTGTCGTATGGTACACATACCATCCTTATAATAGGAGCCATTCAGTGCCCATACATTAACATGGATTGAGCAACATTTTTCGACTCCCTAATAGGTATCATTTTCGATGAAAATGAACCTTATTTATGTTAAGAATTTCGAAACCCACAAAACCACAGAAAAGTAGCACAACTACGCATAGGATCATAAACACAGTCATCGAATACAAAATCAAATTTTCGTTTAACCATTAAGCATTGACCTATACAAGCTCCACAACCAATTCAATCAATCTCCAGTACCACTCCCTTCTATACCACTAAAACCAAAAAAAACCATTGGAAACGAAAACTATACCTAAACGCAACCGTGAATTAGAGATTAGGATTTAAGTTCAACTAAGACAATCATATTCAACTCCTTCAGAAACTACAATAGAAAAAAAAATCAGAAAAATTGAACCGACCCACTTCAAGATAAGCATCTATTAACATGTATATCCAAAAACAAGCAGGAATAGGAACAAAATCACATTCTTTTACATGTAAAGAGAGCAAAACCCTCCAAAATCATCACAATATTTACCAGAAAACTCAAAGCAAAGTTACGAAAGCCTTAAACTTTCAAGACACCCAGATCAAAGAATACAACTTTCGTCAAATTTTATGAACAAACAAGAGAAATAAACATAACCATCCAATAAAAACACAATAAAATCTCCAAGATTATACAAACTCCAACATATCCCATAAAAAATTACTCAAGAAAAGTTCATTTCTTTTAGCCTCAATACAAGAACAGAGAGAGAAGGAGTGAACTTGCCTGTAGAGAAATAGAGTTAGAGCAGCTTTCTGCTGCTCTTCTTCGTTCCTCTTCTCTCTGTCTGTTGGCTTGAAGGAAAACGAGGAGTCACCTTCCCACTACCAGCACATTTGTTTGTTTATTATTTTATGGCAAAAATAGTCATACTTGGAATGGTTGTTAAGAATGCTATTTAAAAAAATAAAAAATAAAAAAATAAAAATCTTGTGAATATTATCCAAATATTGAAATCAACAAATCTCATCAAAAACTTTTTGGAGAAAAAAGAAAAAGAAAAGGACAAGTTATCTTTATAATGCTCAATGAATGATACTTAGACCATGCTTGAAAGCATTCTTTTAATAAATTTAATCTCAATAAACCACATTATTTTATATCTCGACTCTCGACCTTTATTTGAATGTATTGATAGTTTCATTTATATACGTTTAATCTTAATATAAAACAATATCTTGTACGTATAAATTGTTGAGCTATATATGAATGACGCTCAACCTACATTTGAATTGCATGTATTCATTTATATAGTGGATAACAATATCATTTAATATATTCAACCATATGCAATTTAATACCGATAAAAATTATAATAAAGAATAAATTATACATCTAAAATCAATACCGTTCTATTATTCAATCGTTTATCGATAAAGATTATAATAAAGGATAATTTATCATCCAACCCAATATTTTAATAATTTGAATGATTTTACAAACATTATAGTGGGAAGTTTTTTTAAGAAACATTGTGGTCCATAGCATATTCTCCATAATCCCTATATTCCACTATTCACAATAAAGCACTCAACCTAATGGTCTTATCAGCCCAGCCCATAAAATAGCCCACATTCCGGCCCATGGCCCGGCCCATAACCCAAAGTAGGGTCTATTTTCTTTGCTATTTTCTCACAAACGCTTAATCAAAGAGTATGTTCTCTTGTGTTAGTTGTATGTCTCGACTCCTTACTTAAATTTGAACGTACTAATCAATAAATTGAACAAACAAATATCATTTAATATATTCAACCATTTAACGATAAAGATTGTAATAAAGAATAACTTATCGTCCAACCTGTTATTTATATTATTCAAATAACTTTACAAAGATTATTTAGAAAGTTTACATTTCTTTTTTCCTAATAATCATTGCTCCGTAGCATATTCTCCACTATACATCATATTACATTCACACTCAACCTAATGGTCTCATCAGCCCAGCCCAACCCATTCCGGCCCATAAATTGGCCCAAGTATGCCCAAGACTTGGCCCATGAACCGGCCCATAACCCGAATTGGAGTTATTTTCTCTGTTATTTTCTCACAAACCCCTAACCAGAGGAAGAGCGGGTTTTTGTGTTGGAGCAAGAAGCCTCTTTCTCTCTCTCTCACAAACTCAATTCTCAACATGAAGCCGAAGCCAGAGCAAGACCCTGTAACTCATCTAGAAGACGATGACGAACCAGCTACAACAGCCAAGAAGAAGAACAAGAAAAGAAAGAGAGACAAACCATCCAGCTTAACAACAATGGCGCAGGAGGCAGAGAGGGTCACCGCTAAAGTTGAGCTCATTCCTGACCAACCGAACAAAACCCCACCTCTAGTTGGCTATTTCCCATCTGGGTTCAACCCTCAGAGCGGGGACCAAGGAGAGGAGGAGACGACAACAAGGGTTAGAGTGTATAGAAACATGAATGAGAGGAAACACAAGACGGGGAGGTTGGAGTTGGTGGTGAGTCCTGCTGAGTCAAGTGTGGAGTTTGTGGGGACTAGCTATGCTGGTGAAGCTATGGCGCCACAGTTTTGTCAGTATGCTCTTGGGGTTCTTGATAAGGAAAGCCAGACTTTGAAGATAGTGCCTGTTGCTTCTAATAAGGTAAAAAAATTGAAACTTTGATATAAGTTGAAAATTTCATGGAAAAGGTTCAATTTTCATGTAAAATAATTGAGTTCTCTGTTAGCTTCTGTAGAATTCTTTAAGCTCTGAATTGGTTCTCTTTTTTTATGCCGTAAGTACTTAAAATTTGGTTAAAGTTTGAGACTTTGATTATCGAGCTGAATAAGAAGTGGAAGTTCTTCTGAAACTATATGGAAAAGGTTATAATTTTTAGTGAAATATTGAGTTCTTTATTGGCTGCTGTAAAGGTTAGAAAATTTGATATCTAGTAGGTGTTTGAAGTTCCTCTCCAGTTACATTCGAAAAAGATTAAAAGATTTTCTGTGAAATACGGAGTTGTCTATCAGATGGAGAGTTCTGCAACTTGAAATTTTAAGCTCTAAATTGATTTTTTTCTTGTGTGTTCGCTACAAATTTGTGTTAAGAGTAAATTCACATGCTTCCAAAATTATGTCCAAAAGGGGATAACAAGTTAGGATTGAGGAATGTAAGTAACGAAGGTTAAAACTTCAAGTCTTGTTTAACAATTTAGGATTGAGGAACGCAGATTCATAATTGGCTAATTACTAAGATTACTTTATGCATATATGCTAGTATTAAGTAACATCTAAGCATAAATTGACTAAAGCCATTCTATTACAGTGTTCTGACATGAAAGTTTTTTTTTTTTTTTTTGTTTTTGTCTTCTATTGTATATGCAAGCAATGGAGAGTTTGTATTGTTTGTTTGGTGTTTGGTTGATGATAAAATGTGAGAAATGAAAAGAAGCAATGTTCTTCATGTGTGAATACAATTGCACCTTTTGCCAGGTTAATGTACATAGGTTGCTATTTTTTTTTTTAGTAGCTTATTCATTGGGTGAGTGTGGTTTGTATTTTATCAATATCATTGACCTTTCTGTTCCAGTTAAAGATTTTGATCTAGATGTTGCTTTTAGATTGACGATATGTGTGTTATATAAATTATCAGTTTTTTTTCCCTTTCTCTATAGCTGTTACTGTGTAATTTACTGTGTTCTACTTATTAATGTGGCTCTGTTATGGTTGTAGATATTTAGATTGGAACCAAGAGTTGGAACGTCGGACATTGCTGAGAAGGAAGAGGCAAATGTTACCGAGGAACAGCAAGCTGATATGAAGGCTATGCTTCATACTCGTTATGGAACTAAGAAGTTTTTAAGAAAGGTATGCTTGCTCTTGTCTTTGAGTTTTTTGAAGTCAATTTATGGCTATACCAATACTCATATGGCTGCTAAGGTATTTGTTAAGCGTTTTGTTGAATCTATGGCCTAGAATTAAGACTGTGATGGAAGTTCTGACTTCTGAGAAGCTAAGCTTAAGTAGCTGCATAAGATAGAGCTCTTGTTGGGTTGAATGAGGTTGAGATTACTTGGAAGTGTGCTTATAACTCTAAAATTTTTATCTTATTGCAGTCCAAAAAACTTCATGATCTGCAGAAGGAAAATGATCTTGAATCTCAGAAGGATCTTGCGAAGAAAATTAAGTCGGTCAAGATTAACAAGGGGGCTCTTGAAAGTGCCATTGTTGATACTGTTCTTAATATCCCACCATATGACTCCTCTGCCACTATACCTGAGCTGGCTTATCCTCTAGATAAGATTATCCTAAAAGGAGAGTGGGATTTCCTATATGATATTTATGAGCTTTTGCAAGTCGGGCAAGAGGTGGAAAGCAGTGCTTATCCATCATTTGTTTGCAACAGAATACAGAAATTGCGAGAATTGGAGGTGAGGACATAATAAAGCATTAGCTCTCGTTTGCAAACATCTTGATAGAAATTTTATTTGTTATGACTATCTAGTAGTCTATTTAAGGTTTAATGATGAGTTACGTACATTTTTACGTGATACTCTTACAAAACCACAACACTGATGACTTGCTTGATTATCCAAGGATAAAATCTTGAGGAACTTACTGAGAATTAGAAAAAAAAGTTGAATGATTACTTGTACACTAGCATTTCCTGCAGTCTGCAGAAAGAGCTTGTACTCTGCAATTATAAGAACCAAATGCAGTCATGCGAACCGAATGTGACATAAAAACCATTTAAATTTTCAGGATAATGTAGGAAACACGAGTATCATAGCTTCCAGACTTCTCACCTAATTGCTGGCATTGTGATAATGTCTTTAGATTCCTTTCATCCATGTCACTGGTGTGCAATGGCAGAAAATTATGTTTTATATTGTGATTGGACCTTGACATTTTATCTTTCTGTCTTTGTACTATCAGAATTACTTACAGTTTTTGTTGTGCCTCTATTTATAGAAGGATGCGGAGAAACGGGTACGCGCATGTATTTTCTCATACATCACTCATCTGGTGAAGTTCAAAGATCAGCATTCCATGGATGCCTCAGCATCAGCAAAGAACCATAGAATTCCTAGTATTTTACGCCAGAAGTTCTTGTCAAGTTTTTCTAATCCGGAATCAAAGAGGTTACCTGAAGACAAAATCCATCTTCTTATTAGTTATGTCCTAGTGCTTACTCTCCATGCTGATAACTTCCAAACTAACCCGGCAGATATAGCCAAGGACCTAAGAATGAGTGAAGTCAGTTTGAGATATCATTATGAGAAGTTGGGTTGCAAGCTCAAGCGCGAGAAGAATGAATTGTTAGCCACCCTTTCCGTTCCTCTCCAATTCCCCAAGCCAAGGCGAAGGCGGTAGATTGATAGAAAAATGTGCACCGTTTGTTTCATAAATTTGTTTTACGGGAAGTGAGATGATTTGGGATTTTCTTTTTATGATGTCTCTTAAAGAGTAGAATTTTTATGTAGTTTTACACCCCAAAAGGGAAATGTCAATATCCCTTTTAAGTTTTGAAGTTTTCTCTGCTTTATGTACTTCCATTTTTATTTATTGAAGGCTTGAAGACACGGCCATGCTTTCATTGAATCAGTTTTGTGAGACTTGAAATCTAATGACAGGAAGATCTATACCATCACATATGACATTCCAATGCATGCATGTCCAGTAACAATTAGAATCACATCACCGATACAAACAACTTTCGATTCAGCAATCACCAATAGCATTAGTTATAAATTATAAAAAGTAATGTTAAATTCATAACTCAATCTCACTTACCCTTAGTGTGACAGTTCATAAATATAATTAGTCAATTTGTAAAATGAGTCTCGCATATTTGTATGAATCTCGCATGTCTATTTACAAGCTAACCAATAACGAATTATCACGTCGAAAATTGTGAGAAAAAATTATGAATCTAACATTATTAAATTGAGTAATGCTAAATTGAGTAATGCTAGGTCCACAGAGATAAGAGAAAATTCATTCATGATATGAAGACATTGATTTGTAGTAAAGGATACACAGATTTTCTTCATACATAACACCAGAGCCTGAAATTCATGAAGGTGAAAATGGATAAAATTGCCAAGTATCTTCTCTTAAGCAGGAGACCATAAAATTCTCTTAGTAATCAACTAACAACTGCAAAAGAGCTCAAATTTACATAAAGATAATAAGCAGCAGGCAATGGCATGGTGGCATACCAAGGTCACCAAAGTACTATGTCATTCAGATGATACACTTGCTACAGTACAGACTAGATTCTATTGTTGTACACACATTAAGCCCATGAGAAAAAGGAATGGACCAAACTATGTATTTCATTAGACGTACTATTTTCTAATATATAAGTATATAGACTTCAGCTAGATGATGACTTGTGAACGGTGAAACCTAATTCAAGATTTGCTCTTGAACTTCCTTTGAGCTTTCAGGTCCACCACAATCACAGAAACGTTGTCTTTGCTTCCCTTTTGAAGAGCAAGCATCGAAAGGTAATCCGCTGCTGCTTGTGCTGCAGGGTCAACTCCTTTGCCCCTTTCGGCAAGAGGCGGAACCCCATTTTTCTTGTGCCAGAACAGAATCCGCCTTCGAGCAACTTCACAAGCTTCCTCATTTGACAAAACATCCCACAACCCATCACTTGCTAGAATAAGGCATTCATCCTCTCTAGCTCGTGGTATACATATGACTTCCGGCTCTGGAATAATCCATGGTTTCAAGTATCGATCACCTATGAGATGAGAAACAAAAGTGAGTTAAATTCTAAGATTGATTAGAATTGCAACATAAGAATATTTTCAACATGTTTTAGTATTGGGTAAACCTACCGATGGACCTTGACATTGCAAGAACTCCAAAAACACGGTGTCCATTCCATTGTATGACCTTGCCTCCAGATGCTTCAATCCTTGCATACTCATCTTCTCTGTTTGGCTGCAAAAAATTCAAACAAATACAAGAATTGGTTTCAATGAGACACGGCACAGATTCTTAATAAAACAAAAACAAAAATGGAAGACCAAAAAATAAAAAATGCTTTACTTTATGATCTACTGATAAAGCCATGGATTCTTTGCCACGACATAGGACAGCTCTTGAATCACCACAGTTTGCAACTATGATATGGGATGAACAGACTAAGGCCACTACAGCTGTAGAGCCAACAGTTTCTGGGGCGACAGCTGCAAAACTGACATCAGAAGCATCTCCATCATCACATCCACCAGTATTTCCCCCAATCTCGTCATCAACTTTAAGAAAACAACTAGTGAAGGTCTTTTCCCATTGCACCTGCCGACTTTCCTTAGTACTTACATCAGCCAAATCATTCTTAACCATTTCAATCTCCTCAGCCAAGGCCAAATGGATTCGGTCATGACAATAGTTAGCAACCTGCATGAGATCCCTCCAAATCATGCCATCAAAAGAGGAAATTCCGGAATCATTCACCAAAGGGAACAACTATACAACTGGAAATTAAATAAGTACTGTTGTGTTTAATGTTATATCAAACCAAACAAATCTTAGTCCCACACACTCAATCAATTATAAAGTATAACTCACTAACTTTTTAATGTTCAAACAGTTAAGTAAAAACAAGCTAAAAGACTTGAGTTGCAAGTACAAACAATACATCTAAACCACACTAAGAAAAAGAAAGAAAAAGAAACAGAGTTGTCAACAGACATCTGGGAGGAAAGTTATACCTGAGAGCCCCCATGGCCATCATAAACCCCAAAAAAGTGACTGGTCAGGCCGTTCAAACTTTGGCTCACTCCATCACGATCGCCAATAAGCATTTTCATAGGAATTTTCATAAAGCAAGGGGCTGCAGCAACAGTATCCTCCATTTCTGGTCTTCTTCCACGAATAGACACAGAACCCCAAAGGGGAATACAATCCACCTCAAAAATACTCCTGCTAGCCTCTCTAGCAAGATTTTTCTTGGTAGGCAACTGAATAACCACTGCAGAGGACTTTAAACAATCATAACTTTTTGCATCTGGGTTCACGGGAGTAATAAGGACTTCAGCTGTGGGAACCTGTTCAACGCTTGAATCTCCCAAAATAATTGCCTTAGCAAGTACTCGACCATTATCAATTTCCATTGATTTTGGCAGGTTTATTTCAGAACCTGGGTCCAAAACGACCAAACCCTCATTGATAACACCATTTGGATCTTCCACGACTGATAAAATTTCATCTTCCTCACTTTCCTGAAGCCCTTCTGGTTCTGACGGTATTACTTTGGTAACTTCACAAATAGCATCACTACAACTTCCATTGGCACCAGAAACAGAATCTTCAGACACCAACTTATTAGAATCTGACAATAAGTTTGCAGCATCTTTTACAAGCTTCAGTCGTGTGATTTCCATGTGGGTAGCAAGTCCTGAGGTATCACTCATAGAACTACCAAAACTAAGCGTCAATGCAACAGCTGGAGACATCTCTTCCATCAATACCCTCACTTCTACTTAAAAACAATCACTACTAAATCTCCCCAATCTCACACGATCTACCAATTTTCATCTTCCTCATCGCCTTCCAGCCATGAATATGAAATAAAGCCAGCAGGTTCTAACACCAACTCTTCCCTCACAACAAACCTCATTGATTCACCAATCTCTTCTCAGCTCTACATAGACTAAGCACAAACTACACTAACAAGATCAAATTAAAGGTGCAAATGAGTTAAAATAAGTTAGGTGCAAAAGGGTCACCAGATCTAGTGTCAAATAATGGATCTAATCCTTCAATAATCTAAATTTCAAAACTTAACTAGCAGCTTGAGTTTCAGAAAGACAACACAAACTAATCAAATTCTTAAACTTTTTTTTGTTTTGTTTTTTTAGACTACTCAAATCGTATCCAAATCACCTACCCTTAAATAGAAAATCAAAATCAAAACTTTTTATCTGCAAACCCAAGAAGTTAAAGCTAAAGAAGCAATGAGAAGAACCTAGGAAAAAGCAAAACCACACCTACAAACAATCACAAGAAAAAACCTAAAAAGGTGAACCTTTTATCATATATAAAAACTTAAGTTGTCTTGCATCTAAGGCAACCCATCTCAACCTCTCTTGAAAGATGAGTCCTTTTCACCTTTTCTCTCCTTCTTTCAATAAATACACCAACCCCAGATGATCACCAACAAGAATAACAATTATCCATTACCAAACCAAAAGAAAAAAAAAAAAAAATCAAATTTTGACCATCTGGGTATGTTAAAATTACGATCTTGAACCCAAAAAACAACTAAAAATAAAAAAATGAAGGGGGAAAAAAAAAAGTCAACCAAAATTAGTTTCAAGGCACTTACCTGTTGAAACTGAAGAGACCATGAAGCTCTGAAAAAAAAAAAAAAAAGGTCCTAGTGAAGCCTCTCTAGCTAGATTTTTTTGTAGCTATTGGTTCCTTCCCCAGATTAGAGTTAGAGGCTTGTAGAGAGAGAATAGTTGTGGAAGTGCTTTTTAACCAAGCACTGCTTGAGGTGACACGTATACGTGTAATTATCTTACATCACTCATTGAGACAGAGAAATTTAATTGAATTTTCTTTAGAGAAAAAAAGAAAAAAAGAAAAATAAAGGACAAGCGCTCAGGTTAAGGATACTGTGGTGAGGTTTGGCTACATGAAGACAACTACCCATGGATTTTTCATGAGGCAAACTTTGAGGACAGACACGTGGCTTGAACTATGAAAAAGTCACACCACATCAATAATGGCTTTGTTTTGTACCCACATGCTCTACCAGTACTTGTAGCTTTTGTCTGGGGGTAAAAGTGCTTCTGCTTCACCACTGTCATCATCATCAGAGCGGTTAAAACTCTTTACATGGGTGAAATTATTGCATGAATATCTTCTTACAGGTAATGTTACTGTGTGTCTGTGTCTTCATGACTGGTGAGAAAGAATCCAAGATATGGACATAGATGTATGTGTATGTGTTTTGATGTTAGATACATTACCCATGTGATAGTTGTCATTGGTCCATTCATAAAATGGGTTATACCCATTTGTATGGATCTCATCTTCTCATTTGTGAGTTAACCAATGACGAACTATCACGACGAAAGTTGTGAGAAAAGGTTGTGAACTTAACATTATTATTCGGTCAAATTATTCGGTCATTTATATCGTATAAATGTATATGTATTTGATTAATCAGTTGATCATTTATAAGATTTTAAATATATGTTAGTGTGATAGATTTAGTTATTATATTACATGTTGAGAGGAGACCAATCATCCAACCATTTATATGATACAAATGTCTGTGTATCTGACCAATCATTTGATCACTTATAAGATTTTCGATACATATAATTGGTTGATCGATTATGGGTTACATGACATGACATGACATGAACCAATATACATAAGTGTTGATATAAGATGGTCTACCCTTGTCTTCTTAAAGGTAGTAGTACAGTTTATTTCAACGATGAGGGATGGGAAAGAACCGAAGATGTATGGTAATATATGATGTATTGACCAATTACAAGATATACGATGTCATGTAAGTGCATTCAACCATTTATAAGATTTATGACACATATTAGTGTTCGATCGATTATACGGTGTATGACATGTATTAGTATATATAAGTATTTATACTATAGGTTTAGTATAAACTAGAATATATATGTCATAGATGCATGTGTATTCGATTAATAACTAGATGTATGACACAAATGTATGTGCATCTGATCACTTATAAAATTTATGACATGGATGAGCATCCGATCAATTATAAGATATATGAATTGTATCAACATACATGTATCATTGTCTTTTGATTACAAGGGATAAGTAAAAAATGGATGATGTATGACGCAAATAGATGTTCATGACCAAGATGACACATATTACAATAAGTATAGATGTAATAGCTAGGTATTGTATGGAGAGGATAACGTTATCTCAATGTGAACTATTAAGATGATTCAAAGGTATACCTCTAACGATAAATTACCCTAAAATTAGAAATATACCCTCTTTTATTAGTCAATCTATATATATATTGAAATTTTATTAAACAAGTATAAAAGTCAAATTCTTATATATTTTATATACATATATTTTATAATTTTTATGTTCCTGTGTTGTCAATAATAGAAATATATATATATACTTTTTGTAATTTTGAATAGTGCCTAGGATATAATACAAAAACATGACACACTTTTATGCTTGAAGGTCAAAGAATAAATTATTAAAATTGGACCTTTTCAAGAATCTATTCTTGTAAATTTTTGTGGTGGATATTTATCCAAAATAAAATAAAATAAAATAAATAAAAAATGTTCATGGGCTGGGGAGAGCTTGAAGGCCCAAGAAGTGTAACATATTGGGCTTCTCTCTTGGTTCAAAATTGGGCCCAAAAGAAGACAGAGGGATCTTCCCTAATGAAGTAGGATATTGCCTTATCCTTCGGATCATGATCCAATGATTGATACGTCAAATGTTGGCTTTTTTTATTTTTATGAGAAAATGCTAAATAAAATCCACGATATTGTTCATTATAGTTATTTTTAAGTTATAAGACAACTCGCAACTAACAAATTCAACTTCTTTATAACAAATTCATTAACTTTAGTTAAAATAACATCACGTAACCGTTTAATAATATTACTTTGATATGTTTATGTTACACAACACAACATAAAACAAATTACAACTAAAAATTTAACTTCTTTATAGCGAATACGCTAACTTTAGTTAAAATAACACTACGTTACCCTCCAATAATGTTATTATATTATGTTTATATATGTTAAACGACACAACATAAAACAAACTCGTAACTAGCTCATTCAACTTCTTTATAGCGAACACACTAACCCTAGTTAAGATAACACTATGTTACTCTTCGGTCATGTTACTAGATATTATATCATGATTTGAGAAACGCGTCGTTGATAATTTTATTTTTATTTTTATTTTTATGAGAAATGAGTAAATAAAACCAACAAAATTATCCACTATTAGTTATTTTATGTTACTCGCAACCAACAAATATAACTCCTTTATGGTTTCAAAAAAACTTAAATTTCAATTCTAACCATCAACACTAAAGAAAGATTAATGGTTTACATTCTATCAGCTCAACTTCCTCAAGCCCTATAAGGAGAAAAGAGAGGAGAAGGGGTGTGAAGGAGCTGCATTGCTTGGTTTATCTTTGATTTGATATCACAGTAAATCATAGCAATAGGCCTGCCAAATTTAGTGATGTTCCTTCAACAAACTTGAAGACTAATAGGAGAGTGGTTAAGTTTAACGCTTCATCATTAATTCATATGAGACTTTAAGGTTCAAAGACAGGAGAGAATAATTTGGTATTATGACTTTGATAAACTCATTTACAGTAAACAGAAATAATGAGGTCACCCTCATTGTGATTGATAAAGAAAAGAACAGCCAGTGTGCAGTTAAATGGGCAATGGATAATCTTCTATACAAGGGAGATTCAATATGCATTTTTCTTTATGTTCAAAGTCATAACTTGAATAGCAGTAAGTATTTCTCCCTTTTGTTGCATCATTAGTGTAAAAAGAGGCTAATCAGTTCGATAATATTACTGGAAATAATCCCCAGCTTTACAGTATTATCCATGACCATTCTTCATTTTCCAATGTGTTTGATTTGTGTCATTTGAATCCTGCAGAGGATGTTGCTACTGCTGCTAAAGGAGGTCGCCCGCCAGACAATGATGAATTGGAGCATTTGTTCCTTCCCTATAGAGCGTTTTGTGCTCGAAAAGGGGTGAGTAATCAGCCGTTTGATTGGTATAATGTTGATGTTTCACTTGAACAAGTTGAATTGATTCTATCCCCAGCCTGCATATTTTTTCTTGTTTTCACCTTGGTTTAGTCCTCAAAGGCAAAGACTTATTGTTCATGTCTCTTGGAATTTCAGATTACGGCGAAGGAGGTGGTCCTCCATGACACTGATGCTTCAAATGCAGTAATTCATTATGCAACTAGCAACTTCGTTGACAATATTGTTGTTGGTTCTTCCAGCCGGCATGGTCTAATGAGGTCATTATCAATTTATCTGTGTTCCTCAATATTCAAAAGCACCTGCACAAATAGAAACATATTAGCCATGAGCACATTTTCAATGTTGTATCAAATTTCTGAATTTCCCAATATTGGCCATGAGCATAACATCTAGATACAAAATTGCATCTGCAACTTCAAGAAAAGGCAAGAAATCATGCTGTTTTGGCGGCATTGTTCTGTATAACTAGTAGACATAAATGCACTGCCAGCCAGAAATTTGAATCTCAAGAGTTCAGAGTTTACACATCTAACATATAGAATTTGTATCCACACAGGAAATTTAGATATCCGGATGTGGCATCCAGCTTACTCAAATCTGCTCCAGAAACTTGTACAGTATATGTTGTATCATCCAAAGGAAAAGCACAAACGACCAGATATCCAAGTCAGCCTCAGTCACCAGTCAATGACGACAAGAAGCATCAGCCACAGTCACCAAATGGTGATGGCACTATTTTGAAGAAACAATGTCATAGGGACCTTCGCTCTTACCTTGAATCTGATACTGCAACCCTTGTTGAGATAAACAGGTAACCTAGGAACAAAGAGCTTATTTATTTCCTGGGGGCTGATATAACAAACATTTCAATTGCCAAAACCTCAACCCTCTTCGTGTTTCCTCGGTTAATATTTATTTTTACCTGAAAGTTCATCCATTCTCTGCACTTAGATGTCCCTCATGTTTCTTTTTGACTCAATGTTGTGTGATCATGCAGAAGTGAGCTTAGCTGTGACAGTCTGACAACAGAAGTAACTGACGAAAACTCCACCAGCATTGAAACTGTGCAGACAACTGCACATGGAAAGTTCAGTTCAAATGTATCATCGATTCTCACAAGAGAAAGTCATATGCCAGATTCGTTCAATATGAAATCAGTCTCAGATAGAAGTGAGTTATCATTGTCACTTAGCTTTCAATCAGCAGACATATCCGAGAATTTAGATGATGCAGTTGCTTTTAAGAGTCCCGGAAAGTTTTTATCCCCTCAACCACCAGCAACCACTGTAAGTATAACATACGGAAATTCATAGGGGAATTGTAAATAATCAATACAGCTTTTATAGTAAGACAGTTATCCAAATCTATGTGCTCCTTGACACAAGTGACGTGACAGGAAAGCTTGGATGCCGAGATACAGAGGTTAAGGATGGAACTGAAGCAATCCATGGACATGTACAACACAGTTTGTAAGAAAGCTAGGGAAGCAAAAGGGAGGGTAAGACAGAACATAAATTTGACCAGATAAATGGTTATGAAGATTTTTTGTCTGGAACTTTTCCTACAATAAGTTCTTTGCAATTCAAACCTAGAAGTCTTCTTTATGTTACTAGGCAATAAAGCTTAAACAATTGCAGATAGAAGAAGCAAAAAAGTTAGAGAGAACCAGGCTTGTGGAAGTGGCTGCAGTGAAGCTTCAACAAATGAAGCTGGAGGAATCAAGAAAGTTAGAGGAAGCCAGACTTGCAGAACAGGCTACATTTGATATGGTCGAGATAGGGGAACAGAATAGCAGAGCCGCCAGGAAAGCAGTACAGACAACACAGTATCTAACAGACTTGAAGACTCAGAAAAGAAAGATAACAGAAATGAATGACATGTATGAAGCAGAAGAAAAGAGGAGAGCAAGGGAAGCATTGCCTCAGAAAAATATTCAGTATAAAAAATACACTATTGAACAGATTGAAACTGCAACAAATTACTTTTCACCGTCGCAGAAGATTGGTGAAGGGGCATATGGACCTGTTTATAGAGCCATAATTGATCACAAAGCTGTCGCCATAAAGGTCCTGAGACCAGACATATCACAGGGACTGAAACAATTCCAACAAGAGGTATTTTCTATTTCTTGTTATTGCAGAAAGTAGATGAGTTGAAGAATGAACTATAAACAGTAGATTTTACTAATACAGGCTACTTTGTTAGGCATGCCAAACTACTTAAACAATCTCCAATCTCGCAAGCCAACTACTCATAATAACCTGCCTTGATACCAGTTTCCTTGCCAAATATGTCACAGAAGAAATAACATAACAACTTGAAAAAAATCAAGGATCAAAGAAGTCACAAACATTGCATTTGTAATCATGTATTGTGTAATTGTCTCAGAACCTAATCTCTTTTTCTTTCTCTTGTACTCATAATGATTGTTTCATGTAGATTGAGGTTCTAGGCAGCATGACACATCCAAATATAATTATCCTCCTAGGTGCCTGCCATGAGTATGGTTGTCTTGTGTATGAGCATATGGAAAACGGAAGCTTAGAAGATCGGCTCTTCCAGAAAGGTGACACTCCCTCAATCCCATGGAGCACACGTTTCAATATAGCTGTTGAGATTGCCACTGGCCTTCTTTTCCTTCACCAAAACAAACCAGAACCCCTCGTTCATCGTGATCTCAAGCCTGCAAATATTCTTTTAGACCGAAACTATACAAGCAAGATATGTGATGTAGGCTTGGCTCGGCTAGTTCCACAATCTACAGCTGATAGTTTCACTCAATATTACATGACAGAAGCAGCTGGTACATTTTGTTACATAGATCCAGAGTATCAACAAACAGGAATGCTGGGTGTGAAATCAGATTTATATTCATTAGGTGTGATGCTGTTACAAATTATTACAGCAAAGCCTCCAATGGGTCTGACCCACCAGGTCGAGAAGGCCATTGAGAACAAAACAATCTCAAGGATCCTTGATCCGACAGTGAGTGATTGGCCTGTTGAGGGGGCATTATCTTTCGCCAAATTGGCTTTGCAGTGCTGTGAGCTGAGAAAAAGGGACAGACCAGATCTCGCCACAGTCGTGCTGCCAGAGCTGATCCGGCTAAGAGATCTTGAATTGGAAACTGAAGCCAGTTACGGTGACTTAACTGTTCCATCAAGTCCTATCTATTCTGTGCTTCCAGAAATAGCAAAAGCAAATCAGGTTAGTTGTTACTGAAATTAATGCCATAACTTGCAAATCTACACATATACTCATTTGAATCCTATTAAATTTTTTCAAAATAACAAAGGAGAACTGAACTGAAAATGTATAACAATAACCATTCTGAATCTTGACCCCAAATGAGCCAATCACAATAAAATTCTTCAATTTTTGCCCCAGTCCCACCTCTCTCTTTCGTTTCCTTTTTTTTTTTTTTTTTTGGGCAGTGCTATCAGAGAAGAAAACTGAGCCACAGGTTTTTGAAATTTTGCTCTAGATATGATCTTACTGTGGTAAGCATCTCTCGGTGGATAGTGATAGAGACTTAGATAGAGTTGATTAATCTTTTATTCCCTAAGTGATTCACCAAATGTTTTCTACTAGGTAGAGTAAATAAAACCAACTACATTATCCACTATTAGTCATTTTATGTTACACAGAACAACTGGCAACCAACAAATATAACTCCTTTATGGTTTCAAAAAAACTTAAATTTCAATTCTAACCATCAACACTAAAGAAAGATTAATGGTTTACATTCTATCAGCTCAACTTCCTCAAGCCCTATAAGGAGAAAAGAGAGGAGAAGGGGTGTGAAGGAGCTGCATTGCTTGGTTTATCTTTGATTTGATATCACAGTAAATCATAGCAATAGGCCTGCCAAATTTAGTGATGTTCCTTCAACAAACTTGAAGACTAATAGGAGAGTGGTTAAGTTTAACGCTTCATCATTAATTCATATGAGACTTTAAGGTTCAAAGACAGGAGAGAATAATTTGGTATTATGACTTTGATAAACTCATTTACAGTAAACAGAAATAATGAGGTCACCCTCATTGTGATTGATAAAGAAAAGAACAGCCAGTGTGCAGTTAAATGGGCAATGGATAATCTTCTATACAAGGGAGATTCAATATGCATTTTTCTTTATGTTCAAAGTCATAACTTGAATAGCAGTAAGTATTTCTCCCTTTTGTTGCATCATTAGTGTAAAAAGAGGCTAATCAGTTCGATAATATTACTGGAAATAATCCCCAGCTTTACAGTATTATCCATGACCATTCTTCATTTTCCAATGTGTTTGATTTGTGTCATTTGAATCCTGCAGAGGATGTTGCTACTGCTGCTAAAGGAGGTCGCCCGCCAGACAATGATGAATTGGAGCATTTGTTCCTTCCCTATAGAGCGTTTTGTGCTCGAAAAGGGGTGAGTAATCAGCCGTTTGATTGGTATAATGTTGATGTTTCACTTGAACAAGTTGAATTGATTCTATCCCCAGCCTGCATATTTTTTCTTGTTTTCACCTTGGTTTAGTCCTCAAAGGCAAAGACTTATTGTTCATGTCTCTTGGAATTTCAGATTACGGCGAAGGAGGTGGTCCTCCATGACACTGATGCTTCAAATGCAGTAATTCATTATGCAACTAGCAACTTCGTTGACAATATTGTTGTTGGTTCTTCCAGCCGGCATGGTCTAATGAGGTCATTATCAATTTATCTGTGTTCCTCAATATTCAAAAGCACCTGCACAAATAGAAACATATTAGCCATGAGCACATTTTCAATGTTGTATCAAATTTCTGAATTTCCCAATATTGGCCATGAGCATAACATCTAGATACAAAATTGCATCTGCAACTTCAAGAAAAGGCAAGAAATCATGCTGTTTTGGCGGCATTGTTCTGTATAACTAGTAGACATAAATGCACTGCCAGCCAGAAATTTGAATCTCAAGAGTTCAGAGTTTACACATCTAACATATAGAATTTGTATCCACACAGGAAATTTAGATATCCGGATGTGGCATCCAGCTTACTCAAATCTGCTCCAGAAACTTGTACAGTATATGTTGTATCATCCAAAGGAAAAGCACAAACAACCAGATATCCAAGTCAGCCTCAGTCACCAGTCAATGACGACAAGAAGCATCAGCCACAGTCACCAAATGGTGATGGCAATAATTTGAAGAAACAATGTCATAGGGACCTTCGCTCTTACCTTGAATCTGATACTGCAACCCCTGTTGAGATAAACAGGTAACCTAGGAACAAAGAGCTTATTTATTTCCAGGGGGCTGATATAACAAACATTTCAATTGCCAAAACCTCAACCCTCTTCATGTTTCCTCGGTTAATATTTATTTTTACCTGAAAGTTCATCCATTCTCTGCACTTAGATGTCCCTCATGTTTCTTTTTGACTCAATGTTGTGTGATCATGCAGAAGTGAGCTTAGCTGTGACAGTCTGACAACAGAAGTAACTGACGAAAACTCCACCAGCATTGAAACTGTGCAGACAACTGCACATGGAAAGTTCAGTTCAAATGTATCATCGATTCTCACAGGAGAAAGTCATATGCCAGATTCGTTCAATATGAAATCAGTCTCAGATAGAAGTGAGTTATCATTGTCACTTAGCTTTCAATCAGCAGACATATCCGAGAATTTAGATAATGCAATTGCTTTTAAGAGTCCCGGAAAGTTTTTATCCCCTCAACCACCAGCAACCACTGTAACCACTGTAAGTATAACATACGGAAATTCATAGGGGAATTGTAAATAATCAATACAGCTTTTATAGTAAGACAGTTATCCAAATCTATGTGCTCCTTGACACAAGTGACGTGACAGGAAAGCTTGGATGCCGAGATACAGAGGTTAAGGATGGAATTGAAGCAATCCATGGACATGTACAACACAGTTTGTAAGAAAGCTAGGGAAGCAAAAGGGAGGGTAAGACAGAACATAAATTTGACCAGATAAATGGTTATGAAGATTTTTTGTCTGGAACTTTTCCTACAATAAGTTCTTTGCAATTCAAACCTAGAAGTCTTCTTTATGTTACTAGGCAATAAAGCTTAAACAATTGCAGATAGAAGAAGCAAAAAAGTTAGAGAGAACCAGGCTTGTGGAAGTGGCTGCAGTGAAGCTTCAACAAATGAAGCTGGAGGAATCAAGAAAGTTAGAGGAAGCCAGACTTGCAGAACAGGCTACATTTGATATGGTCGAGATAGGGGAACAGAATAGCAGAGCCGCCAGGAAAGCAGTACAGACAACACAGTATCTAACAGACTTGAAGACTCAGAAAAGAAAGATAACAGAAATGAATGACATGTATGAAGCAGAAGAAAAGAGGAGAGCAAGGGAAGCATTGCCTCAGAAAAATATTCAGTATAAAAAATACACTATTGAACAGATTGAAACTGCAACAAATTACTTTTCACCGTCGCAGAAGATTGGTGAAGGGGCATATGGACCTGTTTATAGAGCCATAATTGATCACAAAGCTGTCGCCATAAAGGTCCTGAGACCAGACATATCACAGGGACTGAAACAATTCCAACAAGAGGTATTTTCTATTTCTTGTTATTGCAGAAAGTAGATGAGTTGAAGAATGAACTATAAACAGTAGATTTTACTAATACAGGCTACTTTGTTAGGCATGCCAAACTACTTAAACAATCTCCAATCTCGCAAGCCAACTACTCATAATAACCTGCCTTGATACCAGTTTCCTTGCCAAATATGTCACAGAAGAAATAACATAACAACTTGAAAAAAATCAAGGATCAAAGAAGTCACAAACATTGCATTTGTAATCATGTATTGTGTAATTGTCTCAGAACCTAATCTCTTTTTCTTTCTCTTGTACTCATAATGATTGTTTCATGTAGATTGAGGTTCTAGGCAGCATGACACATCCAAATATAATTATCCTCCTAGGTGCCTGCCATGAGTATGGTTGTCTTGTGTATGAGCATATGGAAAACGGAAGCTTAGAAGATCGGCTCTTCCAGAAAGGTGACACTCCCTCAATCCCATGGAGCACACGTTTCAATATAGCTGTTGAGATTGCCACTGGCCTTCTTTTCCTTCACCAAAACAAACCAGAACCCCTCGTTCATCGTGATCTCAAGCCTGCAAATATTCTTTTAGACCGAAACTATACAAGCAAGATATGTGATGTAGGCTTGGCTCGGCTAGTTCCACAATCTACAGCTGATAGTTTCACTCAATATTACATGACAGAAGCAGCTGGTACATTTTGTTACATAGATCCAGAGTATCAACAAACAGGAATGCTGGGTGTGAAATCAGATTTATATTCATTAGGTGTGATGCTGTTACAAATTATTACAGCAAAGCCTCCAATGGGTCTGACCCACCAGGTCGAGAAGGCCATTGAGAACAAAACAATCTCAAGGATCCTTGATCCGACAGTGAGTGATTGGCCTGTTGAGGGGGCATTATCTTTCGCCAAATTGGCTTTGCAGTGCTGTGAGCTGAGAAAAAGGGACAGACCAGATCTCGCCACAGTCGTGCTGCCAGAGCTGATCCGGCTAAGAGATCTTGAATTGGAAACTGAAGCCAGTTACGGTGACTTAACTGTTCCATCAAGTCCTATCTATTCTGTGCTTCCAGAAATAGCAAAAGCAAATCAGGTTAGTTGTTACTGAAATTAATGCCATAACTTGCAAATCTACACATATACTCATTTGAATCCTATTAAATTTTTTCAAAATAACAAAGGAGAACTGAACTGAAAATGTATAACAATAACCATTCTGAATCTTGACCCCAAATGAGCCAATCACAATAAAATTCTTCAATTTTTGCCCCAGTCCCACCTCTCTCTTTCGTTTCCTTTTTTTTTTTTTTTTTTGGGCAGTGCTATCAGAGAAGAAAACTGAGCCACAGGTTTTTGAAATTTTGCTCTAGATATGATCTTACTGTGGTAAGCATCTCTCGGTGGATAGTGATAGAGACTTAGATAGAGTTGATTAATCTTTTATTCCCTAAGTGATTCACCAAATGTTTTCTACTAGACCTTCCAAAATTCCTCAAAAATTTCCTGATGTATGCTCTTAATTATACGTATTAACATCAGGAAGGAATGAGAAACAATCCTAATGTGGAAATCGAAATTCAACGTAGATCAATAAGCGAAAGGGATGGAAACTGCTGAGATCCATGACCAGAATAATGGGATGCGGTACAGGTACCAGAAAAGCCAGAACTCTTCCACCTCATCAGAACCCAGTTGGAAACCAAGACAACCTGCAACCGCAAGGTTGTTGGACAATCATAAGTTGTTCACCTCATTCCTCGAATCAAATAGTAAAATTCAAGTCATTTTCATAAAGAAAATAATATTCTTACAGTGAGCACCCTGTTTGATGACCTGAACACATGATTGATATCCTGGACATTTTTCTGTTGAAGAAACTAGAAACAATATACGCTCATGTTCAAAGACCTTTAACTGATAGTAGATACCTGAAAGAGCTATTCTGAGCATGCAAATCGTGTTCTATGATGCAATTCATCCTTTCCAAGTGTACCATTGATTGTTCTTCATCCCTCTTTAGGTTGTTACGTATGGTTTGTGCACTGATTGGACCTTGCTATTATGTAAATTTTTGTTTGTAAAAGTCAGAATCTTGTATCAATGATCTGATATATTCAACCAGTTAAACAAACAGTTTACCCAAGTAACACTTAAAGAAGAGGATTATAATACTTTTAAATGCCCTTTTTTTTTTTTTTTTTTTTAATGCAATCATTCATGATGTGCAGTAACTTTTCATCAAGAACGAAAAAATTAAATGAACAAATAAACATGTGAACTTTAAGGAAGATGGAGAAATTTCAGAATTATTTACTAAATAATGATCCCCAATGTTTAATGCTAAGACAAGCTTAAGGTAGATACTGCTAATAGACAAGAGAGGATCCACCCTCAACAGACTGAATTCATATTAACACGATGGCAAGCAAAGCAAGATTGCAGAAAACATCAGAACTTGCATTTTATGTGACCTGGATAATAACAAGAACCTTGAATTTGATGATAATCAAATAAAAAACATATATGTTACAATTGTTAAGTAGTTTTAAGGTGTTCATGGATTGCAGCTTTCTTGAATATCCAATATGTTCCTATTCCCTTATAGATCAGTGATCAAAATATAGCTACCTATTGACAGATGCAGGTAAAAATAGAAGATTTTGGTATTCTCATAATTGAGCCAATCAATGCTGCTTGAAAATATAAGATACATTTGATATCAGTCATTCATACTACCTAAAGATATATTTTGCACTGGACAAAATATACAGCTTTTTTCCATGAATTTCTCAGGTTCTCAAATCTCAAGCATTTGTTTGCACTTGAGTTTGATTGTCGGAACTTGTTTGAATTTAACACTAGCGTAAGAGTCCTCTGCCCATGGTAGAAAATCAAATTTGAGAATAGCTAGGCCAATAATGTACCTATAAGTTTCACGTCCAAAAATAGGGAAGAAACAAATTTGCAGCGCATGAAGTGTTCATGTCTAACCCCAAAACAGATCTCTTGTATCTAAACCAGGAAAGCACAGTTCTTGAATTGGAGGATTACTGGATCAATTGACATACGAATCAGTACATCATCATCTAGCTTCTTAACAAAGAGCAGAATCTGGAGCATTGCTGTTGAACTTGTTAAATATGGCTCTTATCCAACGCCTGATAATAGAGTCAAATCAAAACAGAAGCAAATGGGAAGACAAAAGATAAAAATAACAGATAAAATGCTGGAAAGATCTCTTTTCCATAGCATAACCACTTCTTTATGGTTCCTAAACAGATTTGAAAGAGTTTCTGTACATAATCCTAAGAATGTTTTTTTGTGTGCATATCTTTTTACCGCTGTTTTATCATTCTATTCTTGTCTTGCTCTCACACTTTCCTTCTGCTTCTTCAATGAAGTTCATCAAATTAACAGAATTAAGGTAGAAAATCTATCAACTGTAAGTTCCAGGTAAGCATCAACCAAATAAATACGTCTTTTTGCCAAATTATTTGTTGTAACTCATGACCAGGCCATAGTTTATACACCATATTTGCAAATTGTTTTAATCTTCCATGTAGCGTGTGGATTTGAACAATTATAAGGGAACCCAAGTAAATCATAGAACTAGCATGATGGGCTTTTGAAAACTTAGAGCGCCATGCCCTCAGCTACTCTTTAGGAAAGACCATCCTGATTGCTAATCAAAAGCAAGCTTAGACATATCAACTCATGATTTAAGAGAAAAAGTTTATAAACAATTGCTTACAAATTGTGAACTCGACATACCGATCCATTGTTATATCCCGAGAACGATTCTTAATTTGTTTGCAGTATACACTGATATCTATGGTGTTGAAGCCAGCTTCAAGAAACAGGGTTGACAGGAAATCCTCAGAGAAGTAAAATGAGCACTGGAATATATATTGAATTATCAGAAACTATAAAATGAATGTTGTTTTTCAGAAATGAACAAATATTATAATATTATATTACACATGGCACACAGCATACTTACAGTACCATCACCTCGGACATAGAAATCGTCACCAATCATCTGATTTCTGTCTTGAAGCTTTACCTAATAAGTTGACCAGCATTTAACAAGTAAGGGTATAAACAATCACTTATAAACATGTACTGGCAAGAGAAAAGTTCAATTAAAAGATAAAAAAAATAANCAATAATGTACCTATAAGTTTCACGTCCAAAAATAGGGAAGAAACAAATTTGCAGCGCATGAAGTGTTCATGTCTAACCCCAAAACAGATCTCTTGTATCTAAACCAGGAAAGCACAGTTCTTGAATTGGAGGATTACTGGATCAATTGACATACGAATCATTACATCATCATCTAGCTTCTTAACTAAGAGCAGAATCTGGAGCATTGCTGTTGAACTTGTTAAATATGGCTCTTATCCAACGCCTGATAATAGAGTCAAATCAAAACAGAAGCAAATGGGAAGAAGAAAGATAAAAATAACAGATAAAATGCTGGAAAGATCTCTTTTCCATAGCATAACCACTTCTTTATGGTTCCTAAACAGATTTGAAAGAGTTTCTGTACATAATCCTAAGAATGTGTTTTTGTGTGCATATCTTTTTACCGCTGTTTTATCATTCTATTCTTGTCTTGCTCTCACACTTTCCTCCTGCTTCTTCAATGAAGTTCATCAAATTAACAGAATTAAGGTAGAAAATCTATCAACTGTAAGTTCCAGGTAAGCATCAACCAAATAAATACGTCTTTTTGCCAAATTATTTGTTGTAACTCATGACCAGGCCATAGTTTATACACCATATTTGCAAATTGTTTTAATCTTCCATGTAGCGTGTGGATTTGAACAATTATAAGGGAACCCAAGTAAATCATAGAACTAGCATGATGGGCTTTTGAAAACTTAGAGCGCCATGCCCTCAGCTACTCTTTAGGAAAGACCCTCCTGATTGCTAATCAAAAGAAAGCTTAGACATATCAACTCATGATTTAAGAGAAAAAGTTTATAAACAATTGCTTACAAATTGTGAACTCGACATACCGATCCATTGCTATATCCCGAGAACGATTCTTAATTTGTTTGCAGTATACACTGATATCTATGGTGTTGAAGCCAGCTTCAAGAAACAGGGTTGACAGGAAATCCTCAGAGAAGTAAAATGAGCACTGGAATATATATTGAATTATCAGAAACTATAAAATGAATGTTGTTTTTCAGAAATGAACAAATATTATAATATTATATTACACATGGCACACAGCATACTTACAGTACCATCACCTCGGACATAGAAATCGTCACCAATCATCTGATTTCTGTCTTGAAGCTTTACCTAATAAGTTGACCAGCATTTAACAAGTAAGGGTATAAACAATCACTTATAAACATGTACTGGCAAGAGAAAAGTTCAATTAAAAGATAAAAAAAATAAAATAAAATATTTATATAAGAAAAATCTAAATAAATAAAAACAGGTAAAGCATGAAAAGAGACTGATACAATTATAAACTCCTTTCTATTTGGGCTATGAATCACAATTGCCCGCTCATATACCATGGATTGTGGATTTCTTTTTTTTTTTTCTTTGTAAGAATCCAAATATGGAAAGGAAAATTTGCTCTGGTGAGAAATTTTTCTCATAGCAAATAAGCATACAAACCTTAATTGTTAAAAGCAAGAAAATGTTACTTAATAAAGGCAGGCAAGGAAGTACAGAAGGTGCTCAAGCACCAATGACAAGCACAAATAAGACCAATGGAGAATACTATTGAATAACAATTAAACAACTCACTTGAGCAAAATCTCCAACAGCATAATCTCGTAAGAGAACATAACCATTTGGCTACAAGTAGATAAAAGAAAGACATGTTATTTTGAGATAATAGATATAATGAAACTGTCTCAACCAATAACATGTTACATTTTAACATTTACCTTTAATACTGATTTAATATTCTGTAATATTAAAGACATCTTCTTGGGAGAAACTGCAGACAACATAAAAATCTGTTCAACATGTTAGATATTAACACAAAAGACAAATTAGAGCCACTATTTTCGAATAATTGCCAGCTCTTACCAAAGTAACAACATCAACTGAAGAAGGATTAATATTTTCAGATAGATTGTCATCTATTACATTGCAGACAAAGGCATTTACCCGATCTTGTCTGAACTCTGCATGTGACTGCATCCAGTAAAGTTGTGAAAGTTATGTATAATCATCATGCTCAGAGTTAAAACGGCATGGCTCTTCACGAAGTGTGATGATGCAAGTACGAAACACACACACCCGTGGATTGATTAGAAAACGAGCTTTATAAGCATCCAAATGAAACACAAAAATCCTCAAAAGTTGTATGAACCTAGATAGAGGGGTATATTAATGATTATTACAGTAATCATAGTCGATGCCACTGCTAAGTTTACTAAGCCTTCAAACTAACACAAGTGTACTTAGATGAGAGAATGCATCTTAAATATGTACAAGGCATAATTCATAATGCGAAATCTAAAAAACAAAATGTATATTCAGTATGCATTGTACACAAAGTGGTAAACCTTAACAAGCTCAATGGCTTGAGGTGAGATATCACAAGCATGAAAATAAAGCTTGGGATATGCAGTAACAAGAGGAAAGATTGTATTCCCAGCTCCACAACCAACCTGCCAGTATATAACATGTCAAAAAACCATTTTACACATATCTACACAAGTTTTACAACCGCTAAAAACGAAATGCCAACATGTTATTACATTTGAGCATACAATACTTTCAACAAACAGATATTGAGTCACGAAATATCAGTTATGTGACCATTTCAAATGTCAACATATAACCATATTTAGTTTAAGTTACAAGTAGATGGGTGATAATAACAATCACTAATTCACTTGGCTTCTTTAATGCTCTTATATTTACATTATCGCACACGTTAAGATCACAAAAATACAAAATTTTGATAACATTAATCATTAAAAGAATCTTATCTTTTTGCCTTCTTGATCATAAAATGCATTCATGTAATCATAAATTTTTTTACTTTAATTTCCTATCCTATCAAATAAAACATTAAACATTAGAAACTTTACCATAGAAGTCAATAATAATCTGTTGCGACACTCGAAAGAGTAACGATGAATGATGTGACAATAAAACAATAATAACAGGTTACATTTTAAGCTGTAAAGTTGAAAATGAATACCTCCAAAACAACCTTAGGTTCATCAGAGAAGTAATGGCCCCAGTCTTTCTCCAAGTAATGTCTATCCTTGAAGAACTACAAACCCACCAACACACTTTACTCAAATATCCAAACGACTTATCCTTTTTGACGTCAAACCAAAGGGAAAAAACATAAAAGTGAAGAGAAAGACCTTGTTTTGGTGGCGTTTGTAGAAGCTGTCCCAGTATTTTTTGGCTTTCCTCTGGTAGTGTTCTTCTAAGGATTGACATTTATGCAGCTGAGAGTGGACGACCGTTGGACGAAATCGGCGGTGCAGACGACTGACAGTGGTGATGAATGAGGAGCTGTGAGAGTAACTGAGAGTGGGGGGGACTCCTCTCATCTCATCACTCTTCCACCTCTTTGGTTTTGGGGACAGAAATAAAAATCATAATAGGGGATCATTTGGAAAAATAAAAAGTTTTGGTACTTCTTAAAAATATCATACAAGGGTCCGAACTTACAAAAAGACCCCTCTTTATTTACCCTTGAGCTTAGAGAACGAAGAAATAAGATAATTGTACGAAGAATGTGATCAGAAATCCATAGTAGAGTCCGAAGACGGAGATATAAAAGGATTGAATGAAAAAATATGATCAAACATTAATAATAGAGTTCGACAATGAAATAAGAAAAAATAGGATTGTACAAAGACTGCGACCAAAAATTCATAATAAAGTCCAAATGTGAAGGAAAAAATACGTGGATTGTAAGAATAATATGATCATAAATCTATAACAAATTCAAAATCGACTGTTTAACGAGTATTAATGATACGATAGACTAATAAATAAAAACAGCGTTTTCGATTAACAATATAAGAAGATAGAACATTTTGTTAATAAAGTGAGGACATTTTTGTCAGTTTTATGTATTAAATAAATAAAAACCCTAGAATTTAGTTATTTATGCTAAATATTCTTCTCATATAAGACAACTATAAACTATGAGGGCTAAAGGAAAATTTTTTCTCAAATTTTGACTACGTGAAACATGAGGGGTGTTCTTGTTATTAACCGTAAACATGAAAACATTAAACGCCGTCGTTTTCAGTCGGTGAGTATCTTCTTCGTCTGTTAACCCTAAACTTTATGCTTGGCTGCAATGTTGTTTTGGCGGAAACTAGCGGGAAAAATTGCCATCCTTTGAAGGTTGAAACCTTTAATTTGTATAGAAGTAGAGAGATTGAACTAATCAGATTCGAAAACAAAAGAAATATATGGGGAGAAGAACAGGAGGCCGAAGTTTCAACGCTGGCATTCTCCTCCGCCGTGTCGAATCATGCAAGAAGACTTACTCAACAACCAAACAACTCGTCGATGATCTCCGTTCAAATTACCCCGATTATAGACGACTAAAGGAACACGATTTCACTAAATACGTAGAAAAAACTCTAGATTCATCTCGCCGAAACATGAACAAACATTCAACTTCAAACGGCGCTGTTTCGGCTTCAGCTTCACCGAAAAAGAATCAAAGGAGAAGAATTGACGGTGACGAAGAGAGACTACAGAGGTTGGAGAATCAGCATGTTAAACGAAGGAAAATGAGTGATACGACGTCGTCCGAGTCGAGTTCGGAGTCCGATTCGGAGTCGGATGATGAGGAAGAAGAAGAAGAAGATGGAGCGGTTTCGACTTCGGAAGATGCTATTTATGGAGAGAAAGTTGAGCCGGAGTTTGATTTAATGAAGTCTATGTTACGACATACATATTCGAGTAATTCGAAGTTGAAGAATGAAGAGAAGAATGTAGAGATTGAAGATAGTGAGAGGAAGGTTGAGTTAATTAATGGAAGTAATAAAGTGTCAGAGGCTGAGATGAAGAGAGAAGTGGGCTCAGGTTCGGGTATTGGGGATGTGAAGGGGAAGGAGGGGCCAAGGTTTAGGGACTTGGGAGGGATGGAGAGTGTGCTGGAGGAGTTGAAGATGGAGGTGATTGTGCCATTGTATCATCCACAGTTGCCGCGGTGGCTGGGAGTGAGACCAATGGCAGGGATTTTGTTGCACGGTCCACCTGGGTGTGGAAAGACCAAGTTGGCTCATGCCATTGCCAATGAGACTGGTGTTCCTTTTTATAAGATTTCGGCTACTGAAGTTGTGTCCGGTGTATCTGGTATCGGTTTAGTTTTCTCATACTTGTTGATGTTATCTTGCTGTTTTGATTGGGATTGTGATGATTTTGTGTGTAGCTTAAATAGGTAGTAGATGATGAGCTTAGTTATTATCAAAGAAAATATGGGAAAACAATTGTGGTTCATATGAAGTGTTTATTCTGGTAATCATTTTCTGTTTGAAGAATTTGGTCTCATATGAAATTTGCTTCTTTATAATGGTCTATCATTCTGCTTGGGAACTTCTTAGCATTTCGTTGAAACATGACCTATATATTTTCAGCTGAAAAGTGATATTTATCTAGAATGTTACTTGATGGAACCTTTTATTGCTTAATATATCTCCTTTAGCTATGTGTTTTACCATGTGTTGGTACTTTATCAGAAGTTTTTGGTATTCGTACTGTATGGTACTGCCACATGTTTATGATCCCTTTTTAATATACTGAAAATCTCAGGTGCTTCTGAAGAAAACATCCGAGATCTTTTCTCTAAAGCATACAGGACTGCACCGTCTATTGTATTTATTGACGAGATTGATGCAATTGCTTCTAAAAGAGAGAATCTTCAGAGGGAGATGGAGAGACGGATTGTGACTCAACTAATGACTTGCATGGATGAATCTCATAGACTTGTACAACCAAGCGATGAGAATTCTAACTCGGATAACTCTGATTCAAGACCTGGTTATGTTCTTGTAATTGGAGCTACTAACAGACCTGATGCTGTTGATCCTGCACTGAGGAGGCCTGGAAGATTTGATCGTGAGATTGTTCTAGGTGTTCCAGATGAGACTGCAAGGATACATATTCTTTCTGTGCTTACCAAAAATCTGAGAGTCGAGGGGTCTTTTGATCTTGTCAAAATAGCCAGGTCTACCCCAGGGTTTGTTGGAGCTGATCTGGCAGCCCTTGCTAACAAGGCTGGAAACCTTGCCATGAAAAGAATCATAGACCAAAGAAAGTCTGAGCTCTCTAAAGATTCTATATCTGAGGAACATACTGATGAGTGGTGGAGGCAACCATGGTTGCCTGAAGAGATGGATAGGCTTACAATAACTATGGCTGATTTTGAGGTACGTAGAGCTACATCTTTTTAATTATTGTTTTATCCCTTAAAAATAGCAGTATCTGATTAGCATGTTAGTTTATTCATTTCAGTCTTATGATCTAACGTCTTGCATATCTGCTTAGATTTACCCTCAATTTGCAGCTTTGTTTCTGTTTCTAATATTACTTGACTAAGACAAACTGTTGTTCTTTTACATTATTTGTATTGAGCTGCTGCTGTTTTTCTAGGAACTATATTGGAAGTTAAATTGTGCATCCATTTTCAGTGCTATTTCCACTACTAATTCATAAGTTTCTTTCTTCTAGTGTTTACCATACTGTTGCCATTCTTTGTCTTGTCTGCCTTCTGCTGCAGCACGTAGTTAAGCACACAAATGAATTATAAGGATATGCTTGAATCTAAGTATACAAATGTCTTATCTAGAAAGTCGTTATATGCAATGCGTTATGTGGTCATGTTTGATATATTTGTCAGGACTTGGTGGTATACTAATTTATGTTACTGACTTTCAGATTTTATTGTTAATTATTATTATTTTGGTGGGGTGGTAAAAATTACTTTAACTGCATTTGCTGATTGGACTGTTTAAGATGACAGAGCCAATTTCTTTTTGTCATATCCGTCAGGAAGCAGCTAAAATGGTTCAACCCTCATCAAGAAGAGAAGGATTCTCTAGCATTCCAAATGTTAAATGGGAAGATGTGGGCGGGCTTGATTTCTTACGACATGAGTTTGACCGCTACATAGTTAGGCGTGTAAAATTTCCAGAGGAGTATGAGGTTATTATAAATGATTGCCATTTTACTTATCTCTTTTTTTCTTTGCTCAAAATGTATAATTATTGAAAGGGACAAAAGATGAAAATATAAGATTAGGATGAGTCATCCCAAAAAGAAAAGAAGAAAAAATTGAAGAATTTAGGAATGAAATAATACTAAAAGGGTTAGACACATCATTACTGATTAAAACATCCATATGGAAGAATTTTGGATTAATTCTCTGACTCTTGAATTTATTTGCTTATTCAGGGATTTGGGGTTGATCTGGAGACAGGATTTCTGCTTTATGGGCCACCAGGCTGTGGTAAAACACTTATTGCCAAGGCTGTTGCCAATGAGGCAGGAGCCAATTTCATTCACATCAAGGTCAATTCCCTTGACCTTAATTCTTTTCTTAGTTCTCAAAGAAGCTCCTTTTGGTGCTTTAGTGCTAGATTTTTTATTTATGCATTTTTATGGTTAATTTTATCATAAAAGATTTGGCTATTTTAGGGCCCTGAGCTCCTAAATAAATATGTTGGAGAAAGTGAGTTGGCAGTTCGTACATTATTCAGTCGTGCAAGAACTTGTTCACCATGCGTACTTTTCTTTGATGAGGTTAGTGGCTCCTCTCCTTGAAAGTTGGGAGTTCTGGTTAGAGTTTCTTTTTAATTTACATTTCCAAGTGTTGGTTATTGCTTTACATTGTTGTGTAATGGTTTTTATTCATTTCATTATCTTTAGGTGGATGCTCTGACAACAAAGCGTGGGAAAGAAGGGGGTTGGGTGGTTGAGCGACTTTTGAACCAGGTTAATATGATCTGCAGTGACTATCTATAAACAGAATCATGGTGTGCTGACAATCTATTATCCAATACAGACGAAATAAATCCATTTTTTTTTTACAATTGTAGTTACTTATAGAGTTAGATGGAGCAGAGACGCGGCGGGGTGTTTTTGTCATTGGTGCCACCAATAGGTACAGCATATTATTTGCCTTCTTTCAATTTGCTTTGGTAAGGACCACTCTTTATCTTTTTCCTTCAATCTGGTGTTTCTGTTGGCAGGCCTGATGTGATGGATCGTGCAGTCTTAAGGCCTGGTAGGTTTGGTAAGCTTCTTTACGTCCCTCTGCCCACTCCGGATGAGCGTGCATTGATCTTAAAAGCTCTTGCGAGGAAGAAGCCTATAGATGCCAGTGTGGATTTGTCTGCCATTGCACATATGAAGGCCTGTGAAAATTTAAGTGGAGCTGATCTTGCTGCACTGGTTAGTCTTCCTTTTATCACTCTTTTTTTACCCTGTATTCGCTTGAATATAATCTTGTAGAACATTTATACTGAAATTTATTTTCACCCTTTCTTAACTTCTGTATTTATTTAACTGTCGCCAGATGAATGAAGCTGCAATGGCTGCTTTGGAAGAGAAAGTAATGTTAAGCAAAAGCTCCTCAGATCCAACTCCATTCACAATCAAGATAACTCATTTTGAACAAGCTCTAAGTAAAATCACACCATCTGTCTCCAACCAGGTATGATTCTTTCCGTTAACCCTTAACCATTCAATAAACTCCTGTTTCGCTCCTCACATTTTACCATCTGAAATACAGCAAAAGCAGAGATATCAGGCTTTGTCGGAGAGCTTAAAAGCAGCATGAAAAGAAAATGTTAATGACAGATATCTCAAGCTAGTTCCAGATGCGCGAATTCTTCTCGTTGACTGAATTGCGCAACAAAGAATCCATCAATGTTGCCATGTTTCTATAGTATGTTTTGGTGTCGAGAAAGAAACTCGGACACTTCCATCATCATGGGAAAAATTTTTGTAGTGATTTAGGTCCAAGATTCATGTTTTTTTTTGGCTTATTTTGCACTTCTTTTTTGATTGGAAACTTGGGAGTTTTTGAGTCCTTGGAAAAGCTTGGATTGATAGAAGAAGAGGTCATGTAATTAGCCATTTACTAAGCTATTGAATACAATATATTTTCATCGAGTAATACTACAGTCACCGAAATAGTGTACCGAATTCACACACTGAATGATGTGGCAAAATCATGACTATTGATTAATTTTAACTGAATATTAATAGACGGTCAGGATTTTGTCACGTCATTCGGTGTATAAAATCGGTGCACAACTTTCAGTGACTTTATCATTTTCGATTTTCATCATCTTTATTCTTCGTTGACTACATCTTTCTTGTCTATTTTTCTCAGTCTAGTATAATATATACTGATAAAATGTAGTTAATTTTTTATGTCGACAGCAAACATCATGAATCCCCATCTTTCCTTCTATATTCTATCTTAAGAAATTCAATCAAAAGAGTATTACTCTTTAAACCCATCCCTGTGTAGTCTCAATGGTCAGCGCGTATTGGAGAGAGAGTATAAATAGGTATACGGTTTCAAATTTGATTCTCCATCTGAGTATTTACGATTTAAATAAAAGGCTGTGGCAATGGGTTGTTATACTAGTCTTTCTTGAAGATTAGTTGAAATGTCCGATTTAAGTGAAAGGTTGTGCCAGTATGTTGTTACGTTAATCTCCTAAAGATTAATTGAGGGATGTAATATACCTTTTTATTTAAGGGATTTTTCATATTTTAGAGGTTTTAACTGTTTTAGATAATCACTGAAGAATAAGAAAAGAAGGAAATTTACATTTTTACCCATTATAATAAAGTTACATTTAGGCCCACTAGTTTCCTAGACCTAACAATAAGAGTATCGCTAACAGTATTTTTATTTTAAACTTTAAAGAACATTTTTCTTATAAATAAAAAATAGTTTCGTTAATTTTTAAATAAAAAATAATGAAAATACTTTTTAAATTTAATAAAAATACCCTTTATTTTTATTTTCAATAAAGAGACCTAATAGGTCAGCCAACGTGTGACGTGTCTCGAAAAAACCAGAGGAAACCTTCACACCTTCTCGGCATTTTCTTTAATTTCCAATCAGTTCTGCTTTCTCTTTCTCTCAACTCAACGGCCTCTTTCTCTTTCTAAGCCAAACCCTAACCCTAAAATCCCAACAATACATGGCTTACCACCACACACCCGGATCGGACGACAAGCGCGACCCCAACGCGCGCTTCTACAACCCCTACGCCGACCTCAACATCCCCAGCCAAAATCTTTACAAACTCCCCACCTCCCCGGAGTTCCTCTTCCCTGAGGAGAGCCTCCGCCAGCGCCGTTCGTGGGGGGAGAATCTCACCTTTTATACCGGGACGGCTTACTTGGGGGGGTCTATTACCGGCGCAGGCATCGGGTTGTTCTCCGCTTTTAAATCGATGGAGCCTGGGGACACGTTGAAGTTGCAGGTTAATAGGGTTTTGAATTCTTCCGGGCATTCGGGTCGGTCATGGGGAAACCGGGTCGGTGTGATCGGGTTGATTTACGCGGGGATGGAGAGTGGGGTGGTGGCGCTTACGGATAGGGATGATGTTTGGAGTAGTGTGGCGGCGGGGCTCGGGACTGGGGCGGTCTGTCGGGCGGCGAGAGGTGTGAGGTCGGCGGCGGTGGCGGGTGCGCTTGGTGGACTGGCGGCGGGTGCGGCAGTGGCGGCGAAGCAGGTGATGAAGAGATATGTTCCGATTTGAGAGGGATTTGTATGGTTTCTTTGAGAAAGTTTCAATTTTGACCTGATAGAGATTAAAAAAATTCCATTGATGAGTGAATGTTCTGATTGAATTATGAATTATGAGCCATGAAATTGATTAATTTATAGATATATATAGTTTTAGTGTTATGATGTAATAAATAATTACTTCGGTGATGAAAGACACTGATGACTGAATCGAAAGTTTCCAAGTTTCTATTAGGAGTTATTTGAGTGGGAATTTATTTCTGTGTTGTTTTGTAATTTTTTTTTTTTTTTTTCCTGTTAGCTGTGGCTTTAGAACTAAAAGCTGATTTGCAGTTAGTGATTTTGGCATGTTCTAATGTAATTAATAATGATGTGGTGGTTAAGAACACGAATGATGATTTTTGATGGGAATGGAAAGTATTAAGTTCATTTATTATGCTTGGATACCTGTTTTTTATTTTGATTTGTTATTTGTTGAATTGGCCGTTTCTTCAAAATTTAAGGCAAAGTCACTGTTAAAATAATGAGTCTCAGATGGGGATGTATATAGATTTTCTTGTTTAATTTCTCAGTTGTGTTGAAAAGAGAATAACGTGGCTGTTAGTAAAGTTGAACTTGATTTAAAGGGAACATCACTTGGATTGCTGTTTTTGTGGTTGACTGATGATAGAGCTGTGTGGAATAAGGATGTTTATGCTTGGTTGAGACTAGTTGTTAAATGGATGTTTAGCATGTAATCAGAATGGTTCATGTTTGTCTAATTGTGTGGTGTTGTTATTTTTCATGACTTTGTGACTCGATGTCAATGTGTTTGTTGATTGATGTTCAGCGTTTGTATTATAATATGTATGAACTTGGTTGGTTATATCTATAATTCGGTAGAACAAAGATCAGCCAGACAGGTTGACAGACTAAATGGAGAAATTGTTTTTTTTTTTTTTTTTTTTTTGGGGGGGGGGGGGGGGGGGGGGGGGGGGGGTGGGGGGGGGGGGGGGGTGGCGTGGGAGGGCCGTGGAGATTGAAAGGGTTATGGTATTCATCCCACTTATAAATGTGTTTCAGATTGTTGTGCATTGTTGGAATGCATTGTTGAGTCTCTCATTAGTTTATAAATGCGTTTCAGATTGTTGTGCATTGTTGCAATGCATTGTTGAGTCTCTCACTAGTTTAAATGCACACATTGAAGTAAAAATGTGTACAAAAGTTTTGGGCATATTCCTTGTGTAAAGATACCGTTAAATATTCAGAATCACTAAAATCAAGCTTTGTTGATTCAAGGCTTTTTGTCAAGTCCCCACAATTTGGTTCTCATTTCACATACAAATGTGTTTCAAATCATAGTGCTTCACCCCTAAGGATATATTGTGTATGTCAAATTCATTGTGCTATGAGACTTGTTTGTGTAGAAATATGAATGTATGCTTACTAGTTACTATATTCTCTTCTATGACATACTCATGAATTTCTTCCAATATGTGATTTCATCATGTTTAGAGGATAGGATTTCACCAATAGATTCAGCTCAGGAAAATATTTTCAAGGATATGCAAGGCCAAAGACTTTGGCATCTGAACTAATATTTGGCAACCCGTTATCTTGCCTATTATTGTTGGTCTCATATTGCTTTTTGTGCGTGCAACCTTTTTCATGATCTGTCTAAATTTATTTTGAGTATATTGTTGTATCCAACGCAGAGAGGTTGTTAATCTTTCTAATAGGCTTATGATTTGTTGATGAACCATTACTAGCACACTCGCAATTTGTGATTATAAATTTGGTTCATTATTTGCATTGTTTTAAAACCCTGGACCAGAGGGTAACCCGTTTTGCTGTTCAGGTCACGGGTCAATTGGTTGGACCGGTGACGTCAGCAATAATTTTTTTTTTAATTATTATTAATCCCTTAAATTTTAGTATATTACAAAAATATCCTTCGAAATTTTCAAATTAGTCTCTAAAATTTTTATTTATTTCAAAAATGCTCCAAAAAATAACTAATTGATCTGTAAACTTTTGATATATCTCTAAAACACCCTTAAAAATAACAAAAGTAGTCCCTATAAATTTGAAATATTATAATACCCCCCTAAACCCTGAACCAGACCGAAGAAGCTATCGGGTGCGGGTCGAATTGGTCTAATTAGTCGGTTCGGTCTGGGTTTTAATACAGAAATTATTTGATGATTTTTAGAATAGTATTTTGGGAAAAAAAAAATTGGGTTACCTTTAAGAGAAAAATAATTATTAATACTTTGTGAGACGAATAGAGTAGAATAGGATTTTGAGAATATTGAAATAAATGCATTTATGAGTTTTTAGGATATAATAGTAGAATATAATAGGAATATAATATTGAAACAAAAGAGTCACAAATTATTTTTACCTCTCATGGTTCATGTTATCATGACTATGAAGATCCAAAGTACAAATTCCAAAACATGATTGCACTCTAGAAGAGATTTCAGTCGGTTAATAGTATAGTGAAATCAGCCAATTAATGGCACATCATCTTTTATGTAAGAGATTTAATTCGGTTAATGCAGTGTAATGAAAACAATTGGTCTCTATTTTGTTCTTGCAGAAAACTAGACAAGTAATGTTCATTGAAATTGGTGGCACATCCCAATATTCCTTCCATTTACTTGTCAGAAATTTGGGATATATTACTGCTATGGAGATGGAATATAAATGNCAGTTAGTGATTTTGGCATGTTCTAATGTAATTAATAATGATGTGGTGATTAAGAACACGAATGATGATTTTTGATGGGAATGGAAAGTATTAAGTTCATTTATTATGCTTGGATACCTGTTTTTTATTTTGATTTGTTATTTGTTGAATTGGCCGTTTCTTCAAAATTTAAGGCAAAGTAACTGTTAAAATAATGAGTCTCAGATGGGGATGTATATAGATTTTCTTGTTTAATTTCTCAGTTGTGTTCAAAAGAGAATAACGTGGCTGTTAGTAAAGTTGAACTTGATTTAAAGGGAACATCACTTGGATTGCTGTTTTTGTGGTTGACTGATGATAGAGCTGTGTGGAATAAGGATGTTTATGCTTGGTTGAGACTAGTTGTTAAATGGATGTTTAGCATGTAATATGAATGGTTCATGGTTTGTCTAATTGTGTGGTGTTGTTATTTTTCATGACTTTGTGACTCTGATGTCAATGGTAGGTTGTTGATTGATGTTCAGAGTTTGTATTATAATATGTATGAACTTTGGTTGGTTAATATCATATTAATTCGGTAGAACAAAGATCAGCCAGGCAAAGTTGACAGACTCAGTGGAGATTGAAAGGGTTATGGTATTCATCCCACTTATAAATGTGATTCAGATTGTTTTGCATTGTTGATTCTCTCATTAGTTTAAATGCACACATTGAAGTAAAAATGTGTACAAAAGTTTTGGGCGTAATCCTTGTGTAAAGATACTGTCAAATATTCAGAATCACTAAAATCAAGCTTTGTTGATGCAAGGCTTTTTGTCAAGTCCCCAGAATTTGGTTCTCATTTCACATACAAATGTGTTTCAAATCATAGTGCTTCATCCCTAAGGATATATTGTGTATGTCAAATTCATTGTGCTATGAGACTTGTTTGTGTAGAAGTATGAATGTACGTTTACTATATTCTCTTCTATGACATACTCATGAATTTCTTCCAATATGTGATTTCATCATGTTTAGAGGATAGGATTTCAGTAATAGATTCAGTTCAGGAAAATATTTTCAAGGATATGCAAAGCCAAAGACTTTGGCATCTGAACTAAATATTTGGCAACCCGTTATCTTGCCTATTATTGTTGGTCTCGTATTGCTTTTTGTGCCTGCAACCTTTATCATGATCTGTCTAAATTTATTTTTAGTATATTGTCGTATCCAAAGCAGAGAGGTTGTTAATCTTTCTATAGGCTTATGATTTGTTGATGAACCATCACTAGCACACTCGCAATTTGTGATTATAAATTTGGTTCATTATTTGATGATCTTTAGAATAGTATTTTAAAAAGAAAAAAAATTGGGTTATCTTTTACGAGGAAGGTAATTATTAATGTTTTGTGAGATGAATAAAATAGAATAAGATTTTGAGAATATTAAAACAAATACATTTATAATAATAGAATAAGATAGAGATATAATATTGAAACAAAGGGGTCCCAAATTATTTTTACCTCTAATGGTTCACGTTATTGTAACTAGAAGATCCAAACTATAAATTCCAAAAGATGATTGCACTCTAGAAGAGATTTCAGTCGGTTAATAGTATAGTGAAATCAGCCAATTAATGGCACATCATCTTTTATGTAAGAGATTTAATTCGGTTAATGCAGTGTAATGAAAACAATTGGTCTCTATTTTGTTCTTGCAGAAAACTAGACAAGTAATGTTCATTGAAATTGGTGGCCCATCTCAATATTCCTTCCACTTACTTGGTCAGAAATTTGGGATATATTACTGCTATGGAGATGGAATATAAACGAACACAAAATAACTTCACACAAACATTTAGAAGAGAATGGACTAGCTCTTGAGGCACAAAGAAAGAATTTCCAGTGATTTTTGAGACCATTCAAATGGTAAAAGAAATATGAAAAGCCATGACAAAAAAACACCTAGATTTATTTAGAAGTACTATCCACATAAAAGGGGAAAATTACACTCTGCAAAATCATGTTTGGAGTTTCATGCCTCAGTCCCCTGTGCATTTTTATTCTGGAAAAAAATCATTTCAACTTTGATTAAGTGAGAAAACACTATGCCTTGCACTGAAATCATGTCAACTGAACCTCCTCCCAACTTCTGGGATTGAACTAAAAAGTATTCTCATCTAAACTGATGCAGAGAGGGAAGAGCATTTGAATTTATCAAATGGGGGAAAAACATGAACAGGAGAGTTCGATTTAGAGCAACATGGACTCTGGATTCTCAATGTATCCTTTGAATGCTTTTAGCCATTCTGCACCAACTGCACCTGTAAACGAAGCACAATCAACAGGTTCACAACATCATCACAAAAGGGTATTGAGTAAAACAATAAAGCTCGACTCGAATTAATTCCTACCCGAAAAGACGTTAACTGAGCTATTACTTACCGTCTATTACACGATGATCACAGCTTAGTGTTACAGACATGAATGAAGCAAATTTGTATTCATCTGGGCCCGCACCGGGGATAACTCTCTTCTCAGCTGCTCAAGATTACGACCCAAAAATCAAAACTGGCTATAATAAAGTTGACAAGAATGATGAATATAGCTTTAAGAAATTAGGTGCTGATCTTACCAGATCCCACTGCGAGAATGCCAGATTGAGGAGGATTAATAATGGCACAAAATTGTTTGATGCCAAAGGGTCCTCCCAAATTGGTTACTGTGAATGTGCCTCCCTGCAAAAAAGAAAACACCAGAATTACGATAACAATGACAAAACATGATCGCACACCGACAGACAATCATTAAATGTTACCCTGACCTCATAATCTTCTGGTTTTAAGCTGTTTTCTTTGGCTTTTTGGGCCAATTGTTTGACCTCTTCAGAAATTGTGGATAAGCCTTTCTTGTCCGCATCCTAAGAGCCATGCAAATTCTTGTCAGTGGAACCACTAATAGAACCAAAGCAAAAAATTGTTTAACTGCCATACAAGACAGCCACTCACCCTGACAACAGGGACATAGAGTCCATTATCTGTCTGCACTGCTACATTGATATTCACATTGTTGTACCTGGACCAGAAGTCAAAAGAAAAATCTCAGATTGAGTCCATACCATAAGTCAACCACAATTTATATTACAGTTTACTTACTGGCGGATATAATCGTCAGTCCATGAACTGTTGCACCGAGGAACCTTCCGAAGAGCCAAGGCTGCAGCCTGCAGTTATGTACAAATTAAAAACTCTATAAAAAAAAATTCTGAACAGCCAAATCAACAACAAAAGTATATCAAATGGGGGACACAGCATCACTACTTATGTTAGTCCAACAACTAACTTCAATAATCAATTTTGTATGAATAGTAATTCTAAGATTGTGACAGAAGCACCCTGCCAGAAAACAGACTTCTTTAAAAAATTCTAAAGGCTTATATGAAATTTTTAGGTCAGATTCAAATTTGATATTCCAAAGAAATAATAATATAGGCATGAGAAAAAAGTCAGAAGGACCATTTTCAAGATAATTTGAGGCGAGAGGTTCCCAAGCAATACACATTTATTCGTTTTTTAAACCTAAAATGTCATGTAGGCTTAATGAATTTGTATCCCACAAACCTCCAGCCTTAGAAATTCGCAAATGTAAAACCATAAGCTTAAAATAACCAAAAAATGAACCAATTTTCACATCTTAATGCTCAATAATTATGTACAATAACAGCAGTATACCTTAATCACAAGATCATTGACAGATATACGTTTCCCACCAGAAGCCTCTTGTATGGAATTCAGTTGACTCCGCAAACTGCAAACATAGCTATCAGAAAACGTGCAATAAAGGCTATAATTCAAAGATGGTAGAAACAAATACTTACCCCATAAGTTTGTCAACGCATGTATCTACTGTTAAGTAATAATGTGGGATAGTTTGTTTTGAGAGTAATAAGCGTGAAGCCGTAACCTGTCAAAATTACACCAGATATTAGCTTCAGAGTAGGTCTTGGTTTGGCAAAGAATAAAGAAAAAAGTAAAAGATAGCGAAAGGTGTATTTCTAAGAAGTTGGGGATACCACCAAGTTAGAAGAAGATACCGGCTTGTGCAGAGTCAAACCATAGAATAAATTTTTTACACCAAAATTAGTTAAAATAAGACTAATATATGATATGTCACCTTTCTTATTTGAGAATGAGGAATGTCCACATAGTCCAAAGCTGCAGCTGCTGCATCCTTAGCCTTAGCTGAAACTTCTTTCCCACGAGAAGCTACAAGATAGGAAAACTCTTTAGAAATCAGCTTTAATGTGATATTCAAGGATAAAGGAAAGAAAATACATAAATAATACTTGTACCACATATTATTAACCAGCAGGTATAATATTTATATTAAGGGATATAAACAAAATATTAAAATTATCAGATTTATCAGATTCTCAGCAAAGAAACAATAAATACGATACCCAAATAATCTTCAATATCAGCCTTTACAATGTGTCCATCAGGACCAGTGCCCTTGATGCTTGAAAGGGGAACCTAATTTCATCAAGGAAGAAAAGGTGAAAAAAACACATGTTAGCTAGAAATGACTAGAAATTAATAACCATCTCCATTATTGCCCTAAAAAATTGCATTTAATATGACTAACATTGTTATCTTCAGCTAATTTTCTTGCAAGAGGACTGGCAAAAATACGATCTCCGGCAGGAGCTTCACTAGGTTTTGAGATCTTAGGCTCAGGCAAACTGACTGGTTTTTCAACTGTTTCTTGCTTTGGTGGGGGTGGAGGAGAAGGCTCTTTAGGTGCAGCAGCACCAGCATCTGATGGTGAGGGACTGTAATCTTTAAACTTGCCGATGTCGTCCTCATCCTCAACGGTAATAGCAATTACCTATATGATAGCACAAAATCCATTTCATTTGCCTACTTAAACAACCCCATCCCACCTCTCCAAGGAGAAGAAAAATTGAACATATCTAAACACAAGATCAATACCTCACCAACTTGAATTTCTTTGGCCCCATCTCCCTTTAAAATCTTGGCAAGATAACCTTCCTCCATGCATTCCATCTCAACTGTTGCTTTATCCTGTTAATATAAATAAAAGGTTTAATGTCAAATTTCCAAGATGATCAATGTAGATAAACCTCAGATTCCATCAAGTACTGAAATTCAAACAATAAACAAAACAGGGAACCCACAGTTTCAACTTCACATAGAACTTCACCAGGAGAAATTTTGTCACCTTCTTTCTTCAACCACCTAGCAATATTCCCCTGCATTGCAGTAAAGAATTTGTCGGCAGCAAAAAAAACCTAGCATGTTATAATTTTAGTTGCGGGATCGAGAAAGGTACACACCTCTGTCATTGTAGGTGAAAGAGAGGGCATTCCAATCTCTTGGTGTGGAGGAAGACCTGGAAGATAGTTTTCAACACTAGTTAACAAATTTGAATGAGTAACCCTCCAATTTTATTGTGATTAACCCATTTGAACCAAAAATTAGAAAGGAGAACTCCTGGAATCAACAAAATAATTGTCAAGTCTGCAGAAGAGAAATAGTAAAACGTAGTGATTTTTGGTGTAACCACTGAACTCAATTTTCAAGAATAAAATGTGCACTACTGCAAAGCGGATAGTGCTGCACAACACAGTTGACAATGAGAAAGATCTAGGAAAGGCAAAAGCAAAACGTGAAGGAAATCAGTCGTCGGAGTCACATAAAATACAGATGACAGTAACATACAGTCAGATGACCTCTAACTTAGGGGATGATATTGTTCAAGTTGTATAAAAAGTTGGCGATGAGTCCACATGAAATGCAATTTAGAACCTTAAAACGAGGAAAAAAGTCTGAAAAGTGTGTTTTCCTTTGAAACTAAGTTTAGACTAAATTAAAAAGATTTTAAAGAGCTATAGAAACATGTATAGAAGAGTCTTCAAGACAAACTACAATGTACCTGTATCAGATGCAAACCCTCTCCTTGAGTGTACCTGTGAACTGATAATGAATAATGCAAACGTCAGGTCCTTAAAATCATGAACAAGATTTTGACCCAAAGAGGAGAAGAAGACAACTGGCAATATGTTGGGCAACATACCATGTAAATCCCTTATTTGATAACGATCCAACCACTGTATTTCCTGCTATTCTTGTTGTACTTGAAAGATTTTTATTCAATACACCAAATGATGATACCTATATAACAAGATTTGAAACAGTTGGCATTTGCAAACTGGACCTTACTTATTTGACTAATGGAAAGTAATAAATAAAGTAGACAAGCCCAGAGAAGAATATAGAAAGAACTATATAGAGGCTCCAATCACAGTCAATATTTACTGCTCCATTACTAAAAAAAGAGATGACTGCACTTACGGTGCTATTGATGGTTGAATTAAAGACCCTTTCCTTCTCCACAGGCGCATAGCCATGACGGCGAAGCTTTAAAAGATCTGAAAAAAACTAACTTAGCTTAAAATGATAGAAATGAAATTTTACAAACATAACATTACTGTACTTCCCAAAGTAGTATGTACATTCAACATTGAAATACCATATACCTTAGGTTTCCATCCAGTAAAATCACCAGAAAATTATCATTCAGATATATCACTACATGCCAGAAATTCTTCCCCAACATTGATGCCATAAATCCATGTAAAAGGTTAAGATAATGTTGATACTGGAAACTCCTTATCACAATGATAAGTACCAGAAAGGAAAATAAGAGCCCACCCCCACACTATCCATTGGTGTACTTTTTTAAGTTTCAAGAAATAAGGGGTGTCGGTATACTGATTGGGCAAGTTGCATTTTTTATTTTTCTTAATACTTGTGCTAATACTCCGAAGAAATTCATATCAGTACAAAATATCAAGCATTCTAAAGAACATGAGTGCCAACTTATCAACATGTTTAAGATACACGCTGCGTAAACCTGAGATACTACCTTCTATGCATGTCAATCTCTCTTAATTCTCACATTCATATGGATATAATCATCATCATATCCAAAATACTCTTCAACTTAGATCTTAGATGGGTAGAATTCATTGAAAAAACTAGCAAACACCTAAGCAATAATTATGAAAGTAAACCCTGAAACATCAATATTAGCTACATACCATCTCTTTTACTGAAAGCATCGTCTGAAAACCAACGGGCCAGAACAGCATGCTCATGCCGCAGTATACTGGTAACATTCCTTAACTGCAAACAGAAACACAAAAGGCAATGAGTTAATTCACAGCATTGATATCCATATTCATATCCAATGTACACAACATCTACACAAACTATATAATTAAACCGATAAAACTTAGTCTATGATCGTAAAATCAGTGTGACCAAAGCTTAATACAGCATGGACGGTATTTTCTGAAATTCCCAGTAATCTAATAAGCCTCTGATGTCAGAATCCGAATCAAACACCAATAAACAGCCAAAAACTAAAGCTAACTCACTAAATTCAACAACCAAAATTTAATTACCAAGATTAAAAAATAAATCAGTGAATGAGACCATCAACTCCCAAAACACAAACATCAAATATCAATACCATCAAATAAATTATTTCGATCACCAAAGTCTCAGTAAAGAAATAAAAATAATAATTAATACACACGCACACATTGAATTTGAGCTGAAAACAACTCAAACACAGAATTTAACAATAACCCATCAGTATAATTAAGCTTCAAATTGATATTTTTATTCTCTAAATATACATATAACACTCATTCATTAAAATTAAAAATCAAACCTAAACACCCCCTAGGAAAGAATAAATAAATTATTTCAACTACACCAAAAATAATAATCATAACAATAATAATGATGATAATGACAAGAATTATATCAGAACTAAGAGAAGGGTACCTTCTTAGAGTGGTTGATGATGTGAGATGAATAAGCCATCACTAGTAACTCCAAACAAAATTTTTGGAAAAAGAAACTAAGAAAAACCCTTAAAAATCGAAACTTCAACTCAAAAGCTGGGTCTTTTTTCTTGTTTCTTCAATCAGAGATGAAGAACAGAGATGAAATCGAAATGGGTTCACTTTAGTTTGGTGGAAAACGTGAAAATTCGTAGGGTTTGGTAGCCTGATGGTGAGGGACTGTAATCTTTAAACTTGCCGATGTCATCCTCATCCTCGACAGTAATAGCAATTACCTATATGATAGTACAAAATCCGTTTCATTTGCCTACTTAAACAACCCCATCCCACCTCTCCAAGGAGAAGAAAAATTGAACATATCTAAACACATGATCAATACCTCACCAACTTGAATTTCTTTGGCCCCATCTCCCTTTAAAATCTTGGCAAGATAACCTTCCTCCATGCATTCCATCTCAACTGTTGCTTTATCCTGTTAATATAAATAAAAGGTTTAATGTCAAATTTCCAAGATGATCAATGTAGATAAACCTCAGATTCCATCAAGTACTGAAATTCAAACAATAAACAAAACAGGGAACCCACAGTTTCAACTTCACATAGAACTTCACCAGGAGAAATTTTGTCACCTTCTTTCTTCAACCACCTAGCAATATTCCCCTGCATTGCAGTAAAGAATTTGTCAGCAGCAAAAAAAACCTAGCATGTTATAATTTTAGTTGCGGGATCGAGAAAGGTACACACCTCTGTCATTGTAGGTGAAAGAGAGGGCATTCCAATCTCTTGGTGTGGAGGAAGACCTGGAAGATAGTTTTCAACACTAGTTAACAAATTTGAATGAGTAACCCTCCAATTTTATTGTGATTAACCCATTTGAACCAAAAATTAGAAAGGAGAACTCCTGGAATCAACAAAATAATTGTCAAGTCTGCAGAAGAGAAATAGTAAAACGTAGTGATTTTTGGTGTAACCACTGAACTCAATTTTCAAGAATAAAATGTGCACTACTGCAAAGCGGATAGTGCTGCACAACACAGTTGACAATGAGAAAGATCTAGGAAAGGCAAAAGCAAAACGTGAAGGAAATCAGTCGTCGGAGTCACATAAAATACAGATGACAGTAACATACAGTCAGATGACCTCTAACTTAGGGGATGATATTGTTCAAGTTGTATAAAAAGTTGGCGAAGAGTCCACATGAAATGCAATTTAGAACCTTAAAACGAGGAAAAAAGTCCAAAAAGTGTGTTTTCCTTTGAAACTAAGTTTAGACTAAATTAAAAAGATTTTAAAGAGCTATAGAAACATGTATAGAAGAGTCTTCAAGACAAACTACAATGTACCTGTATCAGATGCAAACCCTCTCCTTGAGTGTACCTGTGAACTGATAATGAATAATGCAAACGTCAGGTCCTTAAAATCATGAACAAGATTTTGACCCAAAGAGGAGAAGAAGACAACTGGCAATATGTTGGGCAACATACCATGTAAATCCCTTATTTGATAACGATCCAACCACTGTATTTCCTGCTATTCTTGTTGTACTTGAAAGATTTTTCTTCAATACACCAAATGATGATACCTATATAACAAGATTTGAAACAGTTGGCATTTGCAAACTGGACCTTACTTATTTGACTAATGGAAAGTAATAAATAAAGTAGACAAGCCCAGAGAAGAATATAGAAAGAACTATATAGAGGCTCCAATCACAGTCAATATTTACTGCTCCATTACTAAAAAAAGAGATGACTGCACTTACGGTGCTATTGATGGTTGAATTAAAGACCCTTTCCTTCTCCACAGGCGCATAGCCATGACGGCGAAGCTTTAAAAGATCTGAAAAAAACTAACTTAGCTTAAAATGATAGAAATGAAATTTTACAAACATAACATTACTGTACTTCCCAAAGTAGTATGTACATTCAACATTGAAATACCATATAACTTAGGTTTCCATCAAGTAAAATCACCAGAAAATTATCATTCAGATATATCACTACATGCCAGAAATTCTTCCCCAACATTAATGCCATAAATCCATGTAAAAGGTTAAGATAATGTTGATACTGGAAACTCCTTATCACAATGATAAGTACTAGAAAGGAAAATAAGAGCCCGCCCCCACACTATCCATTGGTGTACTTATTTAAGTTTCAAGAAATAAGGGATGTCGGTATACTGATTGGACAAGTTGCATTTTTTATTTTTCTTAATACTTGTGCTAATACTCCAAAGAAATTCATATCAGTACAAAATATCAAGCATTCTAAGGAACATGAGTGCCAACTTATCAACATGTTTAAGATACACGCTGCGTAAACCTGAGATACTACCTTCTATGCATGTCAAGCTCTCTTAATTCTCACATTCATATGGATATAATCGTCATCATATCCAAAATACCCTTCAACTTAGATCTTAGATGGGTAGAATTCATTGAAAAAACTAGCAAACACCTAAGCAATAATTATGAAAGTAAACCCTGAAACATCAATATTAGCTACATACCATCTCTTTTACTGAAAGCATCGTCTGAAAACCAACGGGCCAGAACAGCATGCTCATGCCGCAGTATACTGGTAACATTCCTTAACTGCAAACAGAAACACAAAAGGCAATGAGTTAATTCACAGCATTGATATCCATATTCATATCCAATGCACACAACATCTACACAAACTATATAATTAAACCGATAAAACTTAGTCTATGATCGTAAAATTAGTGTGACCAAAGCTTAATAGAGCATGGACGGTATTTTCTGAAATTCCCAGTAATCTAATAAGCCTCTGATGTCAGAATCCGAATCAAACACCAATAAACAGCCAAAAACTAAAGCTAACTCACTAAATTCAACAACCAAAATTTAATTACCAAGATTAAAAAATAAATCAGTGAATGAGACCATCAACTCCCAAAACACAAACATCAAATATCAATACCATCAAATAAATTATTTCGATCACCAAAGTCTCAGTAAAGAAATAAAAATAATAATTAATACACACGCACACATTGAATTTGAGCTGAAAACAACTCAAACACAGAATTTAACAATAACCCATCAGTATAATTAAGCTTCAAATTGATATTTTTATTCTCTAAATATACATATAACACTCATTCATTAAAATTAAAAATCAAACCTAAACACCCCCTAGGAAAGAATAAATAAATTATTTCAACTACACCAAAAATAATAATCATAACAATAATAATGATGATAATGACAAGAATTATATCAGAACTAAGAGAAGGGTACCTTCTTAGAGTGGTTGATGATGTGAGATGCATAAGCCATCACTAGTAACTCCAAACAAAATTTTTGGAAAAAGAAACTAAGAAAAACCCTTAAAAATCGAAACTTCAACTCAAAAGCTGGGTCTTTTTTCTTGTTTCTTCAATCAGAGATGAAGAACAGAGATGAAATCGAAATGGGTTCACTTTAGTTTGGTGGAAAACGTGAAAATTCGTAGGGTTTGGTAGCCAAATAGATCTCTCACTTGACTATTCTTATTTTATTTTTTCGTTTTTATTTCCTTAATTTTTAATTTACTGTATTTAGTTGTATGTCAGTAACAATATATTATTTTTTTATTTAATTATTTTCTACAATTTGTTGTAGATTTTGAGTGAATGTGGGCCGTTGATTTGGTGGGTTTTGTGGTTTAATAGATGGTGATGATTTGTTATTTTTGGGAAGTTGGGGATCTATTATTGGACTATAACTTGTTTTCAACAAGTATTTTCATTGTTTTTATTGTTTTCATTTTATTTTTATGTACTTATCAAAAACCACATGAAAATGGACACCCTTTATTTTTTTCTTGTTAATGCCTAGCACATTGCTTCTTATTGTATAGATGAATGAAAATGCATTTATGTAATTTGTTATTAACATGGGATCAGACGACAAGTACAAACGTCTTTAAATTTTTAACGTGCAGATCAAAGTCAATTATCAATGTTTACCTTTAATTATACTATTTTTGAAGGCAATAGACGATTACTAGATTTTGGTTTACACTTAGACAATGTCAAATAGTTCATATTTAAGATTGAATACATGTATATACACTTTTTAGGTGCGGACATCTTAAAACTTTTAACTTGTGGATCAATGATGAATGCACGATCATTGCCTTTAATTTTAGGGTTTGTGAAGTTAACAATCAGGTGTTCACCTTTGGTTTGTATGTTAAAAAATTATAAAGATCAACTATTTATATACTCCCTCCGTTTCAATATAAATGACGTTTTAAGTTTCTATATAATTTTTAATGAAACAATTTCATTTCTCTCCAATTTGATTTGTTCCTCTGATTTTATAGGTGGGAAAAACTTTGTTTTTCCTACTGCGCACATAAGTGAATTATTTAATTAATTTAATATAAGAGAGAGAGAGGAGATGTGGGCCCTTGGAAAAAAAGAGGAGAATGGAGATATGGTCACAGACAAGACAACGTCATTTAATTTGAAAAAAAATTACACCCTCAAAACGATATTTATAAACGGAGGGAGTATCATAGTATTTGTGTGGGAGAAGAAATGATACTTAATATAGTGGGAATGCATACAAAAAATCAAGTATAAATAAGTACATAGAATCTTGACCCATGCAATGCCCAATGGGCAAATCCAAGTTGCAATAGCCTATTAGACCTTTGAAAAAACTCTAAATATCAAAAGGGTAATAACGCTCATAAACCCTTCTCATTAACTTATCTCACAAACGCGACATGACAGCTTGTAATGGGTTTCGTCTGACTATTACGAGTTTTCATGTCATATTTATGAGAAAAGTTAGTTGAAGAGGTTTGTCATCTATCTTTATTATATTAATATTTGCCCATTGCCTTTCCGAGATTGTTGATTGGATGATGTTTTTGCAATAATATCTCAAACCTTCGTTAGGCCTTTTTCATCGATATCTTAGGCTACCTTACCTTTTGTGAACCATTAGTACATTTTTTGTATAGTTATATCTTAAAACTTTTAACGTGTATAGATTAATCTCAGAATGATCGATTATTAGCATTTAATATATATTAAAAATTATTAAAGAATCCATACCTAAAAGCCATTTGACAATCATACCGAATTCTTTATTGTGTTCTAACATATATATAGTACGTTCATGTTTTTGCATTGCTTGGTAGGTTTTTCTCACTTTAGGGTTTTGTCATCGGTTAGATGGGTCACACGTTAGGGTTTATTTTATTGCTACACCAACCATGTTGTACAAAGTGGAAATTATATTTTGTCTTTTAATGCTTTCCTATTTGTACTATTTTGACATTTTTTCGGATTCTGGGGGAAAGTTAAATTATTCGTGCGTTGAATACATTTAAAATTTTGAGTCCTTGAAGTTTATCTAGTTACCATAAGGTCCACTAAAATCTAAAAGTAACACTTAAATTCTTATTAGTTAACAACTGTTCGAAGAATTTTGTTAAAAGTCTGGCTTCGTTTGGCTCAAGTTTGGGAATACTACTTTTAGTATTCCCAATAAAATTAAACAGTAAAATGCCCAAAAACTCACAATATTATCCAATATTATTTAACTTTTTTTAAATCCCCTAAATTTATTAATTTAATTAAATACCCCTAAATATTTTTTCAAAATTGCAAAAACACCCCTAAACCCACATTATACCAGATTCTGACCACCACTGCCGAAAGTTGGTCGGAATCTAGTAGGATGGCACACTACCGGCTGGATCTTACCGGTAGTGCGTCGATCTAGCATTTTTCGGCCAGATCCATGGTGAATCTGGTCAGAAAAGGCCAGCGGCCAGATCTTTGGCCGTAACTAGTCGTCAACGACGGCCAACATATGGTCGTCGTTAACGAAGATCTACAGCCAGATCTGGCCTTCAATGGCCAGATCTAGCCGTAGATCTGGCCTTTGCCGACCAGATCCACAGTGGATTTAGTAGGAAAAGGCCATATCGGCGCACGACCAGCAAGTTTCAGCCGGTCATGCGTCGATACAACGACTCCAGCCACCCTCCGACGGTGGTGGCCAGTTGTTCGTATTTGATGGGTGGGTTGGGGGTATTTTTGTTAACTTTTAATGTTTTATTATAAGAGTGTTTTGTAAAAAAACAAACATAAGGGGTATTTTATTAATTTATAAATCCTACATCGTAATACCCACCCAATTTAACTTTTTTTTTAACTTTTTTTCCCAAAAACGTAAAAATGTGAACCAAACGGAGCCTAAAATACCTCTAGTATTTTTTTTTTTTTAATAATACTACACTAACAACCATTTTTTACAACTTTCTCTCATAATCCTAATGTGGTAGCTCGTAATTAGTCAGTTTACAGTTAATTAGTAGGACTCATGTTGGACCCATGTGAACCTGTTGTGAACTGACCAATTGCGAGCTGTCATATCAGGATTGTAAGAGAAAGTCTATAAGAGAGGTTGTTGGTATAATATTATTATTATTATTTTAAGAATAATAATACACCAATAATCATCTTTTACAAACTTTCTTTCACAATCCTGATGTGACAGTTTATAATTGGTCAGTTTACAACAAATCTTATGAATTAATTGTAAGCAGTCACGTCAAGGTTGTGAGAGAAAGTTTGTAGGAAAGGGTTGTGGGTGTAGTATTACTCTTTTTTTAGTTGACGATATTAGGGGCATTTTAGACTTTTAAAAAACATTTAAACACAATTTGTCATTTTTGTCCTTGGAACCAAACGACAATACAGACAGCAGAAAACGACATAGTCCGAAACCAACGATTATACTTCACTCCCTCTTCTCTGTCACGGTCTCACGGAGACGACGACGAACAAATACACCGGAGAGGAAGAACAACGTGGAGATAGTTGAGAGGGAAAAATGGGAAATCAGAAGCAGAAATGGACGGCGGAGGAGGAGGAGGCGCTGTTGGCCGGAGTGGCGAAGCACGGCCCGGGGAAGTGGAAGAACATTTTGAAAGATCCCGAATTTGCCCCTTTTCTCACTCACCGTTCCAATATTGACCTCAAGGTTTGTTGGATTTTGTTATTTAATTTTCCTTCTAAAATGAAATTAAAACCCTAGCTCTATTTTTTTTGGTGGGAATTGAAATGGGTTGGTGTTTGAATTTGGTTTGTGTGTAGAGTTTTTGTTGCGTTGAGAAATTATAAATTGAAAACCCTGATGTTCGTTGAGCTAAAGGTCTGATTTTTAGGGGTTATTTTGTTGATTTTTGGAGTTACATTGTAAAATTTTATGGTATTAATACAATGTGGTTTGCTGGGTTGAGTTTAAGTGGCATTTTATGGTAGTAAAGTGATTATTTTAGCATTTTGAAGTAGATTTTCAGCTTAAGAGGGGTTTGGATTGTTATGGAAGCTAGAAGCTGGGATTTTATGAAAAAAATAAAAAATTTGGTGGTATAGTAGTATTTGCTATTGTGATGAAATCGTTTTCTGGAGTGTAACTATGGATGGACATAGTTGTTGAAATCGGTGGGTTATTTCTGGCATTGCGCTGTAATAAAAGTTGAGGCTTATTGTAGTGTTATGTGTATATTCTTTTTTTTAATGATTTTGTAAATCTGAGCACATGGTTATTGGCATTCTCTCTGCAAGCTTCGGCAGCTATTGTGTCTTTCTTCGGAAAATTAGAGGTGAATGCTTTGTCTCACCTTGCTCATTTACCCAGGACAAATGGCGGAATTTGAGTGTTAGTACTACTCAGCAAGGCTCAAAAGACAAATCAAGAGCTCTTAAGCTAAAAACTATCACTCCTGCTCCACTCTCAAACACTTTAAATTCTGCTCCTGCTGCTTCACTTCCTCGTAATGCATCTTCTGGAACTGTCATTGATGATCTTCCCAATAGTGCCTCGGATGGGAAGAATGGTCCACGGTATGTTTTTGTTTTCCTTCTACTCTCACTTTTGCATAAATGATGTATAGAGTAGTTAAACTTCTGTTGGTTAAATCTTTTTCTTTTTATACATATGTTTTGAGTAGGACAAAAAGATTTTGGGTGGAGAAATATCTCTAGCATATTGGTTCAATTTTGTGTTTCTGATTATTTCTTTTGTTATTCTTTCTTCAAAATTTTATACTCATTATTTATTATTAGAGAAAGCATGTGATCTTTTCTTCATCCTCATGGTCTTCTATGTGTGAGAGTAGTTTTATAGTTATTTTATTTTATTATCTAGGGGTACTTGATACTATTGTTTATTTCTCAGGTTCAATGGAATGATATTTGAAGCTCTTTCAACCATAAAAGATACAAATGGATCTGACATTGGCACTATTGTCAACTTTATTGAGGTCAGATGGAAATCTCCATGTTCCCTGCAACATCGTAGCTTTTATTTCATTTGAAATGGCTGCATCAGACAATAAAATATCTTTAGCTGGAAATCCTTGTCAGAGAACTTAGATTTTTAGGATGAGAGGAAAACCAGATACTAACAAACCTAGACTTAAGCATATTTCAAAACTCTCTGAAACATAAACCTGGGATGTCCACTGCCTTTTCTTGATATCTAAACCAATTGCATTGGCTAGCTATCGTTTTCTACTACAGCTGAGTTCAGAACATACTGCAGGAAAGGCATAAGGTGCCAAATAATTTTAGAAGACTATTGGGCTCAAGATTGAGAAGACTTGTTTCACAAGGCAAACTTGAAAAGGTGAATCATTTTTTATTGATGCTTAAATAGAATGTCTGATGTGAATTTTAATTTTCTTGCAAGCTGAATGGTATTTTTTTTTTTTTTTTTTTGTTAATCTGCTTTTTCCAGTTTAGAGGCGTGGTTTAGATGTCCTTGGATTTATTTCTAAATGAACTCAAATTGGTATTATAAAATGATTTTATTATCGTGCCAACCCCAAAAAATTTAATTGCTCACATTTTGATTATTTATTTTATTCCTGTCTACTTTACTACCTTGATATGATAGGATACCAGCAAAGGTTATAATCTATTTATTTTTTGTCTTATTTTGTTGGAGGAAGACACAGTTATAGAACTTCACCACAAGGGCGGGTGCGAAAGTTAGCAATTTAGCATGGAGGAAAAGGATAAAAAAGTATAACTTTAGGTTTAAAACATAAAGAAATATTTAATATAATTTTTTAAAATGTGAGACCTGGCTATGGAGTAATCAATCTACCCCTGCTAACAACCAAGCTAGAGGTCTGCATTAATCATTGCTAACATTTCCTCATTCCAATTTTAGCATCATTTACCTAATTGTTATTTCGCCCATTGCTTATGAATCCATTATAATCTTTGTTTAGAAAGTTTATCTACCAACTTATTTTAGGATCTGAAGGTCAAACAATTATTGATTTTATACCCAATATTTATTCCTATATTGCTGTTCAGTTTCTCACAATCTAAATTAAGCAAAGCCCAAATGAAAAACCATGGTATTGGCTCTTGATAGCATATTTAAGATTATGTCCAATGTTTTCTTTGTTACCAGTCATGTTGGCTACTTTTGTCATGACAATCTGAATGGTAATGCTGTCCAAAAATTTATCATTTTCGATGTAGTGTCCATGACACTTTTTAGCTAGGAAACTTAATTGTTTGTATTTTTCAGACTGGAGAAGTAACGTATCTTTGCAAGGCTACATACTACCATGCATTTGCATTGCATGATTTTGAAATTGATATCACATAGATGAATTTTCTTGAGGATAATCTTACATGATTTCTTTGATAACGTCCAATGTAGGTTCAAAATTGCTACAAGATCAGAAAAGATACCCCATTGGGAATGAAAACACCTACTCCAAAGCAAAAAGATGTGAGGCTACGGCCGCCTCAGAATTCTGCATCAATCACCTCAGGTGAGACTGTTGAGGAAGCGTCAATTACTGCAGCATATAGAATTGCTGAAGCAGAAAACAAATCGTTTTTGGCTGCTGAAGCGGTTAAGGAGGCTGAAAGAGTCTCAAAGATGGCAGAAGATACTGATGCAATGTTACAGCTAGTGAAAGAGATCTATGAACAATGTAATTTTGTTCACACATGCCTACCAACTTAACATTCAGTTATGGTATTCTGAAATGTAATCTCTATTGACTTCTTCCCTTGTTTTTTGGGGTTTTCTGCTGCAGGTTCGCACGGTGAGATTGTTGTCTTGGCTTGACAGTCAATTGTAAGTGATAAGAGAAGTAGAGATTTAGTGTGTTATCAGGTTTTGTATGTAAATTCATTGATCCAGTGGAACGCTCGTCGTTTTGTAACTCGAGACGCATCAAGATCCTGTCCATGTGAGATCAGTGACACCTGAGATTGATGTACAAATTTTGGTTTTATCTATAAAGAATACTGAATTCAGTGCTTGAAAAAAGGTGCATTTAAGTGTCATGGTACCAACAATTTTACCTTAATATTTTTCCCAATGCAGCTTCAAGGGATAACAATATCAATTCTAATATATCAATATCTTTGTTATCTCATGTGTTCCTTTAATTGCTTGTGGAGTTTGTATGCTTTGATAGTTTGCCCAAGCAGCTTCTATAGGAACTGAAGTTTGAAACTTCGCGGGTGCTTTTCCTTATTACTTGGTAAGTCCTGGCAAAAGACCCTTTGGTCAAAAGATGACAAATTTGGCTAGATTAAAACTAAAACCCAGTTTAATGACTTTAAATTGAAAAATAACAAGGACTCTCAGTAAGGGTGTGACCCATGAGGGCATAGTTGGATGATCATGCTTGCGGTTTACTCCCCCAAGATTTGAGTTTCGAGTCCTCTCATGGACACCTATATAGCCAGAGGTCATTGTTTTCTGTTTTAAAAAATATTGCAGGGTTCAAGTTCAACGTGAACTTTAGTTTCGGCTTTCAACTTAGGCTTGTGTTTGTGAAGCAAGAGAGCATTCCAAGGAGTCAAGGATCAACTTGAGGGAAGATTCAACTACACATATTAATTATAAATTGAAAGTGTGTTATGGTTTTAGAATGTGGAAGATTTAACATCCAAAACTTTTCTAGATGCTGAAATCTCAGCAAGAGCCATAACTACTATGCAGAAAAACAAAAACAAGGACCGAAAAAGGACACAGGATGAAACAGTAATGACCAGACTAGAAGCTACTTTTGGAGATTACAATCCTCATGGATTCCTCAATAAGTAACAAAGTCAATATTAGATAAATGCCTATAAATCCCAGTCCAGGAAAGTTACACAAGATTAGCTTAATTAATTAGTACATTAAAACCTAGCATCTAACCTTTGATAGTCACAACTAACTAAGGCAATATCACTAAGAGTGCTTCCATTAGCTTCATACTACAAACTAAAAGTTTCAGAACTCAGACTACAAGAGTATGAGCCCCAGATCTGATGGATTCAATTCATCTTTTATCCGATAGTTGTAGAGATAATACTGCAATTTACCGTCACCTGCTCCAAATTTCAGTTCCTTCAAGAAAGATTCATTTTCCATAATATTCAATACATTAAAAACATCATAGTCCAACTGTTTGGCCATGATAAGAGCATCATTAATCAAATCAATCAAGGGGGTGTTTACGGAAACATTGTAATACGAGTAAGCTGCCCTCAGCGTTGAATAGTTCTGGTTGCCAAGAATTGAAGAGGGAAGAGAGTAAAAGCTGCAGAAATCAGTGATCTCATGAGTTTCAGGACTTTCAACCAGAAAACTGTAGACAACATCTACTTTTGGAAGAAGCCAATGCTCGACATCATTTTCGTTAAACTCAGGTGCAATGGCAAACTGTCTTAAATATTTTCTAAGTAGCCGTGTAACTGCAGGAACATCATGAGGCAGCATTTTCCTGAACCCTGGAGTCATAGGTGATTCCGGTAGCTTGTGAAGTTTAATTGTTCGGCTCATTGTCATTCTTGCTCCCAGTTTAGAAAACCCAACATCAATAAGCTTCTTAGGATTCAAAGAGCGATGCCAATATTGGGCAGTGGTCACTGGTGTCGGAATAGTTACTCCAGCAGTAAAAGCTGCTTGCCAGATATTCTCCAAATGAACCCTCCTAGTCACTTCTTTGATCAGAACAGGAGCAAGCCTTTTTGATCTCAACTTCTTATGAACACACAGGAAATTAATCTCTGCCATGGGAACAATTTTGTCGCGGACCCAGATTTTTGCAGGGATACCAGTGATGAATGCAACCAACTTCTTTGAACTTTTGACACGGACACCAATATGCCAGTTCTTGAAATAACCAGGCGGATGAAGAGCCCAGCGAAGAAATTCCTTTGAATAATTAAATCTGAACATGTTCTCCTCATCCTCAACATAGTTGTTGGCAAGAAGGTTGTACACCTCTGCGCAGATTTCTTCAGAGTCCATATCACAAGTGGTCCATTCATAAAAGTTTGGGAGATTGTAAGGCTCTTTTTTAACTTCAAACAAAGGTCTCGGGGGTTCAATGGGGCCTTCAGGCAAATTGACGTCTCCTATATCCTTGAATTGACAAATAGGTTGTGTTTCCCAAAATTTATGTCTTACTTCAACAGAAAGTGAATCTTGAACTTGTTCAGTTTGCATATCTTTAAGTTTTCCAGCAAGCATACCTTCAATTTGTCCAGTGAGTACATCAATTTTTCTACCAGCATCAGCAAGCCTCTTCAGGGGATTAGGGTTTTGAGTCTCTTCAGCTGTACCAGAAGATCCATAGCTACCAGCCATTTGGAAAGAATATCAAAGAACAGTCTGTAAGAAAACAACTAGTTACAAATCTCACCAAAAAAACAGAATTGCAACAATAAAATTCCATTTTATTGTTTTACAAGGGCAGCAGAAGAAAAGAAACTAATTTTTTTTTAAGTCTCAGGTCTTTCATTGTAGCAAAAAATGCAACATAATGGAGCCTACTGAATCTACATTTGCCATAGTTTTGTTGATCCTTTTCGACAAGCAAAACTAGACTTCAGAATTTGTTATCTTTTCTTTTTCTCACAAACCAAACGGAAAATAACAAATCAGTAATTCCAACTAAAGCATGTAGAAATAAATTATGTAAGCTTGAGCCAATTAAGTGAGCCTAGTAAAGGACATTCATATACAGCACTATAGAGAACAACAAATCCTAAAATCCACATCAAAAGCACCATGAGCACTCGAAAACGTACAAATCCATAATACTCAATTAGCTTGCCTACAATAATTAAGAAAAATAAACAATCAATGAAGCCAATGTAATGTACATTAATCTGTAGCAACAAGAACACAAAGAAAGCTAATATCAGTACAAATTAGGGCTCAAAAGGTTACAACGCTGAAACAGCAAACAACTTTACAAACACAAACACAAAACCTCAACATCCACATACAAATGATTAAACCCTTTTACTTCCTTTTCCATGTTCTTCTCATTTTCCAGGACTTTATTAGTATCCAAACACACAGAAAACACAATGCAAGTACAACAACCTATGTAACCCACAAACAAAAAACATAAATTTCCAAGATCTACAAAGTCAAAAAGTCATTAAAACAGATAAAAAAAGCAACTAAAGTTCCATTAAATCACTTCTACAACTATTGTTACACAATGGGTCCAGAAAGTTTTCATTTTTCATTCTTTTAAAAGGAAAAAACAAACACAAAATCAAAGCTCACACTCTTTTCTTTTTTTATTTGAACTTTGCTTTAAAAACTACGAAGCAATACAAGTTAAGTGTTACCTGCAGTGTTTGTAGAGTGAAGCAGAAGCAAAGATCTAAGCTTTCATGGAGAGGAGTGAAGTGGGGTTTGACTGTTTGAGTACGAAGACATAAGAAACAGACTCGATGGGTATTATTGAAAACAGTGAAAATAGCTCTACCCTTTTGGTCATTTTATATTGACACTGTGGGCATACATGGAATTATGTAATTAAAAATAATTTAATAAAAAATATCATTTTTCAAATATTACTATGGTAAATTTTTGAGGCCGTAAATTTAAAAAAAACTTAATATTGAAAATTTAAGATGCCAAATCTTGAGTTCATTCGTGCTAACTCAAATAATCTCATTTGTATAACGGTTTATGTTAATGTATTTCCGATGTGTTTTTATTTTCTGAAATTATATTTAAATGATCTTAACATGATTTATTATTTATGTCAAAATTTAGTTAATCGCGATATATTAATCTTTTTTTTTTTTTTCGTAATCAAGATGTTTTGACTAATCCTTAAGGGAAATAGCGCAACAACCTGCCATCACGACCTTCACTTAAATTGAGGATGCTCATATATGTAATCAAACCTGAGACAATACGTTTATCTATACTATTTTTAATTTGCCTTAACTATCTGGGTTACCCACGAATATGTAACTTTGGTTTATTTGGTGTTACTTGTAATATGAAATACTTCCTTTGTTTCAAAATAAAAGTCGTTTTGAGGGTAATAATTTTTTCAAAATAAATGACGTTCTATTCTTTCAATGTTTTCTGACCCACGTCTTTATTCTCCACCATGCCCCTCATCTCCTCTCTCCACCTTTTTCTCTACCCTGCCCTACACTCCTCTCTCTCTCTTTCATAATTTGTCTCTCTTTATTTTAATATTTCACGCACGTGTTGTAGCAGGAAAAACAAAATTTTCCCACATGTAATATGAGGAAAAAGTCAATTCTCTACATAGTTTTTGATTCATTAAAAACTGTGTAAAAACTTAAAATGACACTTATATAGAAACGAAGGGAGTATTATGTAAAATCTATTTTTTATTTTTTAAATAATTTGTATTAAAAACCATTTTCAGAAATTCCTACTTTATGACTTTTTGAAAAAAATAGCAAATGGGACAAATTAATATAAAGAAATAATTGTCAAAAGTAATAGAATACACATAGATTAGTAACTTTTTTTTTTCTTTTTTCTTTTATTTATTTTTGTAGTCATAGTCCATTGCATTTGGACAATGGGCCACTTACCAAAGTAATGAAATGTCTAATCAAAAGCTAACCTTCATAAAAGTGATTAATTGATAATATTATTATAAATAAATAATTGAGATTATATAGAAAGGAATGGCTACGTAAAGTTCTTTGTGCTCCACTAATTAATTAATTAATTTTTTTTTAAAGAATATTTTACCTTTTCTTTATTTTCTAAGTTGACCATGATCCACCTTGCTTGTTTTTACTATTATAATAATAAAACACCGATCCTCGTAAAAAATCTAATAAAGATTTATATATAAAGTGATGTGATAGAAAATGAATGAAATAGTGAATACAAAAAGTTAAATTCATTATATTAATTCTTTTATTCATTTTTCTGTCATATCACTTTGTATAAAGATTTCTTTATATATGTAGTATTACTCATAAAACATAAAACACTATTAGGGTTCAGTTTAGTACCAGTAATTTGTAGTTGTTTGGAGTTTGGACATCAGATTTGTCTACTATCAATACTTACATAGACACGCATAAACAGGGACATAGTCAAGATTTTGAGTCAGTGGGTTCAAAACATCAAAATTTATAAATTTATAATAAAATATATACTGAAGTAATGAGTATAAAAAATGTACTTTTAAAAGTTATATATACCAAATTATCAATGCTACAATTATTTTCGACGTTTTTTCATATTCTGAAAACGTTGCATAATCCCCAAATCTCTATAACTTAGGGTTTTATTAATTCTTTAAACTATTCAAAATTAACTCAATAAGTAGCCAAAATTTATCAAACTCAACTCAAAACAATAACTAATTAACTCATACATCAATATAAACAAGATTAAATCAAAACTCACATTAAAATCTCGTAATTTAATCTTCCTACTTCAAACTCGTTTATTAAACTCAGCAAAAACGCATAGCTCATGATCTTTCATCAATTAAGAAAACTAAAAGAAAAGAAGTTTAAGTTAAAGAAAAAAAAAAAAAAAATCCTCTTACCTTGTAATCCAAAAGAGTGACTTATCTTGAGTATTTAACTAAAGGAAAAATATAATATAAGAGAAAAAAAAAAAAAAAGAGGAAATGAAGAAGAGAGAAGAGATAAAAAAACAGTTAATTAATAATTTATGAGGTAAATATGAAATTAAATTGGGTTAAAATTATAAAATTTATAAAATATTAATATTTTTTTAAAATTTTTAAAAAATTGAATAAGTTCAATTGAACCTATAACTCTCTATGTGGCTACGTGCCTGCGGTATATAAAAATATATTCATTTTGAGTGTAAGTTTATAATGACAACTTGGTTTACTAAATTGACAATTAAAGGAAGAGATGTTATTCTAAACCTAAAAATGTTTTTTTTTTTCACCTTTTTCTTCTTTCTATACCTTCAATCAAATCTATGGAAACATGGAATAAACTTTACACTTTTTCTTATTTAAGATAATATATTTAAAGTTAGGTGGATATTATAGTTTAAAACGAAGTGTTATTATATTATTAATGATATGATTTTATAGTTCTGTTTCGTTTTAAAATACAATTATTATAGTTTTCTTAATATGATAGTTTTTATTTTTTGGAAAATATTTTTAACTCTATTCTATTATTTTCAACACTCGATTACACGACTATCAAATGCAATTGAGTTATTACTTAAGAGTAATGCTATAGTTACCGAAAAGAGAACACCGAATTCATACACCGAATGACGTGGCATAATCTTGACTGTCGATTAATATTAATCGACGGTTATGATTGTGTTACGTCGTTCGGTGCGCTTCTTTCGGTAACTATATTATTTTCCTATTACTTAATAGCGAAGAAGGTGATACAAAAACGTTTTGATCCCCGAAGAATATTTCTAGGGTTATATTTAAAAACCCCTTAAATATGATAAATTTTCACTCAACTCCCAAAACGAGCTTGACAAAAAAAAAAGAAGAAAATGAGAAACGGCTCACAAAATAAAAGTATAGTCCATTGTTCAACTTTAGTGTTCTTGAATTAAGTCATTATTATTTTCGACACACTCGATGATATAACTATTGAAGCGAATTTGAGTTATTACTTAATAGCGATGATGTTGATAGAAAAGTATTTGGGTCCATGTGGCAAGATGGGGGAAAATATTTTAAGTGTGTTTGTTTTATTATTTTTCCTTATCCTATTTCTATTATATTCAAAATACATATTTGTTTCCTTATTCTTAAAATCTATCATATTATATTCAACTCAAAATATTTAGATTTTTTTAACCCTTTAGGTTTGTTAATTTAACTAAACACACCAAATCGGTCACATCCAGTAGGTCGTGCGTCATTCCGATGACTTCTAGCCACCGTCCAACGGTGGTGACTGACTGCCGACATTTAATGGGTGGATGGGGGTGTCTTTGTTAATTTTAAATTTTTTATTGTATGGGGTGTTTAACTAAATTAACAAATGTAGGGGATTAAGCATAATTTTATCAAACACATTTTCAAATTCAAATCCTATCTTCGTAATAATAACCCAACTCAACTTTTTCAAAAATACTACTCAAAAGTTAAAATAATAAAAAAAACACAGTCTTAGTTTTAGGGTATATTTTCTAAAAAGCCCTACAAATATGAATATTTTCTACTTTAGTCCCGAAAACAAGGCCTAAAAGGTAAAAAGCAAGAAAAGCAAGGACAATTAGGGAAAAACACAGGAAAATTGAACTCAAACATTAACCTAGAAAAAAAAACATAACAGAACACTTTGGGCTTGGTATATAAATCTTACACACTACTCTTAGCCTCCTTCCCTTTAACTCCACGGCGCAGATCCGAGGAGTTTGGAAGAAACCCTAACAAAAGGCTCTCTCTTTTGCTCTCAAAACGCACCTAAAACTCTCAAAGTTTTTCTCTTTATTGATCATCAACACTAGCAGGTCACTATTTCTTTGTGTAAATCTCTTAAAGCTGCCTGATTTATGGTTTTTTTAATATGTTTTATGTGTGTTGATGTGTAAACGATTTTTTTTTTTTTTTGGTGGGTTTGGTGTATTTTGTTTGTGGATTGATTTGATTTTGATGGGTTTGTGTGTTTGGGATCTGGGTTTGATCTGACTTTTTCTGGGTTTGTTTCAGTTTTTGGTTTTGGGGGTCGGATTAGTTCGTTGTTTGTATTGTTTGGGACTAATCAAAGCTTGTATTATTGTTTGGTTTTGATATATTTTCTTTTATATATATTTTGGGAGACATGATACAAGATTAGACAGGTGTTCTTATTTATGTATTTGTTTTGGTAGGAGGCGATATATAAGCTGATATCTCGATAATTAAATAAATTTAATTTCCTTAGTGAAGTGGGAATCCTAGTTAATGTTCTATTTCAATCGTCTTGTTTTAGTAGGATTCATATTATAAAGTATACTTCCTTTCTCATTAAGTTTTCTATCCTTTCTCATTAAGTTTTCTATAGATATTAGGATTTTGTCATTAGTATAAATATAAGGGGTCTGTTCGCACTATTCTTATATCGGTTACAAAAATCTAGTCTACATATTCAAAGAATTTATTTTCTTAAAGTTTAGTTTGTATTTTCAAATCAGTTCAGCTACTTCAGTTACAATCGGTAAGTTTATGAGTGTTCATCATGGTTCAATGACCGGCATGTCTCTATTGCTGTGTTTTTTGCTTGTTTGCCTGAAATATATGATTGTTTATGTTGGGTTGGTTTCCATGTGCTTTATGTACTAAGGATGTTCTTATGTAGTTCAATAGGTGAATTTTAGATTCTAGTTTCCTCGGATATTTGTAAATGGGTAAGCTTAAGTGATGTATTTACTTGTTTTGTTTCTGAAATTCTGTGTATGCTGGTTATAAGTGCTTGAAACTTTGGAGGAGTGGGTAAAGCAGTGTCTGGTGATTATATCAGATGGCTGTCTGCCTCTTAGCACATCTTCTCCAGATACTAAAACAGAAGTTTAATGCTTGTACTCCTGTTTGTTTGGCTTGCAAGTTTGGCTCTTCTGTTACATTGTCGTCCGCAACGAAGTGCTTTAATCATATTTGAGTTTTGATTTAGGTTTCTTGTGACTTGGTGAGGAAGTGTGAGAACTGAATGCTTAAAACTATCCACTTCACTTCTTTTTCTCTAGCTTATATTAGAATTTATGAATTCTTTGGCATCAATTTTGATAATATAAGTTCTTGCTTGATGTTTGTCTTGAATGTTTTTATTTATTTATTTTCATGTACATCAACTTGCAGAGGCGTTTATTTTTCTTATTCTCATATTTGCTATTGTTTTCTATGTACAGTTATGGCAGGATTGGCACCAGAAGGAGCTCAATTTGATGCTCGTCAGTATGACACCAAGATGAGTGAGTTGTAAGATTCTTATTTTTTATCCTTTGGCTTTATGGTTGTTTTTCATATTATATCTATGAAGAGTGGCACTTGACGTTCACCAACACTTATCGGTCGTAATTTGTTCTCAGGTGTAACATATGTTTTATTGATTTTATTATTTTAGGCTCCAGTCTGATGGACCAGAGTTCTTCACCACTTCTGATGAGTCATATGACAGTTTTGATGCAATGGGATTGCAGGAAAACCTTTTGAGGGGTATCTATGCTTATGGTAGGTATAAAGGAGCTTAACTACTTTCAGATCTCTCTCTTTTTTTCCTAAATTAGTCGTGTTCCCCTATGTAATTGCACATCATTAAGTATTACAATAGGTTGTAAATAATGAGTTATTTTACAAGTTATTATGAATCAGAAACTAAATTTTGATCATATTTTTGTTTGAAGGTTTTGAGAAGCCTTCTGCAATTCAGCAGAGGGGAATTGTTCCATTCTGCAAAGGGCTTGATGTGATTCAGCAGGCTCAGTCTGGAACTGGAAAGACAGCTACTTTCTGCTCTGGCATTTTGCAGCAACTTGATTATGGTCTCGTCCAATGTCAGGCTTTGGTTTTGGCACCTACTAGGGAACTTGCTCAACAGATTGAAAAGGTCATGCGAGCCCTGGGTGATTATCTTGGTGTTAAGGTTCATGCTTGTGTTGGTGGGACAAGTGTCCGTGAGGATCAACGCATTCTTCAAGCTGGTGTACATGTTGTTGTTGGAACTCCGGGTCGTGTGTTTGATATGCTGCGTAGGCAGTCTCTTCGCCCAGATTATATTAAGATGTTTGTACTTGATGAGGCTGATGAGATGCTTTCCCGTGGTTTTAAAGATCAGGTTTATACTTGTATATTTTGCTTCATGTTGGTTATTTAGTATTTAAAACCTTAATGTGGTTTGATGACATGTTTTCTAATTATGGCGTTTTGCTTTTCAGATCTACGATATCTTCCAGTTGCTACCCTCAAAAGTTCAGGTTGGGGTTTTTTCCGCCACAATGCCTCCAGAAGCACTCGAAATTACAAGGAAGTTCATGAACAAGCCTGTGAGAATCTTGGTTAAACGTGATGAGCTCACCCTTGAGGGTATCAAGCAGTTTTATGTCAATGTTGAGAAGGAAGAGTGGAAACTTGAGACACTCTGTGATCTGTATGAGACTTTGGCCATCACTCAGAGTGTCATCTTTGTGAATACCCGGCGCAAGGTCGACTGGCTTACTGACAAGATGAGAAGCCGTGACCACACAGTTTCTGCTACCCATGGAGACATGGAACAGAACACTCGTGATATCATTATGCGGGAATTCCGCTCTGGCTCTTCTCGTGTTCTCATCACCACTGATCTCTTGGCTCGTGGTATCGATGTGCAGCAAGTCTCCCTTGTCATAAACTATGATCTGCCGACTCAACCAGAGAACTACCTTCATCGTATTGGACGAAGTGGTCGTTTTGGAAGAAAAGGTGTTGCCATTAACTTTGTGACAAAGGATGACGATAGAATGCTTTTTGATATCCAGAAATTCTATAATGTGGTCATTGAGGAGCTGCCATCAAATGTTGCTGATCTCCTTTGATGAGGTTCTTTTTTTTGTAAGTTTGTTGAGGCCGAGGAGGAGTTTCTCTGATTTTGCAAGTACTGTTTAACTTCTTGTTTTTCTTTTTTGCTTCCTTTTTCCGTCTAGTGTCTCAAGTTAATGTTGTTCTCAAATATATCTGACCATTTAATCAGATGGGGTGATGCACATTTGCAAGATGAAGATTGCCAAGTTGCACTCTGGTCGGTTTATATTATTCCAAGTTTTGTTGCAGTAGGTCTTTGTATTTTATGCCCTTATTAATTATATTTCTATTCTTAGTCATCTAAGCTCGTTTTCTGATTTGGTTTGGTCTCAAAATATTTGCTGGTTAAGTTTCAGGCTCCCTCAAGGAGGTACCAAAAAATTGACTGGAAAATATAATGTGGATTATTTGATATTTTGATTATGTATGTTCGAAGTGTACTGCTAATATGATATTACATTATTAGTATTTGGGAAACTTGAGATATATATTCTACTACGTTTGACAATAAGATGCTCAAGGATTTCTTTTTGTAAATTGAAAAAACACCCTGGATTGGAAAGCTGCACAGTTTGCTTTTAGTTGTTTAGTTGTAGAAGCCTATCATGTTATCTTTTCTTTGGATCTAATGGGCATTGTGGTTGATGGCATTAGTGCTTTCAAATCTTCAAATGAGAACCATTTATGCCCTTTCTCTTTCCTGTTTTTGTTTCATTTCATCTGTTCAAATGGGGTGTCATGGTGGCAGCCTGGCAGGTAAATAGTTGCTTAATCTTAGCATGTTCCCATTAATGGATAGCACAACCCTCAAAAACTTCAATATGTTTTTGAATACTGGAAACTGAGGATCGTATATTCAAACCCCATGTGGGAGCTTGTGTATTTTATGCTTTTCTGGTCAATTCATAGATCAATGACTAGTCATATTAGTTGATCCCAACTGGGGTGGGGCAGTTTAGTTATGCTGGCTGATGCTTGTAAACTTTGTGAAACATGCCATGAGCTTGAGAGGTCCATTAGGAATATCTTTAAGCATAAACCATTTGAACAACGATAACCTTATGTCCTTTAACTACCATTGGGTGGTTTGATGATAAAAGAGCAAAGGGGTTTAACATGGGTTTCTGAGTTTGAGTTTTCATAAGCACTAATAAGTGTGGTTACTTGGGGGATTTGGCCGAAACGAACTAAAGACTTCTGAAGTGTCGGGTTTGGTAACATTACCTATTATTGAGAGTCATCGGATTGAGACCGTATAGTCAATCCGATGCTTGCTATTGCTTCAAGACTGGAAAACGACTTGCGTATTAGATGATGATAATAAAACCAACCTAAGTTTTGTAATTGATGGTCGCGTGCTCGGCTCTGCAAAGGTTGTGATCCAGCCATGTCTCCATGTTTCACCTGTAATAAATGGGCAAGCTGTAGCCAAACCTTGAACAAGGTCAAAGCATCTTCATGGGGAAGTCGTAAAGTTAGAATAGATGAAAGAGAAAAAAATATAGACATAAATAAGTACATTTATTTGTATACAAAATGAATGATATGGACTTACGGACTTTTTCCATTTGATAATGCAGGACTTTATGAGTTTTATTGATTTATTTTTTATAATTGAGAGAAGAAAGAAAAAGAAAGGTGAAAAGTATTTACAATGTGAACCATATCTTTTAATTTTCTTCTATTTTTCTTGTTTTTCTCAAGTTTTGGATATGTTTGAAATGGTAAAATGTCCTTTGAAAATAACATTTGAGATTGTCAACCACGTTTAACCTTGAATGTTGGTCGAAGGGTTAACCTCGATAATCTTTTTCCACATGATAATAAAACTCCTAACAAGAATATATTATCTTACAACAAGATGATATTATCCCTCTAATTATAATCCTCAAGATTAAGGCAGAATCAACCTCTGAAATCTTGATCCAAAAGTTATCATAAGAGTTTGATGTTAGTTTTCTATAACGTAATATAATTTTTCTTTTTCTTTTTTAACAGAGGGTGTCCTAGCCAGTTTACGTATATATTAAGTAATCCCACGAAATCCTAAAGTTGACGGTCAGATAATTCTCTATTGACCATCCATATTATGGATTAGGGACTGAGAGAAATCAAACTTAAGAGTCAGAATCTCTTGAATAATACAAACAAAAATTCCTATTCGATTACTCGATCACTCTAGAGTTGTTGGATGTAATGAAAAATAACTATGTGTAACTAACTATAGGACCATAAATTGTCAAATCGCATAATGTTATACTTGAGCATGGTAGATTGGACCCACCATTATAAACTCATAGTCAAAGATCATCCCCCCACAACTTGAGCAAAAAACTCATACTACCTTCTATATGAATTGAACCCAAAGTCCACAAAGGCAACATACTACAGTATATGAAAGTGGCTTAGAACAAGACAAGAAGTTTTCTATTATTGTAAGAAAGGTAATGTTACTTCCGATATGAAATATTGGATAAGGTTGTCGAATTAATCCTAGGATTTTAACAAATAATTGTGGTTTAGAATAATCCAATTTTTTTTTTCATACCCTAAAAACACACTCAGGTCAAGGCTAAACCTATTTGTTTGGTTATGAGTTGCAACTGTCAAATGTACCAATGCCACGTGGCAAGAGCCCACATGAGACTATTGAAAGATTGCAGGAAAGCCTCATGCATTGCAAACTGTTCCACACAGAGTGAAGTTGAAAATGTCAAAATCTCCATTAAAGAAGAAGAAAAAGTAGGCTTAGAATAGTTAAAAAGACTTAAAGACACCTTCTTTTACATCAACTTGTATACCAAATAAAATTTAGAAGAAAACAAAAAGAAAAGGGTTCATTTTTTTTTTTACAATAATAAATAACACAACAACACCACAATACAAAGCAAAAGCAAATCCAAATTCCTCATCAAAATTTCATCTTTCTTCTTCCTCTAGACTCCATCTTTCATACTTGAAGCTTTTCCATCATCTTTTTTTTTTTTTTTGTGGGAATCAATGGAGGATTTTAGATCCAAATCATGCAAGATGGGAGGCTTCTATGGAGGAGGCAAAACAGTACCAGCAAGCATGCAAGACTTGAGAAGTTACAGTGCCAATTATACTTCTAACAATAATTATGATAACAACAATAAGGAGATTAAGATCAAGAAAAGCAAAAGCACTTTTGGATCTTCTTCTTCTTCAAAAAGCTGGAGCTTTAATGATCCTGAGCTTCAAAGGAAGAAAAGGGTTGCCACCTATAAGGTCTATACAGTTGAAGGCAAAATGAAAGGGTCTTTCAGGAAGAGCTTGAAGTGGATCAAGAACACTTATAGCCAAGTTGTCCATGGCTTGCAATGACCTAACTCAAAAGGGTATTTTTTATTTTTTTCATTTCGATTTTTTATTTTGTCTGAATTATGTTCAATCTCAATGTTAAGGTTTATAGTTGTGAGATTGTGTTTGTTCTTTTAAGATCTGAAGAGATAATTAAATGTAATGAAATTTGCCTAATTAATATATGTTATGCTTGAAGATCTATAGTAAATTTATGTGCTATGGTTTGTTTATATCCAGAATCTGGTTATGGTGATTAAGTGGCTACATTGATCCCCAAAATGGAAAGAATATTTGTGAAGGAGAAGATGATTTGACTCTTTGAGTATCTTGAAGGTTTCAGAGCTGTTTCTTTGACTTTCTAACCATGGATATGTGATTGATTGATTTTAGAGTTTTTTATTGGGATTGCAGCCAGTTGAAATCAAAAGAATCAGCTTCACAAACTAGCAGTAGAAGTAAAGTAACCTATCAGTTTCTGGACTCAGAATAAGAATATTTTGGTTGTCAAATTTAACAGTAACCAGAAAATGGCAAATCTCAGTTCATTTTTCCAGTCATTACCTGAATTTCTGAAACATGGAAACCAAAATGGATTTTATGCAAACAATGGGCACCAAAGTGAGATCAATGCATTGGTTTGTCAATCTTGCCAGAATACAGAAGCAACAGGGCTTGTTAACTTCTGTTTTGCTTTCTGAAAGTACACAATTTGCTGGTTATCTTTGACAAATCCCAGTTTTAAACTAGAAACAATAGTCTTTGATCATATTCAAACTAAGGGTATTCAAAACCGGCTAACCGATTTTTCCCTTAACCGGTTCGGTTTTAGTTCAGGAAAATCGGTTAATCGATTTTGTGAACCGAACTGGTTTTTCGGATAATCGATTTTCTTGAACTAAAACCGAACCGGTTAAGAGAAAAATCGGTTAACCAGTTTTGAACCGGTTTTAATTTAATATTTTATCTATTTTTTTAGTTTAATATTTTTATAATAAATCAATTTTTTTTTAATTTTATATTATTTTTATAATAAACCAGTTTTGGTTAACTGATTCTCATATTCTCGTAAACCGGTAACTTAATCGGAAAATTTATTTTTTTATTTCTTTGAACTAAAACCGAACCAATTTTTCGGATAGCTAGAGAACTGGTTCGGTTCGGTTTTTGTATTTTTTTGAACACCCCTAATTTAAACCCCAACCCTTGTGGGGACAAACCACAAGCCTCGCCATTTAGGCAAGCCCTAGTGTGTAACTGCTAGTCTCCTATTGAAATCTCAAGTTTAGAAGATTGATTATAATAAACTTAACCACAGGTGGTACATCTGTCATTTGTAAAGATTTTGTACTAAATGGGCATAATTTTGACAATTACCTTTATAACCTCTTGTGATGTCTTGAATCTTGATCAATCAGCAGTGTATAGTGGAGTACTCATGTAGTCATGTAGTGTGGCTCAATACCAATCTTTAATGGCATTTAAGAGAAATAGCTTTGAGGCAGTCAGACTGAACAAGATGCCAAATTTGCTTGACTGGTAGCTTATGCAAATGTCACCACATTTGACATTTAACTCAATTTATATAAAACAGCAACAACCACTTTCTGACAGGAAATCTCCAGGTTTTGTCATCTTGAACAAAGCAAAAATTAAAAATATAATATATACACCGAAACAATTACAAACATAAGGTTCGAGCCTTTCCCCAACAGAAAATTTCCACAAATATTGTTTTTGTGATTTGACACATGCATAATGAAATTTAACACAAGAATAAGTAGTGATAACATGTCATACAACTCAAACTGTAATTTGATGGAAGCCTTTAAACTGGGTACTTAGACGAGCATTTTGCCCAGGGATTCCACTTGGATGATCTTGTTCTTTATTGAGTACTTAAAACAGTGCCAATTCCCATCCTGCACATTTCAACTTTTGACTTCCTTAAACAAATTCCACAAGCAACACATATGCCACGCCATATTTCGTGACAAACTATACCGTTTTAAAATTTACAATGGGTAAGATTTTGTGAGTGTATCTGCTAATAGTGTACCCTCTCATCCTTATTGAAATTCAGGCTCTCGATGCCTCTAAGAGTGGACTCAAAGTTCCGTATGTTTGAAGTGTTTCTGCCGGAACTTGTGTGACGGTTTTCTGATGATACAACAGGTGAGCTTCTTTGCCCACTAGAAATCTTTTGAAATGCTCCTGGGTTGGCATCTGTGATGCGAGGGTCAGCTTCATTTACAAATGCAGTTGCATCACGACTAATTGCATCACGACTAGAGAATGCAGCCCTCCTTGATGATCCACCTGACCTCAAGAAACTATAACTGGATGCCTGAACCAGTCCAAGCACGAAAATAGTCAAGCAACTTAAATAGAATAAGAATGAAAAACCATTGTATAAGCATACGCAACATAAACTATTCATAATTCTAGCACTGAAACAAGCCAACAAGAGTTAGAAGTATGGGAAAAGAAGTTTTAGTATCAGAATTACTTACCATAGCATCTTTAGAATGAGCAGGATCATTTGTAACTGGACCTTTTTGTTTTGATAAGTTTGCAGAATTCACTAGTGGTCCAGAGTTCCTCCTGCGAGCGGGATCTGATACAGACCAACCAGTATGTCTAATTTCTTCCCCACCTGTAATATAGATTTATTGGTATATAAGGGGGCTCAATTGTGTTAAACACTTCCATATACAATGTCATATTGCCACCTCAACATTATCATACATAGAAAACACAGATGGTTCAAGGGAAAGTGACAAGCATGTATGGAACAAGTTACTCCATAATCCAATAAGAAAATACATGATATCATTCAAAATAGAAAATAACACGCAGGTTGAAGGTAGACAGGTAATTTGCACTGCATTGTCCAAGGGAAGACACTATGAAGGTTGATGTGCAAAAGATACAGAGAAAGTATTATCTAAAAATATACTTCTGATCAATGTAGTAGGCAAAAATTAGAAGGAAGAAAGGAAGAAATAGCACTACCTGCTTGCCTATCAACGTTGCCAGCACCAAGAGGCATGCCAGAGCTTGGTCCAGCCCCAGGTCCCTTAAAAAATTTAATAAAAAATAATAAGTTAATTGATTATCAATCAAGGGGCTAGAAGTTCAAGAAAAAATATAAACCTTGCCCTACGCCAACTTACAACAGCACGAGCAGGAGGATTGGCAATCTGTGATTGTTGATACTTCAAAATCGTCCAATCAAATACATAATCAAACTGGAAACCTGAAGAAAACCATACACAGTGGAAAGGTAAAACCATTTATTTATCAGAGAGATTCTAACAACAAAGCAAATAGTGAAATTCAAACCTTCACGAATAAAAAGGTCACGAAAGATTCTCTTCAAATAAGGATAGTCTGGTTTATCATCAAATCGCAGTGACCGGCAGTAGTGGAAGTAGGATGCGAATTCTGTAGGATAACCTCGACATAAGGCCTAAAGAGGAAGCAGTGAGCTTTCTAATCAGCTTTGAAAGCTAAAAATATAAACTTGGAATCAAAATGGGATCCTGAGACACAAAATTACCTCAATAGAAGTTGATACTTTCTTCTCACTGATCTTCTCATACTTCTGCTTCTTAGTGCCAGCTTTCAATCCCTGCCATGGAAGACTACAAGGAGATGGGTTCATAACCAATCAAAATACTACGGAAAAGATGAAAATTTTGAGATGATTAATATGTGAAGAATATTCACCTTCCTCTTAAAAAATACATCAGAACATATCCAAGTGATTCTAAATCATCCCTGCGACTTTGCTCTGTGAACACACAGACCTGATAATTAATTGATTTGACATAAAAAACAAAGGTGGAAAGGAAAATGGGATTCTATAGGCATACCAATGCCAAGGTGAGTGTTCATGCTTGCATATCTTGCAGTTCCCGTCAAATTCTTATTTTCTCTGTAATTCACACAAGATGTCAGGTTTAGAAAAGAAACATAATTTAAACCGCTGTTTAAATAATAAACACACAGAAGATTGAATTATAGTAACTTGGAGCTTAACCACCAGGGTACATCCCATTGCTTTTTCTAAATACTTTCAATTCATATAAAATTCCAAGTGTCCCTTTGACATCCTTTCAACAAGGTTAGACTTATGTTAAACCAAAGTCCAGAATAACTTAGATTGCACCAACAACATTTACAAATATTACATCAAATTAAGAAGCCTAAAAAGGAACTATGACCATCACTTACAGAAAACAGCGGCAGAAACCATACCATCAAAGTAAAAGAAAAATAAATCAGAGATGGGAAATGTAAAATCAAAGTATAAAATAGGTGCATAAATCTAAATGTTTAACTCTGATTGAAACCAGTAAAAAGGAAACCCTTTAACCATAAAAATAAAAAGAGGTATTCTGCTAATTGGTTTGAAGACTAACCTGTAAGGAATATGCTGATGCGTTGCAGTGTCTCTATACCTCTTAGCCAGACCAAAGTCAATGATATAAACCTATATGAAAGTAAAAATCAAATAAGGGATCGAAATAGGACATGAAAGCGCACATAATTATGAAAACTAGTTTTATAGCAAAACCTGATTTGCACGTCTCCCCAAACCCATGAGGAAATTGTCAGGCTTAATATCTCGATGCAGAAATGATTTGGAATGAACAAATTCAACCCGATTGATCTGACACAAATACAATAATTGTCAGACCATATGAAATTGGAAGGTAAATATACCAGAATAATATGAATACTAAATAAATGCATCATACCATTTGATCTGCAAGCATGAGAACAGTTTTGAGAGACAGCTTCCTACTGCAGAAGTTAAATAAATCTTCGAGGCTTGGCCCCAATAAATCCATCACAAGGACATTATAGTCTCCTTCAACACCAAACCATTTCACATTTGGAATTCCAGCTACCAATTATGGAAAGAGCACACAACAAAACAAATTCAAATAAATTATCAGTAAAGGATGCAACTTTAACATAAATAAAAGGAAATATAATCAACATAAAAGACAAGGCCATTACTTCCTCCTTGTAGTATTTTATACAACTTTGATTCATACTGTAGCTGAGGATGCTTTGTCTTGATATTTTCCTAGTAATGGAAACATTGTCAGAAATTTTGTGCTAAGTACTGGTAGTACCATCAAAGAAAGAAACAATACAAACCACAATAATTAATAAATTCTGAAAGACAACAAGATACAATGGAGAGAACTACTAACATATTGACAAAATTTCATGCACTAAAAATTTGCAAGAAGCAAATTGCATCAATCCATTCCTTTGATGAGCAAAATCTTCAACATTTAAACCCAAAGATAAAAGATAATAAAACCAATCGAGTCACCATGACATTCAGGAATTCCAGAAACATTAGAAATATCCATGCTAAAGCAAGAAAAATGAGAATCAAAAGGAGACAGCCAAGGTCCTCTCATTTACACACCTTCAAAGCTGTATAAACACACAAAAACTTATATACTTTGCCTTCAAAGAACATTTTATCCACAATTTCTAAAAAGGGTTGAATTTTCTCAATGCAATCATTCATCAAAACTCTCTCATTCTCTCGCTCTCTTCCTCTCTCTCACTCACTCACTCAATTACACATACCAAGTCCGAAAATCAGTAACAATCAATATTCCACACAAAAAACTAATACCCATAAAATTAAAAACCACAATAATCATAAACACAAAATGGAACTTTAGCCAAAACTAAAGCCAACCAATCAATATCAAATAAAATTTTAACAAAACACACAATTTAAACACACTCACAAGCTTAATTGCAACTTCTTCATTAGTCTGACTATTAGTACCTGCCCAAAAAAAAAAAAAAAAAAAAAAACGAAAAAACCCAGATCACAAAAAAGAAACCAATTAAAAGATTAAAACAAAGTGCAGGTAATCAGAAAACGAACCCAGATAGATCTCCCAAAAGAACCGCTACCGATCTTTCTCCCAACCGAAACTTATTCCCAACTCGTGGCTCCATAATCAGAACTCAGAACCTAATTTTAAACCCGCCAAAAGAGAACCTAAACCGTGAGAATTAAAACTCACCCAGATACAAAAATATCACAAAAGCGCTCCCTGTAAAAACAAACCGTCGAAAAAAACAAGCCTGATTGTGATCAATTTGGTCGCCAACTTTGAAACTCCTCCGCTCATGACGGGGGTTAGCAACTTCGTGGACATGGGTGGAAATAAAGTTGGAACTTTCTCTCTCTAGATCTTAGAGAGAGAGAAAGAGGAATGGGAAGCATGGTTGTTGATTGGTTTGATGCATTTTGTAGGTATTTGATTTGTGGGCTTTCGCTTTGATCCATCGAAGCCCGAGGGTCTCTGTTTGTCTTTGTTTCAAAACGACGCAGTTTTGATATATTCTATGGGGTTTTTATCCAACTCTTGCATTAAGACCATTATTAAATGTAATTATATTGTTATCAACTATATAAATACTGTGTTACGGGTTGCGGTAATATCATTCTATTCATCTGAGTAAGTTTCGAAACATGTCCAAAATATGTTACATTATATGTTATAAAAGGTTTCCATATTTCTATTGAACTTGAATGAGCATCATAGAGGAGAGAGTGTATTGACAAGATAGATGGAATTGAAATATGCTCGAGGGATAGAAGTAATTAAATAGCATATGGTCTAACAATTTGACATTATCAAGATCTGTTTATAGAGAATTAATTTTTTTTTTTAAACAAACACATGAGATTCTCATAACCAAAAGTATTCTCTCAATTAGGGGTGTAAACAAGCTAAGTCGAGCTGAGTATCACCCTAAATGAGCCTAGCATGGTTAAGCATTAGACGAGTTCGAGTCGAGTCACGAGACAACCAAGTCGGGAAAATTCGGCTCGCGACTCGGCTCGTTTATAAACGAGCCGGCTGGTGACTCGGCTCGTTTAACGCAAGCTCGAATTGGCTCGATTACGGCTCGTTTGGCCATTTTTTAATATAAGCTGTAGATCTTGTTTACACAATCAGATCAAATTTTAGATAAATTTGCTAAATCAACATAAATCACATCCAAATCAACATAAACAACTATTACACAAAAAATTTACAACCAAGATAAAAAAAAAAAAAAAAAAAAGTACACAAATGTCTATCAAAATTATCATCAAAACGGCATAGAACTCAAACTTCTGGAAGTTGAATCTCCAATGGTTCCTGTGTTTGTGGGTGGCTTGGTGTGATAATTAGGAAATTATTTTTGGGGTTTTTGTTTTAGGGTTCTTGATTTGGGGGATAATGAATTTACGCAATTTGATTTTGGGTTAATTGGGATTATTTGGTTAAGGGTTAATTTTTGATTTTTTAAACCTTTTAGTCTTTATATGTCAAATTAAAAAAAACCCAAAAACTTGTATTATGCACAGAAAAAACCCTAAACGAGCACTATTGGCTCGAGAGCCGAATCGAGCCGAGTCGGGGTAGACTCGAACTCGGCTCGGTTACTTCGAATAAATTCGAGCCGGCTCGGCTCGATTATAATCTAGCCGAGTTCGAGTATTAACGAGTCGAGCCAAGCCGAGTCGCAAACCTACTCTCAATATTGATTTGTTAGTTGGTGTCATTAAATAATGTCTTTATGAATCACCACTTGTGACGGGATGGATAGAGGGGCGCATACTTGAAGTGCCTCTGGTTTGAGTTCAAGTTGACTAAAAGGTGACCAATTACTATACCCAAAAAAAGAAAAAAAAAAAGTCTTTATGCCACTTTGGGAACTTGATGGTGGTGGTGGTACCAGTTTAGTGGTCATATGGGGTCACTATAAGCATACTTTGATTTCTACCCCTTGTCAAGGCATTTTATGTAACCCACTACATTAAACTTTGTGATATAAAGATTTAATTAATTAATAATAAATTGATTGTTTGATTTGTACTTGTTGAAGGCTTAAAAATCAAGGTTGTTTTGAGAAATTTCTTCATAATTCACTAGTCTTGGCTCTATATTCTTTGATAAGGATAAAGGTAACTTCAAATTTGTGTCCCACAAATCACAAACTTTTGAGTATGTGTGAAAGAGCTTCAAATGGAAATATAAGTTATTGACAATGATCATACATGTGAAAGTAAGAGGTAAATTCTAGTTGTTTCCTAAAGTTTAGAATGCGTTTGGTGTACTTTTGGATTTGTAAAATCCTATTATGATTACATATTAGGATAAGTTTTGAGAATGTTTGGTACATTATTGAAAACTTTTTTGAAAATATTTAGATTACTTTAACCCCCACATTTTTAATTTAGCTAAAGCCCAAAAAAAAAAAAAAAGTTTATAAATTAAAAAAAACATCCCCACTCACCCAATCGACTTTCGTAACCGACCACCACCGCGAATGGTGGCCGTCACATCAGAATGGCAATGAACAGCCATATCTGGCTAGTGTGCGTCGATCTTACCTTTTCGACTAGATTCATCGTGGATCTCCAGAAAACTGGTCTCGTCAACGGTCGAAAAAGGTAAGATCGCCGATGATCAGCCAAATCTAACCAGCTGTGCGTTGTTCTAACGCCAACGATGGCAACAGTGGTTGCTGGTGGGTGATAGTGGCTTGGGTGGGTGATAATGTTTTTGTAATTTATAAAGTTTTTTGTGAAAAGTAATTATTTAATGTTTTAAGTTGAATACAATAGGATTGAATTTTGAAGAATATTAAAACAAAAACATTTTTCATTTTAAGGATAGAATAGTGGAATAAGATATGGTGAGAAAGTTAAACAAACTGAGCCTTTTGTCCACTTTCTCTTCTAGGGCAAAAACAAGAGGAATCCTTTAAAGTTTGAAAAATACTTTCATTCAAATGATGGACATACATATGACTTAGTTAGAATCATTTTAAACGTTAGTATTTGTGGATGTATGTACATATAACTAAGGGTGAGCAAGAAAACCGATTATAACCAGAACTGGCAGGTACTCAGGTTTTGGTTCCAGTTCCTACTTGAAATCGGCATGGAAAGGGTCGGCTCCGGTTCCAAAATTGGTGGAACGGCATTGTGCGGTTTCGGTTTTGGTTCCACCACTTAGGTACTAGAATTGAAATTGGGAAATGGAACCATAATTGAGGTCTAGGTACCGGGTGGAACACGGTTACTCGGGTGTTATTTATAATTTTTATAAACTATTGGAGTGGTATTTGTAAATTTTAAAGGGTATATTTGCATTTTTGTAATAATAAGGGGTATCTCGAGTACCAAAACCGGAACTTTTTGTCAAGTTTCGGTTTCAACTGTGATGAAACGAAATCGGCAAGTTCCAGTTCCAAATTCCAAGAACGACCATTCTATTTGGTTTCTTGGAAAAGGGCGGGTACCGACCCGATCACCCAAGATAGAATCATTTAGATACATGAGTATCATTAATGCACACACTCGTAATGTGGATAATTCTGTCTTGAAAAACTCACCAAAGTTTGAAGAATATTTTATTATGGGCATACAACCAAGACAATCATTTTTATACCTAAGTATTCATGGTATGCAGGCCCCTTCGTGATTGATCAGATAAACATGCATCCCTTATCTAGCAAATGGTTTAGTGTAATCCAAATCTTGATCTAAATACAAGCAAATGGTTTCATTGGTTGGCTGTGGACCAGAGGAGCATATAATCAGCTTTAAGTGGTTGGGTTACACACTATTAGAATCGTCTGTTTATATGACCAAAACCAAAGAAAAACAACAAGCAAACAACAAAAACCATTCAAAATTGGACTGAAAGTGACTTAAATTAGTTTGAAATGTGTGGTTGGAAGGGTTTCTGCTGCTTAACATTCGGTAGATGAGAACTTTCAATTCAAAACGTCGTTTGGTTGGATTTTGGGAATACTACTTTTAGTATTCCAAAAAAAGTTAAACAGTAAAATACCAAAAAACTCACAATATTATTCAACTTTATTCAACATTTTTTAAATCCCCTAAATTTGTTAATTCAATTAAATACCCCTAAATATTTTTAATATTTTTGTTACGGCGACTCCGGCCACCCTCCGACGGTGGTGACCGGCTGTTCGTATTTGAGGGTGGATTGGGAGTGTTTTTGTTAACTTTTAATATTTTATTATAAGGGGTGTTTTATAAAAAAACAAACATAAGGGGTATCTTATCAATTTGTAAATCTTACATCGTAATACCCGCCCAATTCAACTTTTTTTTTTAACTTTTTTCAAAAAACTTTTCCCAAAACCACAAAATTGTGAACCAAACGGAGCCCAAGTCATAGATGATGATTGAAGCAAAAATTATACATGGGTTGTTTTGACCTTTCACAGGATATTTAATAGAATGTAGATTTTCAACTATCTTCTTCTTCACAAATCTGTAAACTATCTCATCAGACATTAGCAATAGTGTACATACAAATACAAGAGAGACCCAAGGCTGTTTTGTGTAATGAATGATTGAATGGATGATCTTCAACAAACCAACCCCATCTAAGCGGATAAAAAAGGGAAAAAAAAAATTATATCAAGAAATGAATCGGAGAAGGGCCAAGGGGGCAAAACTGTAGATGGCCGGAAACCTAAAAAATTTTCCAAAAGAAAACTGAGAAAAATCATGGACTTTCATTTAATGGGGTTGCTACAGGTTTTTCAGCCAAAGTTGAGGTCTTCCTATGCAACTTCACTCTTAAGTGCCTCATCTTAGCCTCTACTCTTGCTGTGAAACCGATCTTGGTTTCTTGTCTTGCCTTGGACCGTTCTCTGGTCCACATGTGTCGATCCTCCACGTCCTTCTTATAGTACTTGATTTCTTGGATAACATGATGATCCATGGGTTTAATACATCTTTGGAAAGATACGTGGGTGAAGTAAACGATATTACATGTGACAGTTACCAGTAAGGTGGTTGTCCAGAAGATTGGCGCGGGAGCAAGAGCTTCAACTAGAATTTGGTAAGAATTCCCAGAAATGGTGGGAGATGCCATGCCATAAAGTAAGAGAAACAAATACCAAGTAGCTATGCTGCCCCAGATAAACAAGTGTTGAATCCATGTGAAGTGGCTGATAGTAAGTGCAATCTGAACATTGACGACCCAGATTATACAAGTGAACATTGTTGCACCAACAACAGCCATGTCAGCAGTCTGGCCTTCCGGACAGAAAGCTTGGTCGTAGAAAATGATAATATTGAGGATGAAAATGATGAGAGAGGCATAGACACCATTGCCAATCCAACCAAATATCCTAACCCAGTCGAAAAACAAATTTTTGGGTCCTTGCTGATACAATGCAGGGAACTGCAGAACAAGTAAATATTATAAAATAGCTACTACAGAAAAGGATTTGCTAGCAAAATCTTATAAGTGCCACAAACCTGTAAACAGATCTCAGAAGAAACATCTTGTTCAAAAACTCCCAATGAAATGACTGGCAGTGCAGTAAGAACGACATTGAAGGATAGCATATACCAGTCATCGTACACTGATTGCCCAGAAAAGCCAGCAAATGCCTCAAAGTAGAAGAGAGTGAGACCAAATGCTATATTTTTGTAGAAGAAATAGCAAATCTGACGGAAAAACATCACAGTTAAAATGAGGTTGAATCACAGATAAATAACATTCATGTATATAAAAACATCTAATTGTGCATGCAGCCAGTATGCGGAAAAAATGCGTGAAAAGAAGATATTAAGTTGGGAAATGTTGATTATTACCATCTGAGCTATCCTCTTGTAGCACCAGTGTCCATGGACAACCAGAAGTCTTTCCAAAAATCGAAATTGGGCAATAGAGAAGTCACTAGCCATCACAGCCTGCAAATAGTTACAAGTTCAAAGGCTTCATATCGTAATTCAGATATAAGATATGTCATAAGAGCCCTATTGTCATCATAAGATAAAATAGAAACAATCAAGTACATCATTCAAATGGGAAGAAATAATCAGGTTTGATATTCCTTTCCAAAATGTAACACATCCAGACACAAAAATAGCTAGAACAAAGCAAGAGAAGCATGATGTATTCCAGCCACCCAACAATAAATTTCCGCCGGTCCCAAACTGTGGACATTACTGATAATAAACATACTTGGAAAGATATTCTGCACTAGAAACAGACGGTATTCCCATTCTATGAAAGGCTGAGTTCAAAAATAAAATGAGAAAATTTACACTGTTTTATAAATCTGTCATACTTAAAAGAGCCAGATGGATGTGTTGCCTACCTGCATACCTTCCACCCCACTGATGCCAACACCAATGTCAGCTTCTTGAATCATTCCAACGTCATTGGCACCATCACCAACTGCTAAGGTCGTTTTTCCAGTTCCTTCTTTAACTAACCTTGTTACCTGGATTCAAAAATTGAAAAAAAATGGTACATGACCTAACAAAAGAATGCATATTGGTATGGATCATTTGTAGGAATGCCACGGAATGATACTTGAAATGCAGAAAGGAAAATGTTGCAAGAGTGAAGTAACTGCTGAGAAAATAGTACCAGTGCCTTCTGCTTGGGAGAGACACGACAGCATATAACAGATGCACAATCAACTGCTAGTCCCAAGAAATGAAGCTTCAAGTCATCCTCCAAAGCATAGGTTAGTGTTTTTCCATCAATTATTAACGCAAACGCAGCATGTGGGTCTTTTTCTAGCTTGATCATTTGCGAGGCATTAGTGATTTGATTCAAAATGTTCTCTTTAATAACCTGATTGGAAGCAAAAGACAAGAGAGTCTAACATGAAATGGAATAAATTTTTTCTGGAAAATAAAACCCATACTCATTTCAAAGTTATACATATATATACCTGTTTGGCATCTTGGGCTATTGCATCAGAGTTCAGTGCTGTTATACAGATCTGCTTCATGCCTTGTCGAAGCAAACTGCAGGCAAATCTGCATCATGCAAGAAAATTTTCAGGATGTTGGTTTGACAAGCAAAAATAATTCTTGTTTGGGGTTACAACTTTTAAGTAATATGTGTTAAGAAGAGCCTTCTAATTTAATATAGATACAAACCCTATGTTGATTGCAGTTTCCATCTTGTCTCCTGTCAAAACCCAGATCTTGAGACCAGCTTGTGCAAGTTTATCTATGCACTGGGGCACCTAAAGAAAGCACAGACAAATCAAGCTGAAGTAGATCAAGAGAAAAATATATAAATATAGCTCTACGACAATGATTATGTTTACCCCTTTTTGCAATTTGTCCTCCACAGCAGTAGCACCAACAAGGATCAGATCCTTTTCCATCATATCTGAAATCCGCTCAAGCATAATTTCTCTGTCAGCCGCAATAGAAGTTTTGGCTTTTAGAAACTCATTGTTCCAAGAAGTATACTCAGACTCATCAAGCTTTCTGTAAGCAAGTGCCAATGTACGCAACCCAGCTTCTCCATATTCATTCAAGTGCCTAGTAGTAACTTCCTCATACATTCTTCCATTCTTTGATAGCCGATCAAAAATAATGCTGCATATTCCAAGCAAAGAACTCATGCATGGTGGGATACAACGAGACGATTGCAAAAGTTCGAAAATTATAGCTAATATTGACCATTTGCCATTTATAAAACTCAAATGAAACCAGTAACAGCCCCCAAACAGTAGATGGAAGTCATATCGACATTCAAGGCCTCTAACAGGAAGCCAAATCTAAAAAAAGTTGTGAGGATAACCTGTCAGCGCCTTTGCAGAAGAGAATAATCTGCCCATCCTCATCCCGAACAATTACACTCATCCGCTTTCTTTTGCTAGTGAAATCCAACAAATTGAGAATTTTGTACTCTCTGCAAGATTCCCAAAAGACAATTAAGATGCTACGGCACTAAAAATTCAAATGAAATAAAAAATTGGAAAAAGAGCTACACATGGAAAATTATTCATTTATATCCTCACCTTTGAGTTGGCTGTCCTGAAGAATGATATATTTCACGGATAAACACACTGGATTGAGTTCTTTTACAAAACTCAAAACCAAACTCCCTAGCAGCAACAAGAAAAGCCCCTTCGTCGGGTGACTCTGCTTCGTATGTGACATCGCCAGTCTCTTCATTCAGCTCAGGAATAGCAGTGTGACAAACCGCTAAAATACGGAAAAACAACGAAATGACACCTACATTAGGTTCTCGTAACCAGTTTCCTTCCATGAGGCGGCTGTCCTCAAAGCTAAAGCCCTTTATGACACGTTTACGTTCTTTTTCATCTTTAGAAGTGATGACGGTCTCCAGTTCAATTTCTGATGTAATATTTTTATGCTTTGGAACACTTAAGATGTCTTCATTCTCATCCTCAAGGTCCATAGCCATCTGTTTTGCGCAAGCAAGTTCAACTTCACTAGAACGCACACCATATGCAGTACCAGCAATGGAACACTTAAGAAAATCCATCTGGTTGCAGGTCAAAGTCCCAGTTTTATCAGAGAGGATAGTATCTACCTGACCCAATTCCTCATTAAGATTTGATGTCCGTGCTTGAGAAGGAATCCCACTTTCTTCATCATACATATGTATATCTTGGTTAATGAAAATTGCTTGCAAAAACTTCACAACCTCAATTGAAAGATAGAGCGAGATTGGTATTAAATACCCATAAAGAATGAGAGCAGTGACCAGATGAGCAAGCCCAGGCAGGAGGGGCTTGCTAGGATTAAAGTAAGCATCAGTATCATTGGGTTTTAAGTACCACCAGTCTGGTACTTGGAACTTCATCTTCACAGCAAAGCCTATCGAACTCATCACTGATATTGTCAGAAGAATAGCAAAAAGGATAAATATTATCTTGTCCATCTGTTTCTCTATTCTGCTCCTTTTTGAAGGAGAGGTTGTTGAATTCTGCATGACTTTACTATCATGACCCGTGAATACCACCACCCCATAAACAAAAGTTGTATTCCTGAGTTTGGAGTCTCTAAGGAGGATCTGACTAGGATCAATAGCATAAACCTGGCGATCATATTCAATATTACCAACAAAGGTGTAAAGACTGGGGTTTGGGTCTTCACATCTTATGGTTCCGGAAAAATTCTTGAAACTATCATCATCATCCAAAGATGAAGTAGCCTCCAAAGATCTCTTGACCTTCAAGTTTGTCTCACCATCTAAGTTCATAGTCTCCACATAGCAAATCCCATCCTCATAACTTGAAGACAAGAAGAGCAAATCAGCTGGAAAAAATTGATTCTTCTCCACTTTCACCACATCCCCAACTCGAATCTTCTCCCAGGGCCTATAGCCAAAAACACCATCCCCTTTATGAATACATACTTTCCGAGCATTAACCTCTTTATCTTGCATAAACCTACGCCAATCTTCTAAAGCTTCTTTTGCCATGCTAACCCCAACAACAATGGCCAACGGAAGAAGCATACTTACAGGGGTGAATGGGGAGAGTGGTGTCAGGGAAAGAAGTGCAGCAATAAGGAAGTAAATATTGGCAACTCGATTAAATTGCTCAAAGAGTGCTTTAGGAAAGAATGAGAAAAAATTATACTTTGTGGTTGATATATAATTAGCCCGATAGTTCAAAGGTTTTTTCCGGTGCATACGAGGTTGGTTGCAATATACAAGTCGCGTATGCCCTGGAGCTACTGACCCCTCAACTTCATCCAGTGCAGGCCTGAGGCATGCGAATGTATAGAGCTGGCTCAGCCTGAGCCTTGCCCTTATCCTACCTCGTGCCATGTCTCAGAGAATTTAAGCTCAAAATGAAAGGAAAAATTACAACAGTCACACAACCATTAAAAAAAAAAAACTCCAAATCTTGCCTTCTGTATTAATTCTAAAGGTGCCCCAGGACCACAATTCCTTCTTCTCAGGCCTGAACAATAACCATATCACAAACATCATTGACTTTGAAAAATTGCAGCCCACAATAATATAACATAACAAGAAAACATATCAATATCATAACCTCACATAAAGCACCCACCATAGCTAAATTGAATGAAAATTTATACCAACAAGATTTGAGAATTTTAAAAGAAAGCAAGATTTAACAAACCCACATTGATAATACCATCCAAAGAACCATTAAACCAAAACTTAAGAGCTGAAATCACAAACCCAATTGCCCATTCTTCATAAACATAAAAAAATCAACAAAATGAAACAATGTGCAGCTCAAAATGAACAAAAAATCACCATTACAGCTCCAGATTATTCATCCTACAAGCCTCAAATTCATAAAAACTCATACCCACCTCAACATTCAACACAAAAACATTGAAAAAGAAAGGCCAAAAGGGGTACCTGAAGAAATTTGCAGGGGTGGTTCTATCGCCAAACCACAAAAGAAAAAATACGCATTTGGCGAAAAGTGACAGAATTGAAACTGGTGAATTGTAGATCAAGAAAAGTTACGAAATTTCAACCAAAGATAGTTTCTTTTTTAATTAGTTTCTTTCTTAATTGTTTTTGTTTTGGAAAGGGACAGAGAGAAAGGACAGGGGTTTTACACAATTTCTCTCTCCTACTGGAAAACAAAACCAAACCAAACCAGGAATTTCCGGGGATCCTTCTCTTCCTATATTTATGTTTTTTATTTTTACATTTAATTGCTAAATTAGTTTAAATAAATTAAAAAAAAAAAGACAAAGTAGAGAGGAGTGGGATCCACTCGTCCCACGTGGCATGAGCTTAAACTTTTAATTATCTAGCTCATATTTTATGGGGTTTAACTCAACGGTCCCCAAGTTTAATTACAAAATAAAAAATGGTTACGAGATTTCAAAAATAACATAAATCCTCGTATTGTTTATGAGCTGTTTGTCGTTTGTATCAAAAGAGTAGTATACGAATACAAAACTTTGTTTTATTCGAGAGTAGTGTTATAGTATGCAGATAAATTATTCTTCTTCTCCATTCCTGAATTATGGTTTAACAATTTATCGGAATATAATTCAAGGGTTAGAAAAGAGGTAACAATTGTTATTTACTCACTATGTATAAATTAACCCTCTTATCGATCCTTGAATTATGGCCTAATGGCTTAAAATTTTATGACTCAAAGGTTAAAAAAGATGTATTAATAGTTAAACAAGGGTTAAATCGCAGCGTAAACGAGAAACAGTAACACTACGTACACAAGCAGCAACTAAATTTATGTTCAAATTTTAGTCTAAAGACCCATCCGTGGGTAACTTAGATGGTTAGAGTGTATTGAGGATAATGTGGATAGGTGCATAGTCCCAGGTTCGATTCCCCATCTGAACATCTTTGATTTAAGTGGAGGGTTATGACGGTAGATTGCTATACTAGTCTCCCTTAAAGATTAGTCAAAGTATGCGTAAGTTGATTCGGATACCTTCAGACACTTTGATTAAAAATATAATAGATTAGAGATGTAATGAATGCTTTATTCACACCCATGTACAAGAACTAGTCAAATATGAATTACTAATGAAATTTTCAACCAAAAAACTGTTTTAAGCAAGATAAACAATAATATTACGCTTACAACAAGTAATCAATATTCTTGATTGACAACACAACCATCAACAAAAACTGATCAAATCAAACGGTTGACGGCTGATGATAGAATTTTTTTTTTTTTTTTAAACAAAAAATAAAAAAATAAAAGTGGGTGAGGTCTCCCACTACCATCCATATGAAATGAAAACATAAAAAAAATAGGAATTGTTGAATGTTGATTCATTCATGGAAGTGCATCTTTGTAAGGTCAATGAAATCTTGTTTTTGTCTTCAAGTCTTTAGGAAATTAGGCAGCCGCAACTCCATCTCCATGTGCTCTTAAGATTGAGTCCACAATGGATGGTGTTAATGTATGATGAAAATGAATTATCAAAGACTAAAAAGTAAAAACTATATATTTAAATAAAAACTCATTGAAAAGGATAGTCATTCATTTTTAGTTGAAATAATACTTGTATTTGGAAAAAGGGTTCTTATCGTTTTACGAATAACTTTATCGAGAACTCATTGAAAACGGAAACAAGTTCGAAAACAAAACTGAAAACTGCTAATAACCCTTCTGATTAATAATCTCGAGTTTTTTATTTGAGAAATTAAGTCTCTCATCAGTATGATTTAAGGGTTTAAAACACTTTTTTTTTTTTTTTAATAACTAAGGTGTCTGGATTAGTTTACGTGTATTTTAACTAATTCTCAAGAGAATCTATTTCACAATAACATTTTGCTGTAGCGGTAAATTATGAGCAAATGTATTACTTTTACACCCAATGGGAATCGAACCTAGGACAATTTAAAACACTTTCCATTTAGTAAAATGAGGAGAAGTTCCAAGAAAATACCCAATTTCTACTTTTTTTTTTTTTGGAATTTGAGGTTTTAAATTTAAAATTGGGTGCTTTTAGAAATAATAATAATAATAATAATAAAGCATCAAAATAATTTCTTTTACAAAGTTGAACACTTTTTCCAATGGAAAATTTATAACCCTTGATAATTTCAAAATTTATTAATATAAGAATAAATTAATTATAAAATAGAAAATGTAAATAATTCTTTAACTATTATGTCTTGATATAAATTTATTAAAATCATGTATATAGATAGTTAGATTTGTGTTATAAAATATCATTTTAATCCAATATAATAAATCTAATTTAATTTTTCATTTTAATAATAAATCATTACCACCCGTTCAATACAATTTAATACTTTAAAACGTTTGAATTGACTAAAATAAATATATTTTAATATAAAATTATTTATAATATAAAACTATTTCAAAGCGTGTTGAAAGTCATTTTGGTTGTAAATTAAATATAAATTTGATAAACCCATATGATAGATAAATAATTTGAAGGAATTTTAATATTAAATTAATTAAATTGATAGATTAAATAATAAAAAATTATAAACCATGTGCTAGTAAATTGACCCAAATTTAAATAGTTGAAGGGGGAGATTAAAATAAAATAAATAAATTTATTTTTGTATATTCGAACGCGTGGGACAGGCCCATCAATCAGAAATGGGATAACGACTGGTGGTCGTCCATCAAACGTCTTTGAATTTACTAGGAATCTTCTGATTGAAACAACACGTCTCCTGCACCGTCAGATTTATTGACTTTTTCCTCATTTGTACTCTTTTGAATTTGTCCAGACGCCCACGTTGGTTTTTCGCCTTCTGGATGTACACGAAGAAAGATATTCTGACTCTGTACGACCGACACAAATGTCGTTAGCAGGGTATTTTAGTCATTTAAATTTTACAGGATATTTATAGTACAGGTGGACAAAAAAATACGCTAGAACTGGAACGATCGGGTACCTGGACATCGATTCCGGTTCTTACCCAGAATCGATTGCCACAAGATCATAGGTAAACGTTTCTGGTTTTTCATAGTAATCTTGTTATTTACCATGAGATCTTCTCCATGTGAGCCTAATAGAGTTGATCTTTACCCAGTTTTATATAACTCACTCTTAAAAGCAAGGTCAAGTTACGAGAGAGTCCAACCACATATATATACACCATAACAATTTACCAAATTGATGATGTGCGACAAATATAACTTCTAATTATATCAAAATATTTTGTCAGACCTAGAATGATAATGGTATAATTTTTTTTTTTTAAACAGCGTGTCCGGATTGGCTTACACACACCACGACTAATTATTTTAGGAGACTAACACAACATCCCACCGTCAATCATTATGATCACCCACTTAAATTCTGGGAGCTAGAATAGTGATATAGTTTTGTTTCTTGATTGATTCATAATAATATCGAATTTAGGGTGAGACTCTATTGGGTATTTTCAAATGTTTGATATTATTTCAGGGTAAACACTAGAATTTTTTAGAGATTTTTTAACAAAAGTTGTGGCTTTTGACAGGCCACAAAGAGATTAAAAAAAAAAAAAAAAATAAGAGATGAGCTAGATGCATGCATCTATCAAATGGCACTAGAAATGTTACCTAAATCCAACATTATTTTAAGGTCAATAAATAAAAAAAGAGCAAAAGAATGCTGAGTCAGTGCCCACATCATCTCAGAAGTGTTCTTGTTATGTGTTCTCTTGCTGTAGCCAATGCCTGAGATAGAGTCTGCAAAAGGTACAACACGAAACACGTCAGCATCCACATCAGTTGACCGATCGAGTCCACAATACAACATACGTATAAATATTACACGTACACTTATGAAATGTCATAGAAGACGTGATAATTCAAGTGAAGGAGTTACAAAGTGAAAGATATTAGCAACCATATCAGTTGGCCGAGTCTAGAATACTGCAAACGTATCATGTTATTCTTACAATAAGACGATAAAACAAAGAAATGAAAATACAAACGTATCATGAATATACAAATAATATGATATGTCGCATAAGACTTGACGGAACTAGTGGAACTTGTGAGTTAAGTAAGTTAAAAGGTGTTAAAAAAGGAATGGTGGAGAGATGGTATTAGTGGGGTTAGTGTTGTTGCTTGTCTGTCTCACACCAATGGTCAATTTCAAGAATTTGATTATTTGATTTGATTTAGGCCAGATGGTGACTAAAATTTATTTATAATTAAACTTATTAAGCTGCAAATTGGGAGAAAATTGCATCACCTGTTCAGCCAAGGGTGCTCCACCACCATCCATGCTGTGTATTGCTACCTTCCCTGCAATCACACTTGCGTCTGTTTCAAGTATAATTCTGCAAAAATCAAAGGAAACTCATGAATATTTTCTGGGTCACGATAGAGAAATTCAAACGGATGGAATCCGATACTTATAGTTCACTTAAATGTGAGATCAAAGTAGGTGATCAAATAACTCGAAGACGTAGGGTGTCCTCCCGTCATTAGTAACTTGATTATGTTTAGATAATAGTTGACA